CTACTCGGGTGTCTCACTTCTGATGCATAAGGTGTCTGATGTTACATCTGATGACAGATTTATAATCACTGTATGGGATAAAAAGTGGCGTCACAAATTTGTTGAGTGAGCATCGGCCATTGTGTTACCAATGATACCAACATGGGTGTGCAACTAACAAAAGAGGATGTCATATTGGCCAGTAGCAAAATCATTAAATAATTCAAGAATGTATGACTGTTTAATAATCTCATACCAACTTTGACTGAAGTAGGTCCGATAGTTTTTCAGATATTGTAGTAAACGTCGGTACCTTAAATTACCTTCCAGACTATAGCTTTACATTGAAAACACAGTATAAATAAGGATTGATCGATGCTGATTTACTCTAACGAGATTGATAAAGAAAGCTTCCGCCAATAGCGACTCAACTCAAAGTAATCGCGGTATACTTACCTTTAGCTCTAATATGTATGGACCACGTTCCTTGAACGGAAAAATACCGCCCACTTTAGCGATGTTATAACGATGTATGTTGCGATATATAACGATGTTCGGACATATCGTGCTGGTTATAAAATCGTGTATGTGAATGAAGCACAAACGACACCAGCACGATGGAAGTGCGAGCATACCACAAACCTACTACGAATATAACACGAGTTTAAGAAACCATGTCACTACGAATTCATCCCAATGTTGGCACGATATAGACTAGTTTCGTACGTGTTGAGTACGAGTTAGTTACGAGCTTACTATGACCTTAAACACGATCTCTACGAGTTTATCACGATGTCAACACAACTAAACCGCAAACACAGTGCTTTTTGCAGCAACATGGCACACCAGCACACCAGACTGTTGATTTCTGGTACAGTCGGTACGTAGTAGGGGTGGTTGCAGCCACCATCTTGGTTGCCCGCAGACATAAGTGAAGGGAAGAGGAGGACCGACGCCACGGTCAAGTCCAGCGCAAGGTTTGGGTGAGGACTTGGCTTCTACGTCGGCCGCAGCACCTTGCTGGAGGAGCTGGCACGATAGGACAGGATAAGACTTCCTGAACTTCCGGATCCGGAGTTGTTCCTGGAGCTTCTGAGTCGGTACGGCCCAAGCATAGAGAGGCAGTGGACCTTCATTAGGGTACCACTGGGGCCAACTCTACGCCTGGCGATCACTCTCTGCTCCGACTGGCAGCTTCTACAAGACCCTTGAGTACAGGTTCAGGTTCAGGGTAAACAACAACACAGTCTCCCATATTGTACTAGAACGCCAGACGAGTAGAGAACGGAAGCACAATGATTCTTGGACAAGTGGAACTTCCAAAACTGTCCTTGAAGCGCAAGCATGTTGCGATCGGAGCGCCCAGTGCTTCCGGATCCGTGTATTACAACTACAAAGGATTCCACACTGTGGTACACATGGCACTTGTCGACCGCGAGTACCTCACCCTCTCTACCTTCCCGGGACTCCTCCTCAGCTGCTGTCTTGTCCCAGCCTACTTCTTGTCATCCTTCGAGTTGGCATACTGATATTAAAACACCGAAAACCTGAAACTTGCTGCAAACTGATGACATTAAACTCAGAAAAATGCACTGGACTCTTCTGAAACTCGCTGTTAACTAATTGCTGGCGAGGGACGCAACCCGTATCTATACTCGTGATGATCGTGCTTCAGCCGCATGACCCGTGTGACCATATCCTAGCGAACTCGCGAAAAGTTCGTACTCAACACTTGATTATCGCAGTAAGATCGTGGAACATCGTAGCTAACTCGAACTATGCAAGTGTCAAGCTCGGGAAGACATCGGATTCACATCGTGTCTATCGTGAAAAGATCGTTTTCACGTCGGGTCGGAAATACTGCACGAGATCATAACGAGTGTAGTACGATATACTAGTATCAAGCTAACCACGAACAATACCGAGCACAACTCGTGTATAACACGAGCAGGACACGATGTAACTCGAGTATTGGAGATATTTTGAACATGACCAAAATATCTCCGACATCGCCAAGCAACCACGATCTCTTACGATGTATCAGGAGCCCATAACTTCGAGTATATCATGAACCAATCACGTGATACATCGTTGCCAACTTCGAGAAGGTGGACGGTTTGCATTAGTTTATAAACATAGCCTTCTTTGGTATAATTAAAATGATCTTTACACCTTCATGTAAAATGTTTTAGTTGAAACTTATAGATATAGGGCTAGCAAACATGACCCTATATATTTCAGTGGCGAGTCTGATGAGCTGGGACTTTGTTTAGGTGATGCAGGTAAGCACCATCAAAGCACATGAAAAAAGAGGAATTTTGATGTTATCTGAATTCAACATTTTGCATTTACACTAACTAATCTAAGTTTTAATAGTCAGTTTCCATATATAAAACAGTCACATATGAAATATTCATATATATGAGCGAGTGAGTTGGGTTTAACGCCGCTTTTAACAGTATTCCAGTTATATCGCAGCGTGTCAGCTTAATGTGGGAGGAAGGCCCGAAGTGATGCAGGCCTCGGACGTTTACCACTTCGATGAAACCCACGAGCACGGGTATGGTGCTGACAAACCTAGAAACATAATCGGGGCGAACCGGGATTCGAACCCACAATCATAGGTTTCTGGCATGCCCAAGTGACGCAACTCTGCACAGCGAATCGCGGCGCCTTGGACGACTGGGCCACCCGTGCCCCCTATACTTTAATACTACATCTATATTTATATTTATTGTTGTGTCCGCTTCCAAATTGTAACAATAAGTTTACCCATAAATCTATAAGGTCAGTGTGAAACCAACAAACAACAAAGAAATGATATTGAATTAACAACGTACAATAAACTCATACACTAGGTTTACAAATCAGTACAAACTGCTGCAAAGACTATACACATGGCAGACGACATTATAGAGGTGGGAGTGCAAAATTCATTCTCAGTACGATTACAATGGCAGTATAAAATACAATAGCAGTGGTAATAATATTCACCGAGCAGAAACAGTGGGCAAGTTTCCAAAATAGGCCCAGGCTTGATAATCAGGGCGGAAGCTATGATCCTCACACAAAACCTCGTCTTGATGTAATGTGCGACGTGATTGTCATAATCTTGCCCAACTTGTATAGTCTAAATACCTCGTAGAAAATTACATATATGGCTGGCCCGGTTTAGCTATCTAAGAAAATTCTAGATTAAACTTGACGCCAAAAAGGATCTAAATATAGTAACTTCCACACCACTGCTCACATTCGAAAGTAATACATTCCTGACAACTAATTAAATATTGTCAAAACACAATGCTACGAACTTCTACCGAATCTCATTTGAACAATGTAATAAGATTACAACATTGTTTAACAATACATTACACTGCCATATAACTACTAGTATATATGAATATTTTTTTCAGATTGTACGTGTACATATGATGAGTCATATTGCTGCACACCAGACATTTAATTCAGCCATGAGTAAGTAAAATAATCCTTTAGTATTATTGTGAACAATATTTGCGGATGAAAAATAATTTCTGTCATTCGGGGGGGGGGGGGGGGGGGGGGGGGGGGGTTGAAAATGGTCTTGGATATATCTATAACTAATCACACGCATCTGACAGTTAATCGCGACGGCGTCTGGACCAGACATTCCAGTGATTGGTATCATGAGCATCGATCCACGCAACTGGGATACGTATACTGTCTTCAAAGTTTATTGAATATGCATCACATGTATTACATATTTATCAAAGATGTCTTGCTTATTAATTCTCGTATGTCTCTTGCAGTTCTCGAACTGTACACTTCAACTGTGAGTATATAACCGTATTTCAAATTCATCATTGTACGTGTGAACAACATCTGGACAGTAGCAGTCCCGGTTGGCGATGAATAATAACATGTTCGAAGATGTGACTGCGCTTTGACTATTAAATGATAATGTGTCTTTCGAAATCTGGCTCTAATCTTCCGTCTTTATTTGATCTTAGTATGACTTTAAAGTAACTATATGCAATTAAGAATTTACATATCTACCCCAATAGGTCTCGTCAGAAACCTATGATTGTGGGTTCCAATCCCGGTTCGCCCCGTTGATGTTTCTAGATTTGTCAGCACCATACCCGTGCATATGGTAAACGTCTAAGACCTGCATCACTTCGGGCTTTCCTCCCACATTAAGCTGACACGCCGTGATGTAACTGGAATACTGTTCAAAGCGGCGTTTAACCCAACTCACTCAATCATACAATTACTCTCGAATATGCATCGTCAGGTTAAGATTCTTCCTACTGAATTCTTGAGGTACTCCTCGCTTGCATAGGGATCTGTCGGGCTTCTTTGATTTTCAATAATTTCTTGAAGTTTATTCGTTCTATTTATTCAACGGGTGGATTATTATATATTTTTATAGAATTTAATCTCACATCAGTTGCAAATATATATATTTATTAAACCATAGTGAAAGTATACCCCATTCTCAAAATAGGGAATATTACACTCGTCTTAAACAGATCACATCAGAAATTTCTATAATGAATAGTACAAACGATAACCACCTACTTCCTTGACCTAATTCATAATTTGTTAAACATATGGTTGTATTTACTGTATGTCTTTTAAGCAAAGTTTGTAGAAAGTAATCATTTCAAGTTGTCTAGATTCAAAATAACTTTGTTAAACATTTGATTATATTTACTTTATGTTTTTTAAACAATGTTTGTATGTACATCGACTATGAACTATCGTCAGAAAGTGAGTGAACTTTGCTGTACCGCCACTACATCGGTACTTTTAATCTTTCGGAATTATTAACACATTGAAAAGATAATCATAAAAAATAAAAAATTCCCATCCCACCTTAAATAAGAGCAAACCTGTATTGTAGACGTTCATTTAAGGTGGCAACAAGACTGGAACCTCGACAAACGAGCCTGGAGCCTCGACAAACGAGCCTGGAGCCTCGACAAACGAGCATGGAACCTCGACAAACGAGCCTGGAGCCTCGACAAACGAGCCTGGAGCCTCGACAAACGAGCATAAAGCTTCGAAAAATACAGAAACGTTGGTCGGAGGAGTGGTTGGAGGTCTCATCGGCGGAGTCATCATCACTGCTGTCGTCGTATTGCTGTGGCGTGTGTGTCGCAAAAGTAGAAGGTATGGACGTATGAGCTCACACAGGTGCTTATAAGACAACCTGCTACGTCAACAATTAATGTTCCAACAGAGGGAATGCAGCTGCATGAATTAACACGTTTCGTGTAGGAGATGGGTGGAACTGTAATCATTTAGTTGTACTGTAATTACTGTTTTCTTTCCTTGTATTGGATAAATTGGACCCCTAAACTAGTTCAATGGGACTGATATTAGGATCAGGTGATCACGAACATTATAGGTTTGTCTGATCGTTGTTTAACGCCGCACTCAACAATATTCCAGCTGTACGACAAAGGTCTGTAAATAATCGAGTCTGGACCAGACAAGAAAGTGATTGACATCATGAGCATCGATCTACCCGATTGGGGTAAGATGAAATGCATCAACCACGTCAGTGAGCCTGACCACCTGATCCCGCTAGTAGCAACTTACGACAAACATGGGTTGAAGAAGACCAGTTCTAACCCGGATCTTCGCGGGTACCAAAACTTACCTTATGAATGAATGCTTGTACATATTGTAATTTGACTGCATTTAATTGCCTGAAGTAATTCTTTGCACAGACATCAAGAAAGTACCGGAGAACAGATGGCAGACACTCACGCATACCTGGGCCCAGTACGTCCAGATTCAATACAGTTATAATCCTCATACAAGTTTTCTTTACACGTGTAAAGTTCAAAAACCTTTAATCTTTACGCTCTTCCCATAGATGTATTGTTTCACATATTCGCCTTCTGATTGAGACTTTCTCAAGAACAACATTAAGTGTAAATTGCCAATGGGTTCTTTTTCTATTCTTTCACAACGGATGAAAATTTGATTTTTTGAACTTGCTATAATATATAAACTATATGTAAGTAGTTAATTGGGTTATACCTCTATCCTTAGGGTCACACCAGCGACTCACAAGACAAAAAGAAAGGAGCAAATGAAAAGTCTTCCTCTGTCCCTGACGTAGTTAAGACTTCAGTAGGATCTGATACTGGCGAGTGTGCGATCATCTCAGAGTCTGGCGACCAGGGAGACTACACTGAAATTACAGATGACATCACTGGGGCAGCAGGAGGGGGTTCTGTGACAACAGCAAGTCATGGGATGGACCCACAGGGAGGACGTAAACCACAGCATGCTGCTGACAAACCTGACGGAGAATATAACACACTGGGAAATGCTACTGTGACCAAAGCAGATGCTAAGCATACCTATGACAGGTTGGGAGACACTAACCCTGACAAAGCTCGCCTCGGGCACACTGGGAACAGCGGATCAGGTGCAGATGATTTCTTCCTGGAGGAATCTGAAGGCAACTACAACAGACTAGGGCATGGTGCTACTGCTATTACGACTGGTGTCAACAGTGAGTACAACAGGCTGGGGGACACTACTGAGGCTGGAAATTCTGAATTAACGGACACAGATGCGCCATCTTTGGATTACTTAGTCCTCGAGGAACCTGCAGACACGTACAACAAACTTGGAGTTGATGGGGCTGCAACTACGACTGATACAAAGAATACCTATGACCGATTAGGAAACACGAATGTTGATACAAGACCTAGAGATTCGGAACCATACGAAATCTTGCTGAAGAAATCAGGTGACACCTACACCAAGCTCGGAGAGAAACCGTCTGCCGATGAAGTGGAACACACGTACAACAAACTTGGAGGTGCTACACACAAGAGAGAACCTGACGTCCCTCCTGATGGTACCTAGGGACCCTCGTCATAGGTCTCAGCATAGCATGTGTCTTATACATTCATTGTTTAGTTCTGCAATGTATATAGTACTCAACCATATTTTAGCATTATTTGTTTTAAGAAGTTTAGAAAATTGGAATGTGTGGTGAAACGTTATTGAGCAGTCTAGAGAACATAATAATTTTGTCATACATGTAGCTCATGAGAATAATTTTTTTCAATTCTGAGAGGTGCCTCTCTTTGGTGTGTATGTCCCATGTGAGGATTTAGTCACAGCAAATGAGGATTTCGTACGTAGGATATTTTTAGAAACTGACTACTTTGTGTTTGTGTTTGTGGTCTGTCACTGAAAATCCAATATTTTTATATTTGTCTGGTTGAAAATGTATCTCGGTCTGTGAAAACAGTCACCTAACCTGGTGATGTTTTCTTCTCATAATCGAAACTGTCAATGGACGCAAGAGAAGGCGTCAATATTTTCACTGGGACGCATGTACCTTTTTATGTCAACTATTTCTGAGGTCGGTAGGTTTTCAATTAAATCACAGGGAATATAAAAATAATAAATACATATAATTACATATATATACATACATGTATATTCGTTGTATTACCATCAGTTATCATGCCCTGTTACTATTATTATTATTATTATTATTATTATTCTTTCCTTATATTTATCTGAATATGTAATGCTTGCTGTATGTTGCACTATCACGTGGCTTGTTCTTTAATGTGTGTCTGTACTTGGAATATAACATTAAAAAATATGAAATAAATAATAATATTTTGCTTAGCTCAAACTGTAATAATTTCATACTTTGAAGTTTACACTGTTTCTTTCATGCTGATTGGCTGAAAGGGTAGTCACGTGATCTGATATTTGGAGTTCACACACGTAACATTTTTCACATTTTTTTTGCAAACTTTTTTTGTGAACTTTTGCCAGAACTACTTTCCGGGGTTTCCCCGAATTCTCGATCGGTGTTTACGATCAACTCGTTTTTCTATTTTCTTCTAAATCCCAGCATTTATCAGCAATATATTTAATTTAGTATTTTTGCCTGGTGTTGTAACATTTCACATGACTTATAAATAAATAAATGCTTTGGTTCTGGTGATTGATGTCGCCTGGCTGTCCTTGCGGTGATTTGGATATGGAATGGCTATCTTTCAATACTTAGAACGCAAGTGAAGAAAATTAATTCTGTAAAATTACTGAGGTGAACGAAATTAATTTATTGAGCGATATTGACTTTGATGTCTTGTTTTCGGAAATGAGAGGAATCTAGCACCAATGAAAACAATGTCGTATCCTGCTCAGATGTGGCCGCTGACACAGAGCAAACGCGACTGCTTCTGATCAATCCCAAACTAAAACCCGATTTACTATCGTATCGGGAACAAAATGGATTTTGATAAACCATAAAACATAAAAAGGTAAGGAAAGAAACTTAAATAAAAAAAACCCAACAACTTGCCTACCTGTTTTATCGATTGGTCATCGGAGACGAGTAAATATCCTTAGACGGAATTAGAAATCTAGATATATCTACTAATCCGCTTTCTGAGTTGGCCGACCTTCTCCGTGCATTATAGGCCGAGAAGCGGTGGCACAGTAATGAAGCTGGCATCAGGTCATACAGTAGGTCCATCTCAGGTGACAAGAAACACCAGCTACGCAAAGTATTACAGCACACGCGACAAATCCCAAACTCAAAATATAGCACCCTCACGTTGAAAATTAACACAAAACACACACGTTTCAGAGCACTCGGTTCAATCCCCACCAGTCCATTCCGCATCGTCCGAATTGGTTTGCGATTATCCAAACACAAGCAACACATTCATAAATCGGTGATATTCCCAATTTGCTAGTGCCATGAGAGGGTTCACGCGTCGGGTTGTTTTCCATAACTGCTCCATAAACTTCATTTTCAACAGCAGTAAGTATAAATTTCATCCTCAGTCATGCTCCCGTTCGACTCGAAATGCACCTATTTACAAACTTATGTGACGTCATATATAAATCCGCCCTTGAAGGCTGTCCTCGCCTCGGTGCATCGAGGTCATGTTTATATTTTTGTTCAACTTCCTGTAACCTATTTTCAAGATTTGGTTTTATCCCAAATATTGTTTGTCAATTTGTATCGAGAATGAAATTATGTTGACATATTACTAGATTATGTTGTATATATTCAAAGAACTATTTTCTTTGCGTAACTGAGTATGAGTGGGGCAACGCATGTGACCGAGAACCGGCAAATACCGACAAAATAACATTGTTGCAATGTTCTTCGGCGAAACCAGAGGACTTTAAATTTAAGCAAACATTGTTACGACATTATTCGGCGAGACCAGTAAACTACAAAGTAAGCTCGGAGGTTCACACAGTTTCACCAGCGCTTTTAAATCGTTCACACTTCAATGAACCCATGCAAACTGACGTTCAATTCTTAAGTGTTTACTAAACGTTTCATTTTTGGCATTCTCGAAGTTGGTGAGTAAATAAGTAAACATACAACTTTATTGAAAACAACTTCTGGTTTACTGCATTTAGCGACGTTTCTATGCAGATTCTTACATCGATGGAATGGTTTCAGCCAAGCGATAAGAGGCTATAGTCATCAAATGTTGTGATACTTATACAATATAATTGTTAATGCATCCGAACGTTCAGTAAGGGCAAGGCTTAAACAGCTGATTGGATACTAATGATTTGTTCGTTTGTTTGTTGTTTAACGCCGCACTTAGCAATATTCCAGATATATGACGGCGGTCTGTAAATAATCGAGTCTGAACCAGACAATCCAGTGATTGACATCATGAGCATCGATCCACGCAATTGGAATACGATGACATGCATCAAGCAAGTGAGCGAGTCTTACCACCTGATCCCATTATCACCTCTGACGACAGGCATTTTCCTGTATACCTTAAACCTTTTCTATTGCATAAAAAAGGTATCTGTACACAATTTTCATTTGGTATTAAGCTTGCAAGTGTGTGCGTGAATTTTCACGGGGTCAAAATTACTTAAATTGAAGGGAAAATGCATATAATTTGACAAAATTGGCTGTAACATTTTTATTAAGTCATTAAACTATCCAAATTATGTCTTTGATCATAGGTTGAATGTTCGGTTGTATGAATTTGGCAAGCAGTTTGTTTCATTTAACTGTTATTCTAATTCTCAGTGAAAACATTGATTAAAATGTTTTTTCTTCTTTTTCAAATCTTGTGAGTAGGTAAAACATTAATTCCATTGGATTTTGGCAATACAAACACTATAACTGCATATCAAAATCTGCATAGTCCATTGTGCTATCCTATACAGGAAACAAAATGAAAATATATTAAAAAGGGGCTGAGATATTGTATACAATGTTACCCCACCCCCTAAAACAAATTTTGACCAAAAATTGCTTATTGAGATATGGTGGTAGATTATAATAATGTAGTGGAATTATAACACACACAAATAATAAAATGATAAAGAAAAATGATGTTTCAAGTTTTTCTATGAACATCTATGGTGGCCATCATGAATTTCAAGAAGGCTGCCATTTTGACCTGTTTTCAAAATCAGGGTCTAATATAGTTCTTCAACATGGTCATGTAATATATCATATGAAAGCTGTTACATTGTCTTTTAAATGATGTACATTATTCACTGAGATCTGTGGTAAATTGACCCCTAACAATAAAACAAATGATATATTGAAAGCGATTTTCTCTAGCGACACCAACCCACCCCCAAAGTCAGATAACAATTAAAATTGACATAGTTTCGCTCAAAATCGTAGATATACTGCACTTTTGTCCGAGCATTTTACTAGTTTATCATTTGAGTGAATAACAACATATGTGAATACTTGAAGTATTATGAAGTATATAAAAATTACATCACAGAGTTAAGGGCTGTGAAATAATGTCACCTCAAGTCACCGTCAGAGTCCTTCTCTTCTGGAGAGGTAGGTAAGTTGTTTCTGTTTAGGCATGACATAGCACAATTGCATCAAAAGGAACATCAGATGTTGTTCTTGGCGCAGGTACACCTGGATGAGGAGCACCTGCTTATTGTATATTTGCGAATAATTCTAGACACAGTTAGACAACCAAAACCACATGTTATCATGGTTGGAAATGCGAATACAAAATGTCATCAGATGTAAAAAAAGGTGGTTGTTAAACAACAAACACCCAATCAGTTGTGTACTCAACAAAAATCATTTTATTTATTTTCTATTGTCAACCCTTTGTGATGAGGATGATATACATACCAGCCAAAAGACAAATTAAGGACCATCCGAATCGGCAATCACAATTGCATGGATCGATGCTCATGATATCAATCACTGGATTGACTTGTCCAGACTCGATTATTTACAGACCACCAACAAAAAGCTGGAATATTGCGGATTGCGGCATTGAAGAACAAACAAAGAAACGAAATATTGGACTTAATAATACACAACAGCCACTAATCTTGAGATGCACACAATATCTTTATTAAAAAGGAAACCCCAGGACGTTCTGATAATGATAATAAAGTCGAATGGTTTTTCACAATCAAGCATCCCCCTATCTCTATATTTTAACACAAGGAGTGCAACTACTATCGCCTATTACTCGTGGCACTCGTGGCACTGGTGGCACTTGTGTGTTTATGTGTAAAAGTGGGGTGTTTCATAGTAAAAATATATTTTAATCATAATCAGAACTACCGATTCCTGTGAAGAAACATACAGTGGATTTGTTGTTAGCTGATCAATCAAAGAGACCAAGTCATAGCCAAAGACTGAAGAGCGTAAACAGATGGAGGAGTACATCATGGCTACCCGCTACTACAGGAAGATGATGGAAATACCGCCCCGAGATAAAAATGGCATCGTTGGTTTACTTATGAAAGTGTATACGATCGGTGAAATAACGGACAGAATATAACAAAATAATCGGGGAATACAGTGGACACAGATATGATGTAAAATACAAGAAAGAACATGTTTTTTACCAGGTGATAGTTTCTTGAAATTTCCTTTTTCCCATATAAAAAATACGGTGGTTGTAATCCATAAAAAAGTAGGTGTGTTCCATTATGAAAAATAGAGTGACTTGAGTCAACTGAGGTAACCACATTTCTGGCAACCGGGGTTGATTAGAGTCAATCTGAGTTAACCAGTGTTAATCAAGGATAACCTAGGGCAGTATCCGAAACAGCTCATAAAATGCAACCTTAGATCTACTAGTTGCTGCCAGCAAACAGAGATACCCAACAACCCTACAACACACAACTTGAGTTAACAAGTGTTATATTTCTTGACAAAGCTCACTCCTGCATTTTACCCTTATATTGCGATTGTGAACATCGCTGTAGAGCCATCACATCGATACTTTTAATCTTTAGAAATTATAGTTAATTTGGTTTAAAAATAATAAATTTCCATCATCACTTAAATAGGAGCAAACCTGTTTCTTTAAAGGTCGCCGTGGTTAGCGTGGCTTGACAAACGCTCCTGGAACCCCGACGAACGCTCCTGGAACCCCGACGAACGCTCCTGGAACCCCGACGAACGCTCCTGGACCTCCGACGAACGCTCCTGGAACCCCGACGAACGCTCATGGAACCCCGACGAACGCTCATGGAGCCCCGATAAACAATCCTGGAATCTCGACAGACAAGCATGGAGCCTCGCAAAAGACAGGAACATTGGTCAGAGGAGTGGTTGGAGGTCTCATCGGCGGAGTCATCATCACTGCTGTCGTCGTATTGCTGTGGCGTGTGTGTCGCAAACGTAGAAGGTATGCACGCATGAGCTCACACAGGTGCTTATAAGACAACCTGCTACGCCAACAATTGATCATGTTCCAACAGAGGGAAGGCAGCTGCAGAAATTGACAGGTTTCGTGTAGGAGATGGGTGGAACTGTTTTCATTCTGTAATTAATGTCTTCTTTCCTGGTAGAGCGTATTGGATAAATTGGACCCCTAAACTAGTTCAAAGGGACTGATATAGGGATCAGGTGATCACGACCAATATAGCTTTGTCTGATCGTTGTTTAACGCCGCACTCAACAATATTCCAGCTATATGACGGTGATCTGTAAATAATCGAGTCTGGACAAGACAAGAAAGTGATTGACATCATGAGCATGGATCTACCCGATTGGGATACGATGACATGCATCAACCACGTCAGTGAGCCTGACCACCTGATCCCGCTAGCAGCATCTTACGACAAACATGGGTTGAAGAAGACCAGTTCTAACCCGAATCTTCGCGGGTATCAAAACTTACCTTATGAATGAATGCTTGTACATATTGTAATTTGACTGCATTTAATTGCCTGAAGTAATTCTTTGCACAGACATCAAGAAAGTCCCGGAGAACAGATGACAGACACTCACGCATACCAGTACAGTTATAATCCCCATACAAGTTTTCTTTACATGTGTAAAGTTCAAAACCTTTAATCTTTACGCCCTTCCCATAGATGCATTGTTTCACATATTCACCTTCTGATTGAGAATTTCTCAAGAACAACATTAAGTGTAAATTGCCGGTGGCTTTTTTTCTATTCTTTCACAACGGATGGAATTTGATTTTTTTGAACTTGCCATATAAACTATAAGTAAGTAGTTAATTGGGTGATACCTCTGTCTTTAGGGTCACACCAGCGACTCACAAGACAAAAAGAAAGGAGCAAATGAAAAGTCTTCCTCTGTCCCTGACGTAGTTACGACTTCAGTAGGATCTGATACTGGCGATTGTGCGATCATCTCAGAGTCTGGCGATCAGGGAGACTACACTGAAATTACAGATGACATCCTGGCAGCAGGAGGGGGTTCTGTGACAACAGCAAGTCATGGGATGAACCCACAGGGAGGACGTAAACCACAGCATGCTGCTGACAAACCTGACGGAGAATATAACACACTGGGAGATGCTATTGTGACCAAAGCAGGTGCTAAGCATACCTATGACAGGTTGGGACACACTAACCCTGACAAAGCTCGCCTCCGGCACACTGGGAACAACGGATCAGGTGCAGATTATTTCGTCCTGGGGGAATCTGAAGACAACTACAACAGACTAGGGCATGGTGCTACTACTATTACGACTGGTGTCAACAGTGAGTACAACAGGCTGGGGGACACTACTGAGGCTGGAAATTCTGAATTAACGGACACAGATGCGCCATCTTTGGATTACTTAGTCCTCGAGGAACCTGCAGACACGTACAACAAACTTGGAGTTGATGGGGCTGCAACTACGACTGATACAAAGAATACCTATGACCGATTAGGAAACACGGATGTTGATAGAGATTCGGAACCTTACGAAATCTTGCTTAAGAAATCAGGTGACACCTACACCAAGCTCGGAGAGAAACCGGTTGCCGATGAAGTGGAACACACGTACAACAAACTTGGAGGTGCTACAAACAAGAGAGAACCTGACGTCCCTCCTGAAGTTACTGAGGGACCCTCGTCATAGGTCTCAGCATAGTCTTATACTTTCATTGTTTAGTTCTGCAATGTATATAGTACTCAACCATATTTAAGCATTATTTGTTTTAGGAAGTTAAGACAATTGGAATGTGTGGTGAAACTTTATTGAGCAGACTAGAGGACATAATAATTTTGTCATACATGTAGCTCATGAATATCATTTTTTTCAATTCTGAGAGGTGCCTCTCTTTGGTTTGTATGTCCCATGTGAGGATTTAGTCAAGTTAATGATTTCGTACGTAGGATATGTTTAGAAACTGACTACTTTGTGTTTGTGTTTGGGGTCTGTCACTGAAAATCCAATATTTTCATATTTGTCTGGTTGAAAATGTATCTCGGTCTGTCCTTTGGTCAGAAATTGTAAATAAAAATTGTAGGATTTGAAAACAGTTACCTAATCTGGGGATGTTTTCTTCTCATAATCGAAACTGTCAATGGACGCAAGAGAAGGCGTCAATATTTTCACTGGGACGCATGTACCTTTTTATGTAAACTATTTCTGAGGTCGGTAGGTTTTCAATTAAATCACAGGGAATATAAAAATAATAAATAAACATACATATAATTACATGTATATATATATATATATATATATATATATATATATATATATATATATATATATATATTCGTTGTATTACCATCAGTTATCAAACCCTGTTATTATTATTATTATTATTATTATTATTATACTTTATTTATATTTATCTGAATATGTCATGCTTGCTGTATGTCGCACTACCATGTGGCTTGTTCTTTAATGTGTGTCTTTACTTGGAATATAACATGAAAAAATATGAAATAAATAATAATATTTTGCTTAGCTCAAACTGTAGTGTTTACTAAACGTTTCATTTTTGGCATTCTCGAAGTTGGTGAGTAAATAAGTAAACATACAACTTTATTGAAAACATCTTCTGGTTTACTGCATTTAGCGACGTCTCTATGTAGATTCTTACATCGTTGGAATGACTTCAGCCAAGCGATAACAGGCTATAGACATCATATGTTGTGATACGTATACAATATAATTGTTAATGCATCCAAACGCACAGTAAAGGGCAAGGATTAAGCAGCTGATTGGATACTAATGATTTGTTCGTTTGTTTGTTGTTTAACGCCGCACTTAGCAATATTCCAGCTATATGACGGCGGTCTATAAATAATCGAGTCTGAACCAGACAATCCAGTGATTGACATCATGAGCATCGATCCACGCAATTGGAATACGATGACATGCATCAACCAAGTCAGCGAGTCTGACCACCTGATCCCGTTATTCACCTCTGACGACGGGCATAGTCGCCTTTTACGGCAATCATGGGTTGCTGAAGACCTATTCTACGGGTCCTGAAAACAAGGCTTCCTGTGAGAATAGTGACCCTAATAACTTACCCTTGGCGGCAAAGATTGGGGTGGGCTAGACAACAGCATGGTTTACAGACGCATCAAGGTTTTGTCTCCGATTTACAGATGGCAGAAAACGTTGTTGGCGACGTAGCGGCGAGCGGTATGCCAGGGCAACAATTCTTGACCATGATCGGTCTGGGGGCGGTAGTGCCATGGTGTCACTGTAGGGCAGTGTCACACATGACAGGCGAACTGATTTGGTTATTGTGAAAGGAGCATCAATCCACGCACTTCGGATGCAAGTGTGTGCGTGAATTTTCACGGGGTCAAAATTGCTTAAATTGAAGGAAAATGCATAATTTGTCAAAATTGGCTGTAACACTTTTATTAAGTCATTAAACTATCCAAATTATGTCTTTGATGACAGGTTAAATGTTCGGTTATATGAATTTGGCAAGCAGTTTGTTTCCTCTTACTGTTATTCTAATTCTCAGTGAAAACATAAAGCGATTCTCAGTGATAAATTGTTTTTTTCTTCTTTTTCAAATCTTACGAGTAGGTAAAACACTAATTCCATTGGATTTTGGCAATAAAAACACTATTACTGCATATCAAAATCTGCATAAACCATTGTGCTACCCTATACAGAAACAAAATGAAAATATATTTAAAAGGGGCTGAGATATTGTATACAATGTTACCCCACCCCCCTTAAACCAATTTTGACGAAAATTGCTTATTGAGATATGGTGGTAGATAAAAAAATAATGTAGTGGATGAGTGGGATTATTGCAAGAATGCTTCAAAACACACAAAAAATAAAATGATAAAGAAAAATGATGTTTCAAGTTTTTTCTATGAACATCTTTGGTGGCTATCATGAATTTCAAAAGGCTGCCATTTTGACCTGTTTTTAAAATCAGGATCTAATATAGTTCTTCAACATGGTCAGCTAATATATCATATGAAAGCTTTTTACATTGTCTTTTCGATGATGTACATTATTCACTGAGTTCTGTGGTAAATTGATCCCTAACAATAAAACAAATGATATATTGAAAGCGATTTTCTCTAGCGACACCAACCCAACCCCTAAGTCAGATTTCAATTAAATTTGACATAGTTTCGCTTAAAATTGAAGATATACTGCACTTTTGTCCGAACATTATGTGAATACTTGTAGTATTATGAAGTATATAAAAATAACATCACAGGGTCAAGGGCTGTGAAATAATGTCACCTCAAGTCACCGTCAGAGTCCATCTCTTCTAGAGAGGTAGGTAAGTTGTTTCTGTTTAGGCATGACATAGCACAATTGCATCCAAAGGAACATCAGATGTTGTTCTTGGCGCAGCTACACCTGGATGAGGAGCACCTGCTTATTGTATATTTGCGAACAATTCAAGATACAGTTCTTAATACTTCAATGGATACCCTCAACAAATTCTATCAAATGTCAGGACTTAAAATAAATGTAGAAAAAACAAAAGCAATTTGGATAGTATCATTGTCTGAAAGTAATCTAGTTTTAGCACAAGACTTTAAACTTGATTGGCATAAGGGAGATTTTGAAATTTTAGGGATAACTTTAAATACATCATTGAACAACCTTTGGGTAACAATACTAGAAAAAGAATAGAACATATTAATAGACTACTAGCTAATTGGCGTAGAAGAACCTTAACTCTTATTGGAAAAATGACGGTTATCAAAACTCTTGCTATATCAACTCTGGTACACATCTTCTCTGCTCTACCCAATCCACCTAAAGCTTTTATTACCGACCTAAACACATTAATTTTTAGATTCCTTTGGAATAACAAAAACGACAAAATTAAGAGATCACCTATTAGTAGAAATTATGAAGATGGAGGTCTAAGGATGATAGATATTGAATGTTTTATCAATGCTCTCAAACTATCTTCATTACAGATTCTACAACAATCTTCCCTCTAAAACATCTTTTCAAACTTGGTTCTAATGCTGTAGAATGTTTATCTAAACATGACAACCCTTATTGGAGAGATGAATTGTCTGCTTGGAAGATATTTTACCAAAAAATGAAGGAATTTGTATGAATATGATTTAGACCACATTCTGAATCAACCACTGTGGCTGAATCATTTATTTAAATCATCTTATATTATAAAAAACTGGTTTAATCAAGGTGTCCAGAGTGTTAGAGACCTTTGCGACAACAACGGTTTTCTTAGTTTTGAAAATTTCAAACAAAAATATAAGATCCAGGGAACTTTTCTAGACTTTCAAAAATTACTGAACAATATTCCAAAGAGTTGGAGATTTCAAATCAGAGACAAAACCCTTGATGTTAATGTAGTTCAGCTGAACAATATATGTAAACACTTCTTTAATAACGTTAAAAAATCAAGGACTTTTTATGATGAACTAATTAGGAAGGATACTGTACCGAAATCATTAGAACACTGGAATATAGTTTTTGCTCAAGGTTTGGATTGGAAAGATATACTTCTATGTTATAGAAAATGCACGCGCGATTGTAAACTTTTAGATTTTCAATATCGATTTATAAACGGAATAATTTACACTAAGAAAGAATTATTCAAGATGAAACTGTAAAACTGCTTCTGAAGATATGTCTCATGTATATTTCGATTGCCAATCTGTTCAACAATTTTGGCTTAAAATTGAAAACTTCCTAAATAACAACCTGCAAACAAATTTTATCCTTTCGAAACTTAATATCTTTTTTGGTATTTCCACTCAAAACCATGTAACAAATCATATTATTATACTAGCAAAAAGATTCATCTACATATCAAACATAAAACAACAAGATTTATCTTTCGAGCAATTTCTTTCACTACTAAAAGACACAATTTGTTTGGAAAGTTTTATCGCTAAAAAAAAATAATCAATTTAACCAATATGCTCAGAAATGGCAAAACTTACATCTCATAATCTAACGAAGCAGTTGAAACATACTACCTGTTAGTTATCATCTATTTCTTGTAAACAAATATTTATAATCTCCCTCTAAGTTTGAGAAGATGACATATCCTACACAACCTGCCTGTCCTCACCTATGAAAACTATAACTTGTGTTAATAGTGTCATATATATACATGTTAATACCTACACTTGTAACAATATACATGAAATGGAATAATTAAAAAAAAGATTTAAAAAAAAAATTAAAAAAAATTGACATAGTTTCGCTTAGAATTGTAGATATACTGCACTTTTGTCTGAGCATTTTACTAGTTTATCATTTGAGTGAATAAAAACATATGTGAATACTTGTAGTATTATGAAGTATATAAAAATTACATCACAGAGTCAAGGGCTGTGAAATAATGTCACCTCAAGTCACCGTCAGAGTCCTTCTCTTCTGGAGAGGTAGGTTAGTTGTTTCTGTTTAGGCATGACATAGCACAATTGCATCCAAAGGAACATCAGATGTTGTTCTTGGCGCAGCTACATCTGGATGAGGAGCACCTGCTTATTGTACATTTGCAGGTGAACAATTCTAGACACAGTTCATAATGTTACTTTAACAACCAAAACCACATGTTGTCATGGATGGAAATGCGAATACAAATTGTCATCAGATGTAAAATAAGGTGGTGGTTAAACAACAAACACCATATCAGATGTGTACAAAAATCATTTTATTTATTTTCTATCGTTTTAAAATGTCTTCCAACTGTCCGCTCTTTGTGAGGATGATGATAAACATACCAGCCAAAAGACTACTCAAATCAATTAAGGACCATCCGAATCGGCACACAACCCAATCAATTAGGTCAGCACACAAAACATGTATACCATTTAGTTTGGAACTAAATTCTGAACAGCACTCTGTAGAATACTATTAAAAGAAGTTCAGGACCACAAGACAACCCTGTGCTTGTAGTAAGAGGCGACTAACGGGATCGGGTGGTCAGGCTCACTGATCATGAGTTGGTTGATGCATGTCATCATATCCCAATTGTATGGATCGATGCTCATGATATCAATCACTTGAATTTCTAGTCCAGACTCGATTATTTACAGACCGCCGACATATGGCTGGAATATTGCGGAGTGTGGCATTAAAGAATAAACAAAGAAACGAAATATTGGACTTAATAATACACAACAGCCACCAATCTTGAGATGCACACGATATCTTTAATAAAAAGAAAAACCCAGGACGTTCTGATTATGATAATAAAGTCGTATGGTATTTCACAATCAAACATCCCCTTATCTCTATATATTAACACCAGGGGTGCAATGTCATCTCTTCATATTTCGCCTATTACTCGTGGCTCTCATGGCACTCGAATGTTTATGTGTAAAAGAGGGGTATTTCATTGTAAAAATATATTTTAATCGTATTCGGAACTACTGATTCCTGCGAAGAAACATACAGTGGATTTGTTGTCAGCTGATCAATCAAAGTTCAAGTCATAGCCATAGACTGAAGTGCGTAAACAGATGGAGGAGTACATCAAGACTACTACTATGCACACAACTACAATTTACTTAATACACAACTCTACAAACAACTTCTGTTTAATCCAACACACTCGTACACAGGTATTTACTCGTTACTCCAAAACACTACTAAGCACACAACTACTTTTGCGTAATACACTAATATACACACAAATACTGTTTACGCAATACAAAACCATACAGGCAACTACTATTTACTCAATACACTACTATACAGACATGTACTGTTTACTCAATACACAACTATACAGAGAACTACTGTTTGCTCAATACACTACTATAGAGACAAGTACTGTTTACTCAATATACTACTATACACACAACTACTGTTTACTCAATACACTACTATACACTCAACTACTGTTTACTCAATACACTTCTATACAGACAACTACTGTTTACTCAATACTCTACTATACACACAACTACTGTTTACTCAATACACTTCTATACAGACAACTACTATATACTCAATGGACAACTATAGAGACAACCACTATTCACTCAATACACAGCTATAGAGACAACCACTGTTTACTCAAAACACAACTATACAGACAACTACTGTTTACTCAATACACTTCTATAAGGACCACTACTATTTACTTAAAACAGAACTATAGAGACAACTACTGTTTACTTAATACACAGCTATACACACAACTACTGTTTACTCAATACACTTCTATACAGACAACTACAGTTTACTCAATACTCTACTATACACACAACTACTGTTTACTCAATACACTACTATACAGACATCTACTGTTTACTCAATACACAACTATACCGACAACTACTGTTTACTCAATACACAGCTATACAGACAACTACTGTTTACTCAATACACTTCTATACAGACAACTACTGTTTACTCAATACTCTACTATACAAACAACTACTGTTTACTCAATACACTTCTATACAGACAACTACTATATACTCAATGAACAACTATAGAGACAACCACTGTTTACTCAAAACACAACTATACAGACAACTACTGTTTACTCAATACACTTCTATAAGGACAACTACTATTTACTTAAAACAGAACTATAGAGACAACTACTGTTTACTTAATACACAGCCATACACACAACTACTGTTTACTCAATACACTTCTATACAGACAACTACTGTTTACTCAATACACAACTATACAGACAACAACTGTTTACTCAAAACACAACTATACAGACAACTACTGTTTACTCAATACACAACAATAGAGACAACTACTGTTTACTCAATACACAACAATAGAGAGAACTACTATTTACTCAATACACAACAATAGAGACAACTACTGTTTACTCAATACACAACAATAGAGACAACTACTGTTAACTCAATACACAACTATAAGGACAACTTCTGTTTACTCAATACACTTCTATAGAGGGAACTACTGTTTACTCATGATCAATACACTTCTATAGAGGCAACTACTGTTTACTCAATACACAACTATACAGAGAACTACTGTTTGCTCAATACACTACTATAGAGACAAGTACTGTTTACTCAATATACTACTATACACACAACTACTGTTTACTCAATACACTACTATACACTCAACTACTGTTTACTCAGTACACTACTATACACACAACTACTGTTTACTCAATACTCTACAATACACACAACTACTGTTTACTCAGTACACTATTAAACAGACAACTGCTGTTTACTCAATGCTCTACTGTACACACACCACTGTTTACTCAATACACTACTATATACTCAACTACTGTTTACTCAGTACACTACTATACACACAAATACTGTTAATTCAATACTCTACAATACACACAACTACTGTTTACTCAGTACACTATTGTACAGACAACCACTGTTTACTAAATACTCTACTATACACACTACTGTTTGCTCAATACACTACAATACAGACAACTACTGTTTTAACATTGATATACAGACAACTACTGTTTACTCAGTACACTTATATACACACAACTACTGTTTACTATATACAGAACTATACACACAACTGCTGTTTGCTCAATACACTACTAAACACTCAACTACTGTATACTCAATACACTACTGTACACACAATTTCTGTTTACTCAATACACTACTATACACACTACTGTTTGCTCTCATACACTACTATACAGACAACTACTATTTGCTCAATTCACAACTATACATCCAACTTCTGTTTACTCAATACACTACTATACACAATACTATTGTTTGCTCAAAACACTTCTATACACTCAACTACTGTTTACTCCCACACAATACAATACACACACCTACTTTTTGCTCTAATACACTAATTTACACACAACTACTGTTTGCTAAATACACTACTATACATACAACTTCTGTTTGCTCAATATACTGATATACACACCACTGTTTTCTCAATATACTACTATACAGACATTTTTCTCAAGCACACTATTTTACTGACAACTGCTAATCAATAATACAGCACATGGAATTTATTGCTTGCACAAAAGAAAATACTTTGTTTTAAACGTTTTAAAACATATTTCTGTACATAAAACAGGGACTTTTGTACCAGATGTATTTCACAATTGAACATAAACGAAGGAAAATAAATGTGTTATGATTATTACAGCCATGGGTACTATACAACATTCATATATTTTTTCAAATATCTTTAGGGGCCGTTGAAGTGTTATCTGTTTCTGTACATTACATGAAGATCACATGGATTCACATGGGGACAGAACATAAACTGGCCATTGCTTAGCTTGGGTATTGTTTTTTTCATGACATGATTATTTTGGCACAGAAAAGTAAATATAATTTTGGTAAAGTTTTACGAAATTGCAGTAATCATCTGCGAAACAATGATAAATATATGGTTATGCAGGCATCACCTGAGTCAGAAATACTCCTTGTCGGTCATTTGAAACATTAGGTATACCAGGGTTTCTTCCCTTGTACTGCAGTTAAACGAAATGTGTACACGTAATACTGTTTGCCCGAATCCGATGTTCACAAGTATTGCATGTGGCACCGACCCGTGAAGATCTGGGTTAGAATGGGTCTTCTGTAACCCATTTTATACCATAAGATGCGATTATGCTTGTCATAAGAGGCGACTAAAGGGATGGGGTTGTCAGGCTCGCTGACTTTGTTGATGCATTTCATCGTACAAATTACATAGATCGATGCTCATGTTGTCAATCACTGGATTGTCTTGTCCAGACTCGATGATTTACAAAACCCCGTCATATAGCTGGGATGTTGCTGAGAGCGGCGTTCAACAACAAACAAACAATTGCGCACTGCGTTTCAAATCACACTTTCGGTCACTGTGACATTGAAGATTCAAGGTAAACCAGTGCAGTATTTCAAGTGTTATTTGTTATTTTTAAGCGGCATTGTTGTTCCAACATTTGTGATAAAAGATGTAGCTAGATAAATAACACTTTTGATATGACAAAGTCTACACTTTTCCCTGTCCACAATGCGTGGCACAAGCCATGAATCATTTTACAACTTCGTGTGTACAGGAAAACATTTAAACACAGCAAATAAGCAGTGACTGTAAAGTCACGATTTTTCCTGTCCCGTGTTACGTAACACCCCTTGACAGCGGACGAAGCCCCACCCTATTCATTGTAATCAGAGCGTTACAGTCTTTTATACAAACAACATGTGATTGAGGTAAGGATATACTTCCCGGTCTGATCTGTGTTGGTATTGCTCAAGGTACCGACACAGTAAGATCGACTCCAGTCAACTAATTTGAGGTCAGTTTCAATATACCTACTTTCTGTGACAAACGTTCATTTCTTTCAACTCTGGAGGAAAGTGTGTTACATGCATATAACTCATAACCGCTTCGAGTGGCCTCATTAACTAAGTGGTCAGAAATAATCAGGAATGAATGTCATTTGATGGAGGATTTCCGAGTGCGGTTTATCAGAAACACTGCTGATGGTTTGGTTGAGTTGCTAGCAGTGTAGTCATTGGTCACTTCGTACAAGTTTCATCCAAATGGGTTTATGGTTCCATATCTATGTACTGTACTACTTTCCTTCTGCATATGAGACTTGATAAGAACGCTTCACAGACGAACCAAGATTAGGTGTTCGTCTGTAAAAGCTGACAACTCTACAGATTATGACAGGGAACAGACCAATACACGGTATAAGAAATAACAGATCGGGAATTATGCATAATATACGGCCTTAAGCAGTTATAGATGGATCACGGGGAGATGGATTAGCGAGGTCCACTTGAAATTGAAGTTAAATCATTATGATGACGTCACGCTTTTGTTGTTGTTGATTCTGAGCAAGGATTTCCTGAATGTGTAAAACTGACACAACTGTAGGTCATTATACACAATTAGAGAGAGATTAAATATAACTATAACATGGTTTTAGTCAGAGAAATCACTCGAATCCGGAACTAGAATCACCAGATTCTCACAATTTCCCCAGTATGTATTACCAACACGTAGTTAGTCAGTGTTGATATGGCAATGTTTACATGTATATGAAATCAGCAGGAAAACATGCCGCCATATCACTGAAGTTACTTTCCCAGCCCGTGTACAAATATACCGACAAACACTACCGCTATGTAAAGCATGACTGAACACGAAACACGCGCCTGTTCTGTTACTTTGGCTAAAGGTTTTATCACTCTAATCTGCCTTGAAATTGTCGTTTTTTTCACACATTACATATTCTCATTACAGATTTCTGACCGGCGTAACAAATGGAGGGAGTGTATGTATTTGTAGGTATGGAACTGTGCACAGCTTCATAATATCTAGTTAGATTGTTATTAGTATATGCAACATTTCTGATAGTTTTAGCCTTTATTGAAATTTTGCGGTTTGTGTAAGTTTCAACATGAATTTATTTTGCTCATGATGAGTCGCTCAAGGCAGAGATTTCATATGAGTGAGTTGGGTTTGACGCCGGTTTTAACAGTATTCCAGTTATATCACGGCTTGTCAGCTTAATGTGGGAGGAAAGTCCGAAGTGATGCAGGTCTCAGAAGTTTACCACTTCGGTGAAACCCACGACCACGGGTATGGTGCTGACAAACCTAGAAACATAATCGGGTCGAAACGGGATTCGAACCCACAATCATAGGTTTCAGGCGTGGATTTCTTATGAACATGGAAAGTGTTTTGTCGCTGTTATTTACATCAGAAATATGGACAGGGACTTTGTTAAGTGTCGATTCCCAAATTGAAACAATATGTTAATCCTGAAATCTGTACATAATAGAACTTAGTGTGAAACCAACAAACAACCAACAAATGTTATACAATCAACAAATATATTACAAAACTCACTAAGTTTACAAATCAATACAAATTACTGCACATCGATTACAATTACAGTAAACAATAGAGTAGTAGTACAATATTGAATGGCAATAAATAATATGATGGCAGTGTTCAGTATCATATACAAAAATACAGTGGTGACAGGAAAAGTCAGTGATAATATATATTCACCCAGTGGCGACAGTGGTCAAGCTTTCGTGATGGACTAGGCAGGCAGTCAGGGATGATGAGCGATCCTCACATAAAAGCTGGTCTTGACGTGATGAAAATGCACGCGCATGCGTGTGTGTGTTACGAAAAGACGCTATTGTATCCTTATATACTGTCCAACTGACTTTGATTACTTGCTCGACAGCGCTGTAAGGCTCTGTACAATGCACAACGTGTCTCGCCGTCTCCGGAAGGTACCACACCACTCTTAATATAGTAACTGACTGACGACTGCATACGTTAACAAGTACTACATACCTGACGACTAATCACTGCCCAAATACAATGCAATGAACGGCTACCGAATCTCTACAGAAACAATGTAACACCGTTACAATCATTGTTAAACAATAAAACACACCGCCATATAACAACTTATGGACACGTATATGCTGTTTACGAGATATTGGACATATGGGTTGATTTCAATACCCTCTATAGTCGCCACCATTTTTATAATTTATGCTTAGTTGTATTATTTTGTGAACTGGCAAATATATGAAATGAGGAATGCTATAATCAATTTACATTCAAACTTTCAATGATTTGACAAGAAATATACTCTTCAAAAAAAGAAACGCAATGCGGACATTGTTGGCCATAAAAACAAAATTGGCGGACCAAAATTGGATGTGCAAAATAAAGAGGTTTAATATGTTATAGTGTCAGTGACAAATTTCCCGGATCAAAATGATCCCAGCAAGGACATGCAAACCATTATTCAGGAAACACGTACGATTAGGAAAAACGCACCCAGTGCATTAACAAAAGGACCATGGAACTGCACGCACTGCACTATGAACGGTATTAAAGTGCAGGTTCTCGTTGCCTGGCATCCGCGTCAATCGAACAGTAACAGTTCGACAACATGTCAAGATAATCAGAAGTGCAAAGAAACAACGTCATAGGCCGCTTGCAGGCAGGGGAATCCCGTTCAGCTGTAGCCAGGGTCTCCTCCGTCGAGGGGATGGAAGACCACGGGTCTACAGACGTCGGGGAGAACGTAACGCCGGAAACTGCGTACAGGAAGTGGACAGGTTTGGTGGGGGTAGCTTTATGATGTGGACGGATATATCTCATCATGGCAGGACAGGTTTGGTCCATATCCAGGGCAACCTTACGCCTCAACGATACATCAACGACATTGTCCTACCTCACGTCCTCCCAATTGCAGCCAACGGCAACGGTGTTTTCCAGCAGGACAGTGCTCGACCGCATACAACACGGATCACAAGAGCCTGTCAACACAACAACAACGTTAATGTTTTCCCCTGGCCCTCCAGATCCCCGGATTTGAACCCGATAGAGCACCTGTGGGATGAATTGGATAGACGGCAACGCCGACGTCAAACACAATCCCAGACGTTGCAGCAGTTGGCTTTTCCGTTGCAGGCCGCGTGGGCTACCATTCCCCAGGATGTGATTCGCATACTCGTCTCTTCCATGGGCAGGAGATGTCAGGCCGCTATCGATTCCAGCGGGGGACAAACGCGTTATTGATTGTAACTGACCTACACCTTGGACTTTTCCTATGTATCGATAACTGAGATGACTACAATCACCAAGTGTTCTCTCCACAACATTTTTGGCTCAATACCTTGTACGGTTCCTCGTATAAATGTATTTCCTACCTCACACAAATCTGGCTTTGCGTTTCTTTTTCTTGAAGAGTATAGTTTTTTTTAAATGAATGTGTACTTTACTGAGCATATTTATGTTTAGTTTCCGTCATCTGGATCTGTGTTGCATCAATGTCGTAAGTACGGCATAGCAATGAGTGCTTATTTGAATTGATTTGTTCTGATACACCAGTATATTGATCTAAAGAATTTACAAAGACATTGATTCTCAGTGCATATCGGTTATCTTGCATGATATACACATATCTGTTATCTTGTATACCTATATCAATATATCTGTTTTCTTGGCAAGACTATTAAACACCAGATAATTTGGGTTGTACTTTTCCCATTCCCATTCCCATTTCACATTCACGGTCGAGCATATAAAAGAGAAACGAATGCAGGAAAGATAATCATATATTTTTGTATGACATTATGTCATAAAGAAAATACATTAAGCCAAATTTCATCGCGTATTCTATACGTGTGGTTCAACGCAGGCCATAAGTTCGCCATTTTACACAAAGGTTGATATTACTTAAATATATACAGGTAGCATTTGTTCCTTCTTTGTTTTGAGTGAATTTGATAAGTTGTTGATGAAATATGATAGCAATTGGTATGTCTTAAACGATATGACGTATATTTCAAAGAAAGTTGGTATTTCTCATTGTTGTTATTAGGTATGATCATGAACATATTGAATATTTATTTTTCAGACAAAAAGAACATATAAGGAAATACATATGTGAAATTAGTGCTTGCAATGGACAACTTAATGTTGAAGGTAGTTTTATTATTCATTAAAGATGAACAAATATAATCTGATCATCTAACTCAAGAAACATAAGATGACTTACGCTACTGTTGCTCAAAGAAAATTTTAAGGCAACCATATTGATAAACATTACATGAAATTCATTTAGCTTCAGTGATTTCTGTATGTACTTTCTTCAGTCAATGGTGACCCTCAAAATTGTGACTGCCTTACTGAGGATAGAGGACACTGTGTTGAACTTGTCATAGATTCATCCACGTGTGGAGATTTGTAAGTATTGACAGGTTGTCTGTCCCTATGTTTAGCGAAACATACATGTATTTGATAATAGCTTTATTTGAACCAAAAGATAAAACGAACGTTTTGGGATGATGTCAGACAATAGGCCTACTTGCCCTCATCAAACATTCTGCAAACGAATTGTGTCTGTCTCTAATAGAGCGCGTCCGATGAAGATTCCGGGTTAGAATAAGTCTTCAGCAACCCATGCCTGTCCTGAGAGGTGACTAACGGGATCCGGTAGTAAGACTTGGTTGATGCATGTCATCGATCCAAATTGCATGGATCGATGCTCATGATGTAAATCACCTGATTGTCTGGTCCAGACTATTTACAAACCGCCGTCATATAGCTGGATTATTGCTGAGTGCGGCATTAAACAACAACAACAACAACAACAACAACAACAACAACAACAACAAAAGTGAATTCGAGAGCATATTACAGCCCCATGAATTTCAGTTGCTACATAGAGCACCGTATTTCCTCGATTAATCGCCGAGTAACGGAGTATGTGAAAACAATAAACACCGAGTCTTAAACGCCAGGTAGCTAAAGACAAATGAATGAAACAGTTCGAGTTCCACAACTCATACATATTACATTTCAACTAATGTATGTGTACAACATATTGTCTCCGGAAAACAGAAGCATGTTACAGCTGCAGAACTACGGTACCGAGGATGGATTGAGGAAGAATGTCTGAAAGAAATATACGCCAGGGCGTATAATCGAGGAAATACGGTACTAGCTATGAAGTTCATGTCGCTCGTGAAATAAACTGAAAAGTATTTAACCGGGACAATAAACATGATAATCATTTATTTGAAGCTTATTTTTCCAACTTTTATGATACAACAATAAGGAATGATCGATGATTTTTTTAATGAGATCGGCAAAGAAAGCAGCCGCCAATAGCGACTCAAGGGGGGCACTCTACAATATCGCGGTATCGCTGTTTTCAGGGATGATACGTGTGGAATATATGCTTGAAAGTACTTCCTGTTAGGAATGATGCATAATTATTATGCATACGACATAGGTTGGGTCAACGGAGACCGTCCAAACAAATGTGTTTTTTTCTAACCCTTTTCGAATGGATTAAGGGGTAATGCTAACTTAAAAAAACATTTCTGAAATTTATGAACATATCGTGCTCAGATTTGCATAAGTAAGCAGCCGACAGGGGGTGTGGATTACAAAATTTTCCGAGACCGCGATGATATAGAAATTGAGAATACTTGAACGGGGAAAAATAGAGTTGAAACACATAGCTACATAGCCTACACGTTTCTTCATGTCAAATGTTTTAGTTGAAACTTATAGTTAAAGGGCTACCAAACATTACTGTATTTCAGGTTTAACACTGGCGGACATGGGCTGTGTTCAGAAGGTAACCACCGTCTTTGCATATGATAATGAAAAAGAGAGGAATTTTGATTTTACCTTACTATACATAAACACTTTGAATGGATTCGAACATACCTAAGTTTTAATAGTAAGTTTTAATAAGGAAATCAGTCACATATGTAATATACATATAAGCCCCAAAACAAATTTAAATATCCTCTCTCATATATATATATATATAGAATATTTAATTTTATTATTGTTATATTGGCTTGAAGAAATACATATTTTATTTTCAGATAAACCCTGTACATGTACAAATCGTGGGCTACATTGTTGCACATCAGACACCCAATTGAAGCAAAGGTAAGTAATCTTTCAAAAACTGATGAATATATCTTCAGACAGACCAGATAGTTTTTTCAACTACACTAGCAAAACCAGATCTTTTAAAAGAAAATGTCGGGGTCAATTTTTTTTTCTATGTGGACAGTCCCCCCCACGCACCACAACGTATACTTACATATTAAAAATGTCTTGATTATTAACTCTCATACGTCTCTTGCAGCATCCTACACTTTAACTGTGAGTATATGTATTTTGGCTAGTGATATTCGCAATCTGGCTCTAATGTTCTGTCTTTATTTGATCTAAGTATGACTTAAAATTGTCCTTATGCAATAAAGAATTCACACATTTGCTCTCGAATATGCATCGCCAGGTTATTATTGTACCTATTGGACACTTGAGGTATCTCTCGCTTGCATAGGGATCCACAGGGCTTCTTTTTTGTATTTCAATAGTTTTGAAATTTCCTTTTTCCCAGTGATTGATGTGGGTATGTAGAATTTTGGTTTGTTGCCAGGAAATATCGGGTTCAGGATGGTCATAATATTGTTATTTTAGTACATTAATTCAACCTTATGTAATCCATTAAAAAGTAGGTGCGATTCAGTATGAAAAATTGATTGACTTGAGTCAACCAAGTTAACCTTATTTCAGGCAACCAGGGTTGATTAGAGTCAACCTGAGTTAACCAGTGTTAATCAAGGATAACTGAGGGCAGTATCCGAAACAGAACATTAGATCTTCTAGTTGCTGCCAGCAAACAGAGAAACACGACAACCCTACAACACACAACTTGAGTTAACAAGTGTTTCATTTCTTGTTCTTGACAAAGCTCACTCCTGTATATTACCCTTATATTACGGTTGTGAACTTCGCTGTAGAGACACCATATCGATACTTTTAATCTTTTGAAATTATCGACGTAATGAAAAGATAGTTAATTTGCTTTAAAAATAAAAAGATTCCATCATCCCTTAAATAAGAGCAAACCTGACGTTCTTTAAAGGTGTCAATCAGCATGGTGCCTCGACAAACAAGCCTGGAGCCTCGCAAAAGTCAGGAACATTGGTCGGAGGAGTGGTTGGAGGTCTCATCGGCGGAGTCATCATCACTGCTGTCGTCGTATTGCTGTGGCGTGTGTGTCGCAAACGTAGAAGGTATGGACGCATGAGCTCACACAGGTGCTTATAAAACAACCTGCTACGTCAACAATTGATCATGTTCCAACAGAGGGAATGCATCTGCATGAATTGGCAGGTTTCGTGTAGGAGATGGGTGGAACTGTAATCATTATATAATTACTGTCTTCTTTCCTGGTAGAGCGTATTTGATACATTGGACCCCTAAACTAGTTCAAAGGGGCTGATATAAGGATCAGGTGATCACGACCAATATAGCTTTGTCTGTTGGTTGATTAACGCCGCACTCAGCAATATTCCAGCTGTACGACGAAGGTCTGTAAATAATCGAATCTGGACAAGACAATCCAGTGATTGACATCATGAGCATGGATCTACCCGATTGGGATACGATGAGATGCATCAACCACGTCAGTGAGCCTGACCACCTGATCCCGCTTGTGACAAGCATTGGTTGCTGAAGACCAGTTCTAACCCGGTTCTTCGCTGGTACCAAGATAGGTGCATCACCAACTTACCTTATGAATGAATGCTTGTACATATTGTAATTTGACTTCATTTAATTGCCTGAAGTAATTCTTTGCACAGACATCAAGAAAGTCCCGGAGAACAGATGACAGACACTCACGCATACCTGGGCCCAGTACGTACAGATTCAGTACAGTTGTAATCCTCATACAAGTTATCTTTAAATGTGTAAAGTTCAAAACTTTTAATCTTTACGCTCTTCCCATAGATGTATTGCTTCCATTATTCACCTTCTGATTCAGTTTTTTCTCAAGAACAACTTGCGGTATAAACTATAAGTAAGTAGTTAACTGGGTTATACATCTATCCTTAGGGTCACACCAGCGACTCACAAGACAAAAACAAAGGAGCAAATGAAAAGTCTTCCTCTGTCCCTGATGTAGTTAAGACTTCAGTGGGATCAGATACTGGCGAGTGTGCGATCATCTCAGAGTATGGCGACCAGGGAGACTACACTGAAATTACAGATGACATCACTGGGGCAGCAGGTGGGGGATCTGTGACAATAGCAAGTCATGGGATGAACCCACAGGGAGGACGTAAACCACAGCATGCTGCTGACAAACCTGACGGAGAATATAACACACTGGGAGATGCTATTGTGTCCAAAGCAGATGCTAAGCATACTTATGACAGGTTGGGAGACACGAACCCTGACAAAGCTCGCCTCCGACACAGTGGGAACAACGGATCAGGTGCAGATGATTTCTTCCTTGGGGAATCTGAAGACAACTACAACAGACTAGGGCACGGTGCTACTGCTATTACGACTGGTGTCAACAGTGAGTACAACAGACTGGGGGACACTACTGAGGCTGGAAATTCTGAATTAACGGACACTGGATCGCCATCTTTGGATTACTTTGTCCTCGAAGAACCTGCAGACACGTACAACAAACTTGGAGTTGATGGGGGTGCAACTACGACTGATACAAAGAATACCTGTGACCGATTAGGAAACACGGATGTTGATAAAAGACCTAGAGATTCGGAGCCTTACGAAATCTTGCTTAAGAAATCAGGTGACACCTACACCAAGCTCGGAGAGAAACCGTCTGCCGATGAAGTGGAACACACGTACAACAAACTTGGAGGTGCTACACACAAGAGAGAACCTGACGTCCCTCCTGATGGTACCTAGGGACCCTCGTCATAGGTCTCGGCATAGCATGTGTCTCAAACTTTCATTGTTTAGTTCTGCAATGTATATAGTACTCAACCATATTTTAGCATTATTTGTTTTAAGAAGTTAAGACAATTGGAATGTGTGGTGAAACTTTATTGAGCAGACTAGAGGACATCATAATTTTGTCATACATGAAGCTCATGAATATCATTTTTTTCAATTCTGAGAGGTGCTTCACTTTGGTTTGTATGTCCCATGTGAGGATTTAGTCAAGTTAATGAGGATTTCGTACGTAGGATATGTTTAGAAACTGACTACTTTGTGTTTGTGTTTGGGGTCTGTCACTGAAAATCCAATATTTTAATATTTGTTGGGTTGAAAATGTATCTCGGTCTGTCGTTTGGTCAGAAATTGTAAATAAAAATTGTAGGATTTGAAAACAGTTACCTAACCGGTGATGTTTTTTCTCATAATCGAAACTGTCAATGAACGCAAGAGAAGGGATCAATATTTTCACTGGGACGCATGTACCTTTTTATGTAAACTATTTCAAGGTTTTCAATTAAATCACAGGGAATATAAAAATAATAAATAAACATACATATAATTACATGTATATATATATATATATATATATATATATTTATTCGTTGTATTACCATCAGTTATCAAACCCTGTTATTATGATTAATATTATTATTATTATACTTTATTTATATTTATCTGAATATGTCATGCTTGCTGTATGTCGCACTACCATGTGGCTTGTTCTTTAATGTGTGTCTTTACTTGGAATATAACATGAAAAAATATGAAATAAATAATAATATTTTGCTTAGCTCAAACTGTAGTGTTTACTTAACGTTTCATTTTTGGCATTCTCGAAGTAGGTGAGTAAATAAGTAAACATACAACTTTATTGAAACCATCTTCTGGTTTACTGCATTTAGTGACGTCTCTATGTAGATTCTTACATCGATGGAATGACTTCAGCCAAGCGATAACGGGCTATAGACATCATATGTTGTGATACATATACAATATAATTGTTAATGCATCCAAACGTACAGTAAGGTCAAGGATTAAGCAGCTGATTGGATACTAATGATTTGTTCGTTTGTTTGTTGTTTAACGCCGCACTTAGCAATATTCCAGCTATATGACGGCGGTCTGTAAATAATCGAGGATGAACCAGAGAATCCAGTGATTGACATCATGAGCATCGATCCAGGCAATTAGAATACGATGACATGCATCAACCAAGTCAGCGAGTCTGACCACCTGATCCCGTTATTCACCTCTGACGACGGGCATAGTCGCCTTTTACGGCAATCATGGGTTGCTGAAGACCTATACTACGGGTCCTGAAAGCAAGGCTTCCTGTGAGTATAGTGACCCTAATAACTTACCCTTGGCGGCAAAGATTGGGGTGGGCTAGACAACAGCATGGTTTACAGACGCATCAAGGTTTTGTCTCCGATTTCGAAAGGCAGAAAACGTTGTTGGCGACGTAGCGGCGAGCGGTATGCCAGGGCAACAATTCTTGACCATGATCGGTATGAGGGCGGTAGTGCCATGGTGTCACTGTAGGGCAGTGTCACACATGACAGGCGAACTGATTTGGTTATTGTGAAAGGAGCATCAATCCACGCACTTGGGATACGATGATATGCATCAACCAAGTCAGCGAGCCTGACCACCCGATCTGGTCACTTGGCCACCAGCAGAAAAGAGCCTTAGTTTAGATTTTCGTTCTCACATTTTCCTGTGTACCTTAAACCTTTTCTATTGCATAAAGAAGGTATCTGTACACAATTTTCATTTGGTAGTAAGCATTCAAGTGTGAGCGTGAATTTTCACGGGGTCAAAATTGCTTAAATTGAAGGAAAATGCATAATTTGACAAAATTGGCTGTAACACTTTTATTAAGTCATTAAACTATCCAAATTATGTCTTTGATGACAGGTTAAATGTTCGGTTACATGAATTTGGCAAGCAGTTTGTTTCCTCTTACTGTTATTCTAATTCTCAGTGAAAACATAAAGCGATTCTCAGTGATAAATTGTTTTTTCTTCTTTTTCAAATCTTACGAGTAGGTAATACACTAATTCCATTGGATTTTGGCCATAAAAACACTATTACTGCATATTAAAATCTGCATAAACCATTGTGCTATCCTATACAGAAACAAAATGAAAATATATTTAAAAGGGGCTGAGATATTGTATACAATGTTACCCCACCCCCCTTAAACCAATTTTGACGAAAATTGCTTATTGAGATATGGTGGTAGAGTATAATAATGTAGTGGATTCGTGGGATTATTGCAACAATGCTTCAAAACACACAAATAATAAAATGATAAAGAAAAATGATGTTTCAAGTTTTTTCTATGAACATCTTTGGTGGCTATCATGAATTTCAAGAAGGCTGCCATTTTGACCCGCTTTCAAACTCAGGATCTAATATAGTTCTTCAACATGGTCATGTATTATATCATATGAAAGCTTTTTACATTGTCTTTTCGATGATGTACATAATTCACTGAGTTCTGTGGTAAATTGATCCCTAACAATAAAACAAATGATATATTGAAAGCTATTTTCTCTAGCAACACCAACCCAACCCAAAAGTCAGATTTCAATTAAATTTGACATAGTTTCACTCAAAATTGTAGATATACTGCACTTTTGTCCGAACATTATTTAAATACTTGTAGTATTATGAAGTATATAAAAATAACATCACAGAGTCAAGGGCTGTGAAATAATGTCACCTCAAGTCACCGTCAGAGTCCATCTCTTCTGGAGAGGTAGGTAAGTTGTTTCTGTTTAGGCATGACATAGCACAATTGCATCCAAAGGAACATCAGATGTTGTTCTTGGCGCAGCTACATCTGGATGAGGAGCACCTGCTTATTGTGCATTTGCAGGTGAACAATTCTAGACACAGTTTATAATGTTACTTTAACAAATAAAACCACATGTTATCATGGATGGAAATGCGAATACAAAATGTCATCAGATGTAAAATAAGGTGGTGGTTAAACAACAAATACCATATCAGATGTGTACAAAAATCATTTTATTTATTTTCTATCGTTTTAAAATGTCTTCCACCTGTCCGCTCTTTGTGAGGAGGATGATAAATATACCAGCCAAAAGACTACTCAAATCAATTAAGGACCATCCGAATCGGCACACAACCCAATCAATTAGGTCAGCACACAAAACATGTATACCATTTAATTTGGAACTAAAGTTGGTTGATGCATGTCATCATATCCCAATTGCATGGATCGATGCTCATGATATCAATCACTTGAATTTCTAGTCCAGACTCGATTATTTACAGACCGCCGACATATGGCTGGAATATTGCGGAGTGTGGCATTAAAGAATAAACAAAGAAACGAAATATTGGACTTAATAATACACAACAGCCACCAATCTTGAGATGCACACAATATCTTTAATAAAAAGGAAACCCCAGGACGTTCTGATTATGATAATAAAGTCGTATGGTATTTCACAATCAAACATCCCCTTATCTCTATTTATTAACACCAGGGGTGCAATGTCATCTCTTCAAATTTCGCCTTTTACTCGTGGCTCTCATGGCACTCGAGTGTTTATGTGTAAAAGAGGGGTATTTCATTGTAAAAATATATTTTAATCGTATTCAGAACTACTGATTCCTGCGAAGAAACATACAGTGGATTTGTTGTCAGCTGATCAATCAAAGTTCAAGTCATAGCCATAGACTGAAGTGTGTAAACAGATGGAGGAGTACATCAAGACTACTACTATGCACACAACTACAATTTACTTAATACACAACTCTACAAACAACTTCCGTTTAATCCAACACACTCGTCCACAGGTATTCACTGGTTACTCCAAAACACTACTATGCACACAACTACTTTTGCGTAATACACTAATATACACACAAATACTGTTTACGCAATACAAAACCATACAGGCAACTACTGTTTACTCAATACACAACTATACCGACAACTACAGTTTACTCAATACTCTACTATACAAACAACTACTGTTTACTCAAATACACAACTATACAGACAACTACTATTTACTCAATACACTTCTATACAGACAACTGCTGTTTACTCAAATACACAACTATAAAGACAACTACAGTTTACTCAATACTCTACTATACACACAACTACTGTTTACTCAAATACACAACTATAGAGACAACCACTATTTACTCAATACACAGCTATAGAGACAACCACTGTTTACTCAATACACAACTATACCGACAACTACTGTTTACTCAATACACAGCTATACAGACAACTACTATTTACTCAATGGACAACTATAGAGACAACCACTATTTACTCAATACACAGCTTTAGAGACAACCACTGTTTACTCAAAACACAATTATACAGACAACTACTGTTTACTCAATACACTTCTATACAGACAACTACAGTTTACTCAACACTCTACTATACACACAACTACTGTTTACTAAAATACACAACTATACAGACAACTACTATTTACTTAAAACACAACTATAGAGACAACCACTATTTATTCAATACACAACTATACACAAAACTACTGTTTACTCAATACACTTCTATAAGGACAACTACTATTTACTCAATACACAACTATAAAGACAACCACTTTTTACTCAATACACAACTATACAGACAACTACTGTTTACTCAATACACAACTAAAAGGAAAACAACTGTTTACTCATGATGAATACAGTTCTATAGAGACAACTACTATTTACTCTCAATACACAACTATACAGAGAACTACAGTTTGCTCAATACTCTACTATACACACAACTACTGTTTACTCAAATACACAACTATACAGACAACTACTGTTTACTCAATACGCAACTATACAGACAACTACTGTTTACTCAATACACAACTATAAAGACAACCACTGTTTACTCAATACACAACTATACAGACAACTACTGTTTACTCATGATCAATACACTTCTATAGAGGCAACTACAGTTTACTCAATACACAACTATACAGAGAACTACCGTTTGCTCAATACACTACTATACAGACAACTACTGTTTACTCAATACACTACTATGCAATCAACTACTGTTTACTCAGTACACTACTATACACACAACTACTGTTTACTCAATACACTACTATATACTCAACTACTGTTTACTCAGTACACTACTATACACACAAATACTGTTAATTCAATACTCTACAATACACACAACTACTGTTTACTCAGTACACTATTGTACAGACAACTACTGTTTACTCAATACTCTACTATACACACTACTGTTTGCTCAATAGACTACAATACAGACAACTACTGTTTACTCAACATTGATATACAGACAACTACAGTTTACTCAGTATACTAAAATACACTCAACTACTATTTACTCTATAGAACACTATACACACAACTGCTGTTTACTCAATACACTACTAAACAGACAATTACTGTTTACTCAATACTCTACTATACACCCAACTACTGTTTACTCAATACACTACTATACACACAACTACTGTTTACTCAATACACTACTATACACCCAACTACTGTTTACTCAATACACTACTATACAGACAACTACTGTTTAATTAATACTCTACTATACACCCAACTGCTGTTTGCTCAATACACTACAATACAGAAAACTACTGTTTACTCAATACTCTACTATACACCCAACTACTCTTTACTCAATACACTACTATACACACAACTACTGTTTACTCAGAACACTACTATACAGACAACTACTGTTTACTTAATACTCTACTATACACACTACTGCTTACTCAATACACTACAATACAGACAATTACTGTTTACTTAACATTAATATAGATACAACTACTGTTTACTCAGTACACTAATATACACACAACTACTGTTTACTATATACAGCACTATACACACAACTGCTGTTTGCTCAATACACTACTATACACACAACTACTGTATACTCAATACACTACTATACACACATTTACTGTTTACTCAATACACTACTATACACACTACTGTTTGCTCTCATACACCACTATACAGACAACTACTATTTGCTCAATTCACAACTATACATCCAACTTCTGTTTACTCAATACACTACTATACACACAACTATTGTTTGCTCAAAACACTTCTATACACTCAACTACTGTTTACTCCCACACAATACAATACACACACCTACTTTTTGCTCTAATACACTAATTTACACACAACTACTGTTTGCTAAATACACTACTATACATACAACTTCTGTTTGCTCAATATACTGATATACACACCACTGTTTTCTCAATATACTACTATACAGACATTTTTCTCAAGCACACTATTTTACTGACAACTGCTAATCAATAATACAGCACATGGAATTTATTGCTTGCACAAAAGAAAATACTTTGTTTTAAACGTTTTAAAACATATTTCTGTACATAAAACAGGGACTTTTGTACCAGATGTATTTCACAATTGAACATAAACGAAGGAAAATAAATGTGTTATGATTATTACAGCCATGGGTACTATACGACATTCATAAAAAATTTCAAATATCTTTAGGGGCCGTTGAAGTGTTATCTGTTTCTGTACATTACATGAAGATCACATGGATTCACATGGGGACAGAACATAAACTGTCCATTGCTTAGCTGGGGTATTGTTTTTTTCATGACATGATTATTTTGGCACAGAAAAGTAAATATAATTTTGGTAAAGTTTTACGAAATTGCAGTAATCATCTGCGAAACAATGATAAATATATGATTATGTAGGCATCACCTGAGTCAGAAATACTCCTTGTCGGTCATTTGAAACATTAGGTATACCAGGGTTACTTCCCTTGTACTGCAGTTAAACGAAATGTGTACACGTAATACTGTTGGCCCGAATCCGATGTTCACACGTATTGCATGTGGCACCGACCCGTGAAGATCTGGGTAAGAATGGGTCTTCTGCAACCCATTTTATATCATAAGATGCGATTATGCTTGTCATAAGAGGCGACTTAAGGGATCGGGTTGTCAGGCTCGCTGACTTTGTTGATGCATTTCTTCGTACAAATTACATAGATCGATGCTCATGTTGTCAATCATTGGATTGTCTTGTCCAGACTCGATGATTTACAGACCCCCGTCATATAGCTGGGATATTGCTGAGAGCGGCGTTCAACAACAAACAAACAATTGTGCACTGCGTTTCAAATCATATTTTCGGTCACTGTGACATTGAAGATTCAAGGTAAACCAGTGCTGTATTTCAAGTGTTATATTGTTATTTTTAAGCGGGATTGTTGTTCCAACATTTGTGATAAAAGATGTAGCTAGTCTATCTTTTCCCTGTCCACAATACGTGGCACAAGCCATGAATCGTTTTACAACATCATGTGTACAGGAAAACATTTGAACACAGCAAATAAGCACTGGGTGTGTAAAGTCACGATGTTTTCTTATCCCGTGTTACGTAACACCCTTTGACAACCCTGTTCAGTGTAATCAGAGCGTTACGGTTCTATACATACAACTTGTGATTGAGGTAAGGTTATACTTCCCGGTCTGATCTGTCTGTGTATTGCTCAAGGTACCTTCACAGTAAGATCGACTCCAGTCAACTAATTTGAGGTCAGTTTCAATATACCTACTTTCTGTGACAAACGTTCATTTATTTCAACTCTGGAGGAAAGTGTGTTACATGCATATAACTCATAACCGCTTCGAGTGGCCTCATTAACTAAGTGGTCAGAAATCATCAGGAATGATTGTCATTTGATGGAGGATTTCCCAGTGCGGTTTTATCCCAGGAACACTGCTGATGGTTTGGTTGAGTTGCTAGCAATGTAGTCATTGGTCACTTCGTAAAAGCTTCATCCAAATGGGTTTATATGGTTCCATATCTATGTACTGTACTACTTTCCTTCTGCATAGGAGGCTTGGTAAGAACGCTTCACGGACGAATCAAGATTAGGTGTTCGTCTGTAAAAGCTGACAACTCTACAGATTATGACAGGGAATAGACCAATACATGGAACAAGTATAACACATCACAAATGGTGCATAATTTACGGCCTTAAGCAGTTATAGATGGATCACGGGGAGATGGATTAGCGAGGTCCACTTGAAATTGAAGTTAAATCATTATGATGACGTCACGCTTTTGTTGTTCAATCTGAGCCAGGATTTCCTGAATGTGTAAAACTGACACAACTGTAGGTCATTATACACATTTAGAGAGAGATTAAATATTAACTATAACATGGTTTTAGTCAGAGAAATCACTCGAATCCGGAAGTAGAATCTCACAATTTCCCCATTATGTATTACCAACACGTAGTTAGTCAGTGTTGATATGGCAATGTTTACATGTATATGAACAAGCAGGATAGCATGCCGCCATATCACTGAAGTTACATTCCCAGCCCGTGTACAAATATACCGACAAACACTACCGCTATGTAAAGCATGACTGAACACGAAACACGCGTCTGTTCTGTTACTTTGGCTAAAGGTTTTATCACTCTAATCTGCCTTGTAATTATCGTTTTTTTCACACATTACATACTCTCATTACAGATTTCTGACCGGCGTAACAAATGGAGGGAGTGTATGTATTTGTAGGTACGGAACTGTGCACATCTTCATAATATATATAATGAGATTGTTATTAGTATATGCAACATTTCTGATAGTTTTAGCCTTTATTGAAATTTTGCGGTTTGTGTAAGTTTCAACATTAATTTATTTTGCTCATGATGAGTCGCTTAAGGCAGAGATTTCATATGAGTGAGTTGGGTTTGACGCCGGTTTTAACAGTAATCCAGTTATATAACGGCTTGTCAGCTTAATGTGGGAGGAAAGTCCAAAGTGATGCAGGTCTCAGAAGTATACCACTTCGGTGAAACCCACGACCACGGGTATGGTGCTGACAAACCTAGAAACATAATCGGGTCGAAACGGGATTCGAACCCACAATCATAGGTTTCAGGCGTGGATTTCTTATGAACATGGAAAGTGTTTTGCCACTGTTATTAACATCAGAAATATGGACAGGGACTTTGTTAAGTGTCGATTCCCAAATTGAAACAATATGTTAATCCTGTGAAACCAACAAACAACCAACAAATGTATACAATCAACAAATATATTACAAAATTCACTGAGTTTACAAATCAATACAAATAACTGCACATCGATTACAATTACAGTAAACAATAGAGTAGTAGTACAATATTGAATGGCAATAAATAATATGATGGCAGTGTTCAGTATCATATACAAAAATACAGTGGTGACAGGAAAAGTCAGTGATAATAATATATATTCACCCAGTGGCGACAGTGGTCAAGCTTTCGTGATGGACTAGGCAGGGAATCAGGGATGATGAGCGATCCTCACATAAAAGCTGGTCTTGACGTGATGAAAATGCACGCGTATGCGTGTGTGTGTTACGAAAAGACGCTATTGTATCCTTATATACTGTCCAACTGACTTTGATTACTTTCTCGACAGCGCAGTAAGGCTCTGTACAATGCACAACGAGTCTCCCCGTTTTCGGAAGGTACCACACCACTCTTAATATAGTAACTGACTGACGACTGCATACGTTAACAAGTACTACATTCCTGACGTCTAATCACTGCCCAAATACAATGCAATGAACGGCTACCGAATCTCTACAGAAACAATGTAACACCGTTACAATCATTGTTAAACAATAAAACACACCGCCATATAACAACTTATGTACACGTAAATGCTGTTTACGAGATATTGGACATATGGGTTGATTTTAATACCCTCTATAGTCGCCACCATTTTTATAAGTTATGCTTAGTTGTATTATTTTGTAAACTGGCAAATATATGAAATGAGGAATGCTATAATCAATTTACATTCGAACTTTCAATGATTTGACAAGAAATATACTCTTCAAAAAAAGAAACGCAATGCGGACATTGTTGGCCATAAAAACAAAATTGGCGGACCAAAATTGGATGTGCAAAATAAAGAGGTTTAATGTGTTATAGTGTCAGTGACAAATTTCCCGGATCAAAATGATCCCAGCAAGGACATGCAAACCATTATTCAGGAAACACGTACGATTAGGAAAAACGCACCCAGTGCAGTACAAAAGGACCATGGAACTGCACGCACTGCACTATGAACGGTATTAAAGTGCAGGTTCTCGTTGCCTGGCATCCGCGTCAATCGAACAGTGACAGTTCGACAACATGTCAAGATAATCAGAAGTGCAAAGAAACAACGTCATAGGCCGCTTGCAGGCAGGGGAATCCCGTTCAGCTGTAGCCAGGGTCTCCTCCGTCGAGGGGATGGAAGACCACGGGTCTACAGACGTCGGAGAGAACGTAACGCCGGAAACTCTGTACAGGAAGTGGACAGGTTTGGTGGGGGTAGCTTTATGATGTGAACGGATATATCTCATCATGGCAGGACAGGTTTGGTCCATATCCAGGGCAACCTTACGCCTCAACGATACATCAACGACATTGTCCTACCTCACGTCCTCCCAATTGCAGCCAACGGCAACGGTGTTTTCCAGCAGGACAGCGCTCGACCGCATACAACACGGATCACAAGAGCCTGTCAACACAACAACAACGTTAATGTTTTCCCCTGGCCCTCCAGATCCCCGGATTTGAACCCGATAGAGCACCTGTGGGATGAATTGGATAGACGGCAACGCCGACGTCAACCACAATCCCAGACGTTGCAGCAGTTGGCTTTTCCGTTGCAGGCCGCGTGGGCTACCATTCCCCAGGATGTGATTCGCATACTCGTCTCTTCCATGGGCAGGAGATGTCAGGCCGCTATCGATTCCAGCGGGGGACAAACGCATTATTGATTGTAACTGACCTACACCTTCGACTTTTCCTATGTATCGATAACTGAGATGACTACAATCACCAAGTGTTCTCTCCACAACATTTTTGGCTCAATACCTTGTACGAACGGTTCCTCGTATAAATGTATTTCCTACCTCACACAAATCTGGCTTTGCGTTTCTTTTTCTTGAAGAGTGTAGTTTTTTTAAAATGAATGTGTACTTTACTGAGCATATTTATGTTTAGTTTCTGTCATCTGGATCTGTGTTGCATCAATGTCGTAAGTACGGCATAGCAATGAGTGCTTATTTGAATTGATTTGTTCTGATACACCAGTATATTGATCTAAAGAATTTACAAAGACATTGATTCTCAGTGCATATCGGTTATCTTGCATGATATACATATATCTGTTATCTTGTATACCTATATCAATATATCTGTAATTTTGGCAAGACTATTAAACACCAGATAATTTGGGTTGTACTTTTCCCATTCCCATTCCCATTTCACATTCACGGTCGAGCATATAAAAGAGAAACGAATGCAGGAAAGATAATCATATATTTTTGTATGACATTATGTCATAAAGAAAATACATTAAGCCAAATTTCATCGCGTATTCTATACGTGTGGTTCAACGCAGGCCATAAGTTCGCCATTTTACACAAAGGTTGATATTACTTAAATATATACAGGTAGCATTTGTTCCTTCTTTGTTTTGAGTGAATTTGATAAGTTGTTGATGAAATATGATAGCAATTGGTATGTCTTAAACGATATGACGTATATTTCAAAGAAAGTTGGTATTTCTCATTGTTGTTATTAGGTATGATCATGAACATATTGAATATTTATGTTTCAGACAAAAAGAACATATAAGGAAATACATATGTGAAATTAGTGCTTGCAATGGACAACTTAATGTTGAAGGTAGTTTTATTATTCATTAAAGATAAACAAATATAATCTGATCATCTAACTCAAGAAACATAAGATGACTTACGCTACTGTTGCTCAAAGAAAATTTTAAGGCAACCATATTGATAAACATTACATGAAATTCATTTAGCGTCAGTGATTTCTGTATGTACTTTCTTCAGTCAATGGTGACCCTCAAAATTGTGACTGCCTTACTGAGGATGGAGGACACTGTGTTGAACTTGTCATAGATTCATCCACGTGTGGAGATTTGTAAGTATTGACAGGTTGTCTGTCCCTATGTTTAGCGAAACATACATGTATTTGATAATAGCTTTATTTGAACCAAAAGATAAAACGAACGTTTTGGGATGATGTCAGACAATAGGCCTACTTGCCCTCATCCAACATTCTGCAAACGAATTGTGTCTGTCTCTAATAGAGCGCGTCCGATGAAGATTCCGGGTTAGAATAAGTCTTCAGCAACCCATGCCTGTCCTGAGAGGTGACTAACGGGATCCGGTAGTAAGACTTGGTTGATGCATGTCATCGATCCAAATTGCATGGATCGATGCTCATGATGTAAATCACCTGATTGTCTGGTCCAGACTATTTACAAACCGCCGTCATATAGCTGGATTATTGCTGAGTGCGGCATTAAACAACAACAACAACAACAACAACAACAACAAAAAAAGTGAATTCGAGAGCATATTACAGCCCCATGAATTTCAGTTGCTACATAGAGCACCGTATTTCCTCGATTAATCGCCGAGTAACGGAGTATGTGAAAACAATAAACACCGAGTCTTAAACGCCAGGTAGCTAAAGACAAATGAATGAAACAGTTCGAGTTCCACAACTCATACATATTACATTTCAACTAATGTATGTGTACAACATATTGTCTCCGGAAAACAGAAGCATGTTACAGCTGCAGAACTACGGTACCGAGGATGGATTGAGGAAGAATGTCTGAAAGAAATATACGCCAGGGCGTATAATCGAGGAAATACGGTACTAGCTATGAAGTTCATGTCGCTCGTGAAATAAACTGAAAAGTATTTAACCGGGACAATAAACATGATAATCATTTATTTGAAGCTTATTTTTCCAACTTTTATGATACAACAATAAGGAATGATCGATGATTTTTTTAATGAGATCGGCAAAGAAAGCAATCGGCAATAGCGACTCAAGGGGGGCACTCTACAATATCGCGGTATCGCTGTTTTCCGGGATGATACGTGTGGTATATATGCTTGACATCACTTCCTGTTATGGATGATACATAATTATTATGCAAACGACACAGGTTGGGTCAACGGAGACCGTCCAAACAAATGTGTTTTTTTCTAAGCCTTTTCGAATGGATTAAGGGGTAATGTTACTTAAAAAAAACATTCCAGAAATTTATGAACATATCGTGCTCAGATTTGAATAAGTAAGCAGCCGACAAATTACAAGATTTCCCGAGACCGTGATAATGTAGAAATTGAGAATACTTGAATGGGGAAAATACAGTTGAAACACATAGCTACATAGCCTACACGTTTCTTCATGTCAAATGTTTTAGTTGAAACTTATTGTTAAAGGGCTACCAAACATTACTCTATTTCAGGGTCCACACTGGCGGACATGGGCTGTGTTCAGAAGGTAAACCGCGGTCTTTGCATATGATAATGACAAAAAGAGGAATTTTGATTTTACCTTACCATAACATAAACACTTTGAATGGACTCGAACATACCTAAGTTTTAATAGTAAGTTTTAATAAGGAAATCAGTCCCTATGTAATATACATATAAGCCCCCAAACAAATTTAGATTTTCTCTCTCATATATGTTTAGAGAGAATATTACTTTTATTATTGTTATATTGGTTTGAAGAAATACATATTTTATTTTCAGATTTACCCTGTAAATGTACAAATAGTGGGCTATATTGTTGCACATCAGACACCCAATTGAACCGAAGGTAAGTAATCTTTCAAATACTGATGAATTTGTATTCAGACAGACCAGATAGTTTTTGAGCTACACAAGCAAAACCAGATCTTTTATACAAAATGTCGGGGTTATTTTTTTCTATGTGCACAGTTTCCCTCCACACACGCACCACAACGGTTTCTTACATATTAAAAATGTCTTGATTATTAGCTCTCATATGTCTCTTGCAGCATCCTACAGTTTAACTGTGAGTATATGAATTTTGACTAGTGATATTCGCAATCTGGCTCTAATGTTCTGTCTATAAAAGTATGGCTTAAAATTGTCCTTATGCAATAAAGAATTCTCACCTTTGCTCTCGAATATGCATCACCAGGTTATGATTGTACCTATTGGACACTTGAGGTATCTCTCGCTTGCATAGGGATCCTTTTTTTGTATTTCAATAGTTTCATGAAATTTCCTTTTTCCCAGTGATTGATGTGGGTATGGAGAATATTGGTTTGTTGCCAGGAAATATCGTGGTCAGGATGGTCATAATATTGCTATTTTTTTTGCAATTAATTCAACCTTATGTAATCCATAAAAAAAGTAGGTGCGATTCAGTATGAAAAATTGAGTGATTTGAGTCAGCCAAGTTAACCGTATTTCAGGCAACCAGGCTTTATTAGAGTCAACCTGAGTTAACCAGTGTTAATCAAGGATAACTGAGGGCAGTATCCGAAACAGAATATAAAATCTTCTAGTTGCTGCCAGCAAATAGAGAAACACGACAACCCTACAACACACAACTTGAGTTAATAAGTGTTTCATTTCTTCACAAAGCTCACTCCTGCATATTACCCTTATATTGCGGTTGTGAACTTTGCTGTAGAGACATCATATTGATACTTTTAATCTTTCGAAATCATCGACGTAATGATAAGATAGTTAATGTGCTTTAAAAATAAAAAATCCATCATCCCTTAAATAAGAGCAAACCTGACGTTCGTTAAAGGTGGCAACAAGCATGGTGCCTCGACAAACAAGCCTGGAGCCTCGACAAACAAGCCTGGAGCCTCGACAGACAAGCATGGAACCCCTCTAAAGACAGGAACATTGGTCGGAGGAGTGGTTGGAGGTCTCATCGGCGGAGTCATCATCACTGCTGTCGTCGTATTGCTGTGGCATGTGTGTCGCAAACGTAGAAGGTATGGACGCATGAGCTCACACATGTGCTTATATGACAACCTGCTACGTCAACAATTGATCATGTTCCAACAAAGGGAATACATCTGCAGGAATTGACAGGTTTCGTGTAGGAGATGGGTGGAACTGTTATCATTCTGTAATTACTGTCTTCTTTCCTGGTAGAGCGTATTGGATACATTGGACCCCTAAACTAGTTCAAAGGGGCTGATATAAGTTTCACGACCAATATATAGTTTTGTCTGTTCGTTGATTAACGCCGCACTCAACAATATTCCTTCTGCATGACGGCGGTCTGTAAATAATCGAGTCTGGACAAGACAATCCAGTGATTGACATCATGAGCATGGATCTACCCGATTGGGATACGATGACATGCATCAACCAAGTCAGTGAGCCTGACCACCCGATCCCGCTGGTAGCTTCTTACGACAAGCATGGGTTGCTGAAGACCAGTTCTAACCCGGATCTTCGCGGGTACCAAAATAGGTGCACCACCAACTTCCCTTATGAATGAATGCTTGTACACATTGTAATTTGACTGCATTTAATTCCCTGAAGTAATTCTTTGCACAGACATCAAGAAAGTCCCGGAGAACAGATGACAGATACTCACGCATACCTGGGCCCAGTACGTCCAGATTCACTACTGTTATAATCCTCATAAAAGTTTTCGTTAAATGTGTAAAGTAAAAAACTTTTAATCTTTACGCTCTTCCCATAGATGTATTGTTTCACATGTTCGCCTTCTGATTGAGTTTTTCTCAAGAACAACGTTAAGTGTAAATTGCCAGTGGCTTTTTTTCTATTCTTTCACAACGGATGGAAATTTGATTTTTTTTAAGTTGCCATATAAACTATAAGTAAGTAGTTAATTGGGTTATACCTCTATCCTTAGGGTCACACCAGCGACTCACAAGACAAAAACAAAGGAGCAAATGAAAAGTCTTCCTCTGTCCCTGACGTAGTTAAGACTTCAGTAGGATCTGATACTGACCAGGGAGACTACACTGAAATTACAGATGACATCACTGAGGCAGCTGGAGGGGGTTCTGTGACAACAGCAAGTCATGGGATGAACCCACAGGGAGGACGTACACCACAGCATGCTGCTGACAAACCTGACGGAGATTATAACACACTTGGAGATGCTATTGTGACCAAAGCAGATGCTAAGCATACCTATGACAGGTTGGGAGACACTAACCCTGACAAAGCTCTCCTCCGACACACTGGGAACAACGGATCAGGTGCAGATTATTTCGTCCTGGGGGAATCTGAAGACAACTACAATAGACTATGGCGTGGTGCTACTGCTATTACGACTGGTGTTGACAGTGAGTACAACAGGCTGGGGGACACTACTGAGGCTGGAAATTCTGAATTAACGGACACTGGAGCGCCATCGTTGGATTACTTTGTCCTCGAGGAACCTGCAGACACGTACAACAAACTTGGAGTTGATGGGGATGCAACTACGACTGATACAAAAAATACCTATGACCGATTAGGAAACACGGATGTTGATACAAGACCTAGAGATTCGGAACCTTCCGAAATCTTGCTTAAGGAATCAGGTGACACCTACACCAAGCTCGGAGAGAAACCGTCTGCCGATGAAGTGGAACACACGTACAACAAACTTGGAGGCGCTACACACAAGAGAGAACCTGACGTCCCTCCTGATGGTACCTAGGGACCCTCGTCATAGGTCTCGGCATAGCATGTGTCTTATACTTTCATTGTTTAGTTCTGCAATGTATATAGTACTCAACCATATTTTAGCATTATTTGTTTTAAGAAGTTTAGAAAATTGGAATGTGTGGTGAAACTTTATTGAGCAGTCTAGAGAACATCATAATTTTGTCATACATGTAGCTCATGAGCATCATTTTTTTCAATTCTGAGGCTGCCTCTCTTTGGTGTGTATGTCCCAAGTGAGGATTTAGTCAGAGTAAATGAGGATTTCGTACGTAGGATATTTTTAGAAACTGACTACTTTGTGTTTGTGTTTGTGGTCTGTGACTGAAAATCCAATATTTTTATATTTGTCTGGTTGAAAAATGTATCTCGGTCTGTCGTTTGGTCAGAAATTGTTAATAAAAATTGTAGGATTTGAAAACAGTTACCTTATCCGGTGATGTTTTCTTCTCATAATCGAAATTGTCAATGGACGCAAGAGAAGGCGTCAATATTATCACTGGGACGCATGTACCTTTTTATGTAAACTATTTCTGAGGTCGGTAGGTTTTCGATTAAATCACAGGGAATATAAAAATAATAAATAAACATACATATAATATATATATATATATATATATATATATATATATATATATATATATATATATATAAACGTTGTATTACCATCAGTTATACTCTGTTATTATTATTATCATTATTATTATTATTATTATTATTATTTAGCATACCCTGTTATTATTATTATTATTATTTATTTATCTGAATATGTAATGCTTGCTGTATGTTGCACTATCATGTGGCTTGTTCTTTAATGTGTGTCTGTACTTGGGATATAACATTAAAAGATATGAAATAAACAATGATATTTTGCTTAGCTCAGTATAGTGTTTACTAAACGTTTCATTTTTGGCATTCTCGAAGTTGATGAGTAAATTAGTAAACATACAACTTTATTGAAAACAACTTCTGGTTTACTGCATTTAGCGACGTTTTTATGTAGATTCTTACATCGATGGAATAGCTTCAGCCAAGCGATAACAGGCTATAGACATCATATGTTGTGATACATATACAATATAATTGTTAATGCATCCAAACGTACAGTAAGGGCAAGGATTAAGCAGCTGATTGGATACTAATGATTTGTTCGTTTGTTTATTGTTTAACGCCGCACTTAGCAATATTCCAGATATATGACGGCGGTCTGTAAATAATCGAGTCTGAACCAGACAATCCAGTGATTGACATCGTGAGCATCGATCCACGCAAATGGAATACGATGACATGCATCAAGCAAGTGAGCGAGTCTGACCACCTGATCCAGTTATTCACTCTTACGACAGGCATAGTCGCCTTTTACGGCAATCATTGGTTGCTGAAGACCTATTCTACCCCAGATCTTCACGGGTCCTGAAAGCAAGGCGTCCTGTGAGAATAGTGACCCTAATAACTTACCCTTGGCGGCAAAGATTTAGGTGGGGTAGACAACAGCATGGTTTACAGACGCCTCAAGGTTTTGTCTCCGATTTACAGATGCCAGAAAACGTTGTTGGCGACGTAGCGGCGAGCGATATGCCAGGGAAACAATTCTTGACTATGATCGGTATGGGAGCGGTAGTGACATGGTGTCACTGTAGGGCAGTATCACACATGACAGGCGAACGGATTTGGTTATTGTGAAAGGAGCATCAATCCACGCACTTGGGATACGATGATATTCATGAACCAAGTCAGCGAGCCTGGCCACCCGATCTGGTCACTTGGCCACCAGCAGAAAAGAGCCTTAGTTTAGATTTTCGTTCCCACATTTTACTGTATATCTTAAACCTTTTCTATTGCATAAAAAAAGGTATCTGTACACAATTTTCATTCGGTAGTAAGCTTGCAAGTGTGTGCGTGAATTTTCACGGGGTCAAAATTGCTTAAATTGAAGGAAAAATGCATAATTTGACAAAATTGGCATTAACATTTTTTATTAAGTCATTAAACTATCCAAATTATGTCTTTGATGACAAGTAAAATGTTCGGTTATATGGATTTGGCAAGCAGTTTGTTTCATTTAACAGTTATTCTAATTCTCAGTGAAAACATAAAGTGATTCTCAGTAATAAATTGTTTTTTCTTCTTTTTCAAATCTTGTGAGTAGGTAAAACACTTATTCCATTGGATTTTGGCAATAAAAACACTGTTACTACATATCAAAATCTGCATAAACCATTGTGCTATCCTATGCAGAAAACAAAATGAAAATATATTTAAAAGGGGCTGAGGTATTGTATACAATGTTACCCCAGCCCCCCTAAAACTAATTTTGACGAAAATTGCTAATTGAGATATGGTGGTAGATTATAATAATTTAGTGGATGAGTGGGATTATTGCAACAATGCTTAAAAACAAAAAGAAACATAAAGAAAAATGATGTTTCAAGTTTTTCTATGAACATCTATGGTGGCCATCATGAATTTCAAGAAGGCTGCCATTTTGACCTGTTTTCAAAATAAGGATCTAATATAGTTCTTCAACATGGTCATGTAATATATCATATGAAAGCATTTTACATTGTCTTTTCAATGATGTACAATATTCACTGAGTTCTGTGATGATATATTAAAAGCTATTTTCTCTAGCGACACCAAACCCAACCCCAAAGTCAGATTTCAATTAAATTTGACATAGTTTCGCTCAGAATTGTAGATATATTGCACTTTTGTCCGAGCATTTTACTAGTTTATCATTTGAGTGAATAAAAACCTATGTGAATACGTGTAGTATTATGAAGTATTTAAAAATTTACATCACAGAGTCAAGGGCTGTGGAATAATGTCACCTCAAGTCACCGTCAGAGTCCATCTCTTCTGGAGAGGTAGGTAAGTTGTTTCTGTTTAGGCATGACATAGCACAATTGCATCCAAAGGAACATCAGATGTTGTTCTTGGCGCAGCTAAACCTGGATGAGGAGCACCTCCTTATTGTACATTTGCAGGCGAACAATTCTATACACAGTTCATAATGTTACTTAAACAACCAAAACCACATGTTATCATGGTTGGAAATGCGCATACAAAATGTCATCAGATGTAAAAAAAGGTGGTTGTTAAACAACAAACACCCTATCAGTTGTGTATTCAACAAAAATCATTTTATTTATTTTCTATTGTCCGCCCTTTGTGATGAGGATGATATACATACCAGCCAAAAGACTACTCAAACAAATTAAGGACCATCCGAATCAGCACACAACCCAATCAATTAGCTCAGCACACAATACATGTATACCATTTAGTTTGGAACTAAATTCTGTACAGCACTCGTATGCTTGTCGTAAGAGGCGACTAACCGGATCGGGTGGTCAGGCTCGCTGAGTTGGTTGATGCATGTCATCGATCCCAATTGCACGGATCGATGCTCATGATATCAATCACTGGATTGACTTGTCCAGACTTGATTATTAACAGACCACCAACAAAAAGCTGGAATATTGCGGAGTGCGGCATTAAAGAACAAACAAAGAAACGAAATATTGGACTTAATAATACACAACAGCCACTAATCTTGAGATGCACACGATATCTTTATTAAAAAGGAAACCCCAGGAAGTTCTGATTATGATAATAAAGTCGAAAGGTATTTCACAATCAAGCATCCCCCTATCTATATATATTAACACAAGGAGTGCAATCGCCTACTACTCGTGGCACTCGTGGCACTCGTTTGTTTATGTGTAAAAGTGGGGTGTTTCATAGTAAAAATATATTTTAATCATAATCAGAACTACCGATTCCTGTGAAGAAACATACAGTGGATTTGTTGTCAGCTGATCAATCAAAGAGACCAAGTCATAGCCATAGACTGAAGTGCGTAAACAGATTGACGAGTACACAATGGCATCCCGCTACTACAGGAACATGATGGAAATACCGTCCCGAGATAAAAATGGCGTCGTTGGTTTACTTATGAAAGTGTATACGATCGGTGAAATAACGGACAGAAGATAACAAAATAATCGGGGAATACAGTGGACACAGATATGATGTAAAATACAAGAAAGAAAATGTTTTTTACCAGGTGCTATGCTGAAACGGTATTAACATAGAAACAGTGATTGATGGTCGTAAAAAATTACACAGATACATAAAATGGATTTTTAGAGCATTCTCAAAATAACATGTTACTTATTGTCAAATTTCTCAAAATGTCAATATTCAATAGTTCTGGAATTGATTTCCCCTCAAAGACGTGATATGGGGACCATTCGTGACCACTCGGGTCATTCCGGGACATGATGCGATGATTACGGAAAGATGCGAGAGGTGACAAATGGTGATGCGCGTGTCAGTTGAAGCAAAAACAAGTCTTGTACTTGAAGTTCATATCTGTATCCACTTCACCACAGGGATGCCGCTCGTTGTGTTCTGCTACAGGGCTAGTTCCAGCGCCACCCAGCCACCGTAGACCCCCACGACGCACGTTATGAAGAAGACGACGTTGCTGGCACCACTCTATAACATGAAATGGTGGGTGAGTGAGCTAATAAATAAACCTGCAATTCATTCCAATAAAGTATCAGACCTCTTCTAGGGCCACTGTGATTGTGAACAGTAGCTATTTTAATAGTCAATGTTGACAGATTAGATAGCATAAGGTTTATTATTTCAACTTCATTATTATTGAGGACATATCGAAAGTGAATCACAGTTTAATCTGCAATTTCGTAAAACTTTACCAAACTTATATTTACTTTTCTGTACAAAAATAATCATGTCATGAAATAAACAGTACCTCAACTAATCAATGGCCAGTTTATGTTCTGTCCGTATGTGAATCCATGTGATCTTCATGTAATGTACAGAAACAGATAACACTTCAACGGCCCCTAAAGATATTTGAAAAAAACTATGAATGTTGTATAGTACCCATGGCTGTAATAATCATAACACATTACTTTCCTTCGTTTATATTCAAATGTGAAATACATCTGGTACAAAAGTCCCTGTTTTATGTACACAAATATGTTTTAAAACTTTAAAAACAAAGTATTTTCTTTTGTGAAAGCATTGAATACCCTGTGCTGTATTATTGATTAGCAGTTGTCAGTAAAATAGTGTGCTTGAGAAAAATGTCTGTAAAGTAGTGTATTGACAAAACAGTTGTGCGTATATCAGTGTGCAAACAGAGGTTGTCTGTATAGTAGTGCATTGAACAAACAGTAACTGAGTGTATAGTAGTGTATTAGAGCAAACAGTAGGTGTGTGTATGGTATTGTGTGGGAGTAAACAGTAGTTGAGTGTATAGTAGTGTATTGAACAAACAGTAGCTGTTTTTATAGTAGTGTATTAGAGCAATCAGTAGGTCTGTGTATGGTATTGTGTGGGAGTAAACAGTAGTTGAATGTATAGTAGTGTATTGAACAAACAGTAACTGAGTGTATAGTAGTGTATTAGAGCAAACAGTAGGTGTGTGTATGGTATTGTGTGGGAGTAAACAGTAGTTGAGTGTATAGTAGTGTATTGAACAAACAGTAGCTGTTTTTATAGTAGTGTATTAGAGCAATCAGTAGGTGTGTGTATGGTATTGTGTGGGAGTAAACAGTAGTTGAATGTATAGTAGTGTATTGAGCAAACAGTAGTTGAGTGTATAGTAGAGTATTGAACAAACAGTAGTTGAGTGTATAGTAGTGTATTGAGCAAACAGTAGTTGTGTGTATAGTTGTGTATTGAGCAAACAGTAGTCGCCTGTTTAGTCGTGTGTTGGATTAAACATGAGTTGTGGGTATAGTAGTTTATTGGAGTAAACATTAGTTGTCAGTACAGACGTATATCGATGACAAAGTCAGTTGTCAGTACAGACGTACATCGATGACAACGTCAGTTGTCAGTACAGACGTATATTGATGATAACGTCAGTTGTTAGTACAGACGTATATTGATGATAAATTCAGTTGTCAATACAGGTGTATATTGATGATAACGTCAGTTGTCAGTACAGGTGAATATTGGTGATAACGTCAGTTGTCAGTATAGGCGTGCATTGATGATAGCATCAGTTGTCAGTAAAGACGCATATTGATGATAACGTCAGTTGTCAGTAAAGACGTATATTGATGATAACGTCAGTTGTCCGTACAGACGTATATTGATGATAACGTCAGTTGTCAGTACAGACGTATATTAATGAAAACATTAGTTGTCAGTATAGACGTATTTTGATGATAACATCAGTTGTCAGTAAAGACGCATATTGATGATAACGTCAGTTGTCAGTACAGACGTATATTGATGATAACGTCAGTTGTCAGTATAGACGTATATTGATGATAGCGTTCAGTTGTTAGTACAGACGTATATTGATGATAACGTCAGTTGTCAGTACAGACGTATATTGATGATAACGTCAGTTGTCAGTACAGACGTATATTAATGATAACATCAGTTGTCAGTACAGACGTCTATTGATGATAACGTCAGTTGTCAGTACAGACTTATATTGATGATAACATCAGTTGTCAGTACAGACGTATATTGATGATAACATCAGTTGTCAGTACAGACGTATATTAATGATAACATTAGTTGTCAGTATAGACGTATTTTGATGATAACATCAGTTGTCAGTAAAGACGCATATTGATGATAACGTCAGTTGTCAGTACAGACTTATATTGATGATAACATCAGTTGTCAGTACAGACGTTTAATGATGACAACATCAGTTGTCAGTACAGACGTATATTGATGATAACTTCAGTCGTCAGTACATACGTTTAATGATGATAACATCAGTTGTCAGTACAGACGTATATTGATGATAACTTCAGTCGTCAGTACAGACGTTTAATGATGATAACATCAGTTGTCAGTACAGACGTATATTGATGATAACTTCAGTCGTCAGTACAGACGTTTAATGATGATAACATCAGTTGTCAGTACAGACGTATATTGATGATAACTTCAGTCGTCAGTACAGACGTATATTGATGATAACTTCAGTCGTCAGTACAGACGTTTAATGATGATAACATCAGTTGTCAGTACAGACGTATATTGATGATAACTTCAGTCGTCAGTACATACGTTTAATGATGATAACATCAGTTGTCAGTACAGACGTATATTGATGATAACTTCAGTCGTCAGTACAGACGTTTAATGATGATAACATCAGTTGTCAGTACAGACGTATATTGATGATAACTTCAGTCGTCAGTACAGACGTATATTGATGATAACATCAGTTGTCAGTACAGACGTATATTGATGATAACTTCAGTCGTCAGTACATACGTTTAATGATGATAACATCAGTTGTCAGTACAGACGTATATTGATGATAACTTCAGTCGTCAGTACATACGTTTAATGATGATAACATCAGTTGTCAGTACAGGCGTATATTGATGATAACTTCTGTCGTCAGTACAGACGTTTAATGATGATAACATCAGTTGTCAGTACAGACGTATATTGATGATAACTTCAGTCGTCAGTACATACGTTTAATGATGATAACATCAGTTGTCAGTACAGACGTATATTGGTGAAAACGCTGGTATGGAAAAATATGAAGGTCTTACCCCGGTGGTCGTAGACATTGTGACAGTCGTTGAGTCAGTAGCCACCGTCGAATTTGCTAAAGGATTTAAGTAAGTCGTTTAGTCAACATTATAACAAATTCTGCAAGTTTGATAATGCAAGTTTGAAAATGATGACATTATTACCGATTTTATTTGCAACAAAAGGATACACAGAGATTATAGTACTCTTTAGAAGCTATCGGGAAGTACTCGCATTTGAACAGATTGAAAGTGACAAGAACATATTTACAGTGTTCTTGTTGGCGAACTTGTTGGGAACGTCTTACTCAAAGGAAGTCAGAGAACACCCGATTCTTTTATATCTCTCTTGTCATGACACATTGCCTAAAGTAATATGAAAACAATATCTGATGTTCTTTACCTTCATTAGAGTAGAACCTATGAGGAACACTACTTCGCACAAGGGATTCGATAAACCGGAATTGAATAAACCCTGATTAACGAGGTTTCACTGTGGGTTATAAAGTTTGAGCCAGCAGTCAAACAAAGCGATGTTTGAAGTCTACCAATTTACTGAGCTTAGTGCTCTTTAATCATGGCGTCATAATTTAATCACATGTCTCTTGTGGAGACATATCAGCAAACAAAAAGCGTACTTACCTGTTGCTGCCAAGGGACTGACAGCACAGAGCGCGATAATAAGAATGGCAGCCAAGGTAAACTTCATCGTTCTTGTTGATTGGGAATCTGAAATCAACATGTTCGATTCCTACAGGCATTCACTCAATATTGTTTGCAGAAAACAAGAAATGTGGAGTTGGGCAGGATAATGGCGACTGTAGGGCCTTTGGTTTGTGGATAACAATCACGTCTACTGGAGACTGTAGAACCTAGGGGTAGAGGACAACGCCACGTCTACTGGAGACTGTAGAACCTATGTATTGTGGACAACATCACGTCTACTGGAGACTGTAGAACCCAGGGGTAGAGGACAACGCCACGTCTACTGGAGACTGTAAAACCTAGGGGTAGTGGACAACGCCACGTCTACTGGAGACTTAGATTCAAGGGGTAGTGGACAACGCCACGTCTACTGGAGACTTAGATTCAAGGGGTAGAGAACAACGCCACGTCTACTGGAGACTTAGATTCAAGGGGTAGTGGACAACGCCACGTTTACTGCAGACTGTAGAACCTAGGGGGAGAGGACAACGCCACGTCTACTGGAGACTGTAGAACCTAGGGGTAGTGGACAACGTCACGTCTACTGGAGACTGTAGAACCTAGGGGTAGTGGACAACGCCACGTCTACTGGAGACTGTAGAACCAATGGGTAGAGGACAACGCCACGTCTCCTGGAGACTATATAACCTAGGGGTAGAGGAAAACATCACGTCTACTGGAGACTGTAGAACCTAGGGGGAGAGGACAACGCCACGTCTACTGGAGACTGTAGAACCTAGGGGTAGAGGACAACGCCACGTCTACTGGAGACTTAGAACCTAGGGGTAGAAGACAACATCACGTCTACTGGAGACTGTAGAACCTAGCGGGAGAGGACAACGCCACGTCTGCTGGAGACTGTAGAACCTAGGAGTAGAGGACAAAGCCACGTCTACTGGAGACTGTAGAACCTAGGGGGAGAGGACAACGCCACGTCTACTGGAGACTGTAGAACCTAGGGGTAGTGGACAACGTCACGTCTACTGGAGACTGTAGAACCTAGGGATAGTGGACAACGCCACGTCTACTGGAGACTGTAGAACCAAGGGGTAGAGGACAACGCCACGTCTCCTGGAGACTATATAACCTAGTGGTAGAGGACAACATCACGTCTACTGGAGACTGTAGAACCTAGGGGGAGAGGACAACGCCACGTCTACTGGAGACTGTAGAACCTAGGGGTAGAGGACAACGCCACGTCTACTGGAGACTTAGAACCTAGGGGTAGAAGACAACATCACGTCTACTGGAGACTGTAGAACCTAGCGGGAGAGGACAACGCCACGTCTGCTGGAGACTGTAGAACCTAGGAGTAGAGGACAAAGCCACGTCTACTGGAGACTGTAGAACCTAGGGGTAGAGGACAACGCCACGTCTACTGGAGACTTAGAACCTAGGGGGAGAGGACAACGCCATGTCTACTGGAGACTGTAGAACCTAGGGGTAGAGGACAACATCACGTCTAGTGGAGACTGTAGAACCTAGGAGGAGAGGACAACGCCACGTCTACTAGAGGCTGTAGAACCTAGGGGAAGAGGACAACGCCACGTCTACTGGAGACTGTAGAACCTAGGGGAAGAGGACAACGCCACGTCTACTGGAGACTTAGAACCTAGGGTGAGAGGACAACGCCTCTTCTACAAGGGATTGTAGAACCTATGTGTAGTGGACAACGCCATGCCTAGTAGAGATTGTAGAACATAGGGGTAGAGAACAACGCCTTTTCTACAAGAGGTTGTAGAACCTAGGAGTAGAGAACAACGCCTCTTCTACAAGAGATTGTAGAACCTATGTGTAGTGGACAACGCCATGCCTAGTAGAGATTGTAGAACATAGGGGTAGAGAACAACGCCATACCTACTGGAGACTGTAGAACCTATGTGTAGTGGACAACGCCATGCCTACTGGAGATTGTAGAACATAGGGGTAGAGAACAACGCCACGTCTACTGGAGACTGTAGAACCTATGTGTAGTGGACAACGCCATGCCTACTGGAGATTGTAGAACATAGGGGTAGAGAACAACGCCTTTTCTACAAGAGATTGTAGAACATAGGGGTAGAGAACAACGCCTCTTCTACACGAGATTCTAGAACCTATGTGTAGTGGACAACGCCATGCCTAGTAGAGATTGTAGAACATAGGGGTAGAGAACAACGCCTCTTCTACAAGATATTGTAGAACCTATGTGTAGTGGACATCGCCACGTCTTCTAGAGACTGTAGAACCCAGAGGTAGAGGACAACGCGACGCCTAGTAGAGACTATAGAATCTATGTGTAGAACACAACGCAACGTCTCCTAGAGACTGTAGAACCTAGGGGTAGAGGACAACGCCACGTCTACTTGAGACCGTAAAACCTAGAGGATGTGGTGAAGGTTCAAACCGCCTTCAACAGAAAGTACGTACTTGAAAATTGGATTTAACCGAAAATTACAAACGCTATGACAAGTTTACAAGGCTCAAAACAGTTTTGAAACTTTAGGTCCAAAACACAACTATGATTCCCGTATCAAATACATCATAACAGAATATCTATTTCGTGTTTGTGTCATATTTAGCCACCATCAAACATGGGTGTACACCCCATTTTGCCCGGCAGTTTACTATGAGGGACCGAGATGGTGTGGAGGGTAGTGGGCATCGCGTCATCTCATCAGACACAGAACACACTTGCATTGTGTTTATAATACCGAACTTTATCTACAAATGTATGACATTCTTATTTCAGCCTCCTTCGTATGTTACAAAACGTTATTATATCAAATGGCACTGCGCACACAAATCTCAAACTATTACCTGGGGCTGAATCACTTCTAGGTTGGAAGTTGTTATCAAATCTTCCCTCAATCGACTTTTCACGAGCACAATGTACCTACCTCTGAAGCTTTCAGCTGATCGTCTTGTATAGCCAACTGACTGACTGATATAGGAGATTTAACGTGCGCTTTCCGACTGTAGCGTATTTCGCACACGGGTACAGCCAACCCTGTACAGGGTCTTTTATGTCGTCTTTTAGACGAGTTTAAGTTTAAATAGGGAAGTTAATATTAGAAATGAATTATTTTGCTCAACCTATATATACGTGTCATTGGCAATGTATATCAAACACAACTAACTAAGGTAGAAATATAATATTTAGGTATTTAATATGTTGTTATTAATGGCTTGAGATTATTTTACAAATGATATAGTTGATCAAGCCCCCCTTCCCAATAGACTGGACCACCCTCCAGTAATTAAATAAGATTGACTATTTGTTGTGTTCACCCGGATAACGGTCCCTGACAACTGTGGTGATACATAATGTGAGACAACATATCGGCAAACACATGCTCCCTTTGTTATTCATAAGCACTGGAGAGTAGATCAAATACCTCCCCCAGTTCAAGATGCATGACAAAGCTGGAAACCCTGGATACCGCTGTATAAATAAACACTATCTTTTTATCAAATTGCATTGTTTTCATACATGCGTAAGAGCTGTATTAACCAGTGAACTACGTAAGTTCAATACCCCAAGGTTTTTCGGTTTTCTTTTCGTGTGTCAATTTCAGAATTTTGAATTTAATTGAAAATATTGAAACGTAAGAAGATGATAAGCGGTGACACACCACATCGGGGTCGATTGCAGGACATCACGTGGATTCTTTCATGTGAGAATAATTACACCGAATAATAATTTGATTGTACCAATACCCGGATGGTTGGTCTCATATAAGAGCACATGATCTCTCTAGGATTCTTCTGCAAAACAAGCGCACGGTAACCCGATAAGGGTTCTTTAGAAGTACAAGAGCATGTAATCCCTATAGGATCTGTAGGATTCTTCTGTAATACAAAATCATGACTCACTATAGGATTCTTCTGTAATACAGAGTGCGGAATCACTACAGGATTCTTCTGTAATACAGAGTGCGGAATATCTACAGAATTCTTCTGTAATATAGAGTGCGGAGTCTCTACGGAATTCTTCTGTTATACAAAGTGCGGAATCACAACAGGATTCTTCTCTAATACAGAGTACAGGATCACTACAGGATTCTTCTGTAATACAGAGTACGGGATCACTGCAGGATTCTTCTGTAATATAGAGTGCAGAATCTCTACAGGATTCTTCTGTAATACAGAGTGCGGGATCACTACAGGATTCTTCTGTAATACAAAGTGCAGAATCACTACAGGATTCTTCTGTAATACAGAGCGCGGGATCACTACAGGATTCTTCTGTAATACAGAGTGCGGGATCACTACAGGATTCATCTGTAATACAGAGTACGGACTCACTACAGGATTCTTCTGTAATACAGAGTGCGGGATCACTACAGGATTCTTCTGTAATACAGAGTACGGGATCACTACAGGATTCTTCTGTAATACAGAGTGCGGGATCACTACAGGATTCTTCTGTAATACAGAGTGCGGGATCACTACAGGATTCTTCTGTAATACAGAGTACGGGATCACTACAGGATTCATCTGTAATACAGAGTGCGGGATCACTACAGGATTCTTCTGTAATACAGAGTGCGGGATCACTACAGGATTCATCTGTAATACAGAGTGCGGGATCACTACAGGATTCTTCTGTAATACAGAGTACGGGATCACTACAGGATTTTTCTGTAATACAGAGTGCGGGATCACTACAGGATTCTTCTGTAATACAGAGTGCGGGATCACTACAGGATTCATCTGTAATACAGAGTGCAGGATCACTACAGGATTCTTCTGTAATACAGAGTGCGGGATCACTACAGGATTCTTCTGTAATACAGAGTGCAGGATCACTACAGGATTCATCTGTAATGCAGAGTGCAGGATCACTACAGGATTCATCTGTTATACAGAATGCGGAATCACTACAGGATCATTATGAAGTGTGGTATTATTTGACTACTATAAAAATGACGCAGAGTGAGCTGTAGGCAGAATGGGGGTGAAGTGTAGAAATGGGATTGTACGTGGTGGATTATTGGAGAATATATCACACGAGCACATCACACACACAAAAATACATGCACACACGCTCTCACACACGTCATAGTAAAACACGAGGATACACATTCCATGACATCAAGCTGTTGTCAAATATCATTACTATGTTACTAAATTTATATGCAAACATTACACACTTTAGGGAAGTAAATAGGATTTAGGTGTGTGACTTTCACCAATAAAGAGAACAACCTGAAAGATAACGGGACGCCCATTTTCACTTTGCTCGGTTAAATGAGAGCCAAAATCTAAGGGTACAATCGACGCGAATAGCTAGATGCTTGTTCATGCGGCGTTAAACAATACTCGCTCAACCACTCCGAAAATATATATATATATATATGTTGTAACATCCTAATCAATACAAATATAATTAATGATAATAATTAAGCGACAAAACCCTTTTTATATCCAATAGAAATAACTGCATAAGGCAGAGTCGATTGTACGATTTCGACTATATCATGAGCAAGTGTTTATGAATCACTTTCAATGATACCAGGTGTTCGCGAAAAGGTGAACTTATCCTGCCCCATCGGTGTTATTATTACTTGCTATGTGATTTTGCAATGTATCTAATATACTACACACAAAGGAGAAGGAGACATGTGATATGGTATGTTGTATGTGACGTTCGTTGTGAACTCTACTATCAGCGTAATTGGTTTATTTTATTTTTTTCTCCATAACCTAACATAAAGTTGTCATTTGTTGTAAATTCAAAATGAAATCGGCTATTAACTAAAGATGTCATAGATAGAGGTGGCGCGGAGAGACTATAACGGAGTGTTTGATTTATGAGGCATGATCTATGCCAGTATATGTAGGGACGCATATGTTATATTTGTTGTTCCAGATAATAGGTTAAATGGTAATGTGCAATATCAGGAACTCTGATAATTATATTTTCAAGGGTACAGAATGTGATTTACACATGAGTGTGCTTTAACAAAAGCAATGAAATCCATTCCTTGATTATAAATAATCTGAGCTAATAGCATTGTCCATTGTACGATTTGGATTATATCATAAGCAAAGTGTTTATGTACAGTAAAGAACGGTTATAACGAACTCAAAGGGACTACTAATTTTAGTTCGTTAGTTCGTTATAACCGTAGTCCGTTATAAGCATTTATATAGCATAACTACAGCAAATAGTCTGGACCACAAAAGTAAGTTCGTTATATCCGTCAGTTCGTTATAAGCGTGTTCGTTATAACCGTAGTTTACAGTATAACTATGAAAGATAACAGATGTTTGCGAAAGGTGAGCGTATCCTGACCCACTTGTGGCACCCGTCACGAACACATGAAAGTCAATTGCCCACCTAAAAAATAATATAAATAATATATGTGGTACAAGTCGAAGTTGGGAAAGGCATCGGACATGATTCTATTCCCCAATCCTGTTGTAGTCATAAATCAATAAACACAATGAAACCAGTGTGTGTGAGGTTATACAGAATGTAAATTATAATAATGGCTAACGGTATTTCAGTCAGTATCACAGCTGTTGTCCCGTGAGGGAGACAGTATAGCATTTGTACTGACAAACCAATAAGCGTAACCGGGGCATGTTTCCACGCATGATTATAAGGTTCTGGTACGTCTGAGGTCCAATGCCCAACTGTGGAGAGCGAGTGTGGCTCGTAAAAGATGAAAGCTACCATTTGAAATAACGAAGTAGGTTCTAGTTAACCTCACACCCTTAGCGGAAAAAGTGCATGTTTATAAAGACTCCATGGTACTCCTAGAAGTGAGTGAGTGAGTTGGATTTAACGCCGCTTTTAACAGTATTCCAGTGATATCCAGTCAGCTTAATATGGGAGAAAAGCCCGAACTGATGCAGGTCTCAGACGTTTCCCACTTCGGTGAAACCCACGAGCACGGGTATGGTGCTGACAAACCTAGAAACATAATCGGGCCGAACCGGGATTCGATCCCACATTTATAGGTTTCTGGCCTGCCCAAGTGACGCAACTGCGCGCCTTGGACGACTGGGCCACCCGTGTCCCCGATACTTCTAGAAAGGAAAGTTCACTCTATTTTCCCCATTGACTCCTCAATGGACTATTTAGTTCAGCATTTACTGGGACTTATTTCTGTAATGGTCACACACATATCATAAGAATGAGTTAGGTATGGTAGTCAAAGCTGTCTGACATGTTTTTACAGTTTATGAAGCTTCGAACTGTCCAAAATGTTTTTCATGCACAAAACACACGCTCTGTCCACTTGAAGGATTTTTTTGGTATGAAGTTTGTATGTGACTTTTCCCCTCCCTGTTCTGAAACATCTTTGTAAAATTAAATATAACTGATTGTATGTATTTAAGTAAGAATAAATCCTACATGGAAATAACATAATTTTTTATTCCACTGATTCACGTATCCACCAGCGCACACGGTAAACGTGTAACCACATAAACACAGTGAGAGAAACAACGAAGCATGGCATCGTGTCCTGAAGTTGATGGAATCAAACGTCATATCAACTGTCAACTATAATATTCCGAGCAGGAAACATTGGAAAACATAACGATCGTGTCTTTTGTGCGAAGTATCATCAATTTGACTGGGGGTTATCAATCAATGCTGTCGTGTAATAGCTGTACAGTAACGCAACAATGTTAATGGTTATTCACAATTACAAATCGATATTTTGATTGAAACGTAGTAACTGTCACAAGACTATCGTTGTCACAACAAAATATTCTGTTTACGGCTAATATGTAAAATTGTATTGTTTGTCCACTGCACATCTACGTTAAAGTTGACGAGTTGATTTATTCATCTGGAATATTTTTGTAAAGGCCAGTGGCCAATTGTCAACGGGAATCGTTATAGGAATTACTAATGCCGATTATATAATGGTAGCCCACTAGGATACCATGCCGAAAACAAGTACCATCTTTTAACGTCTTTTGGTGAGACATGAGCCCGGGGATCGAACCACCGACCTTCTGCTCTCCAGACAGATGCTTTTTCCACTGGACCACGGTCCAGTCCTTCATATTAAAAAATGTTAAGGACAGATATAGTATTAAGTAATATCATGTAATGGATTATTATCAAGGCAATAGTAATAATTTAAATCCTTGTTTTCCTCGTTCTAATTGAAATGATTCTATTCTATATATAATAGAAACATTTCCAACACGGTCTAAATAGTTATCACCGCGGCGGAAATAGTTTTCTGTATTTTCATTTTAGTTTTTGACATTTTCGCTTTAGTTTTTGACATTTTCATTTTAGTTTTTGACATTTTCATTTTAGTTTTTGACCTTTTCGTTTTTGTTTTTGACATTTTCATTTTAGTTTTTGACATTTTCAATTCACTTTTCAGCGATTCAATATCTTCTTTATACATGATTTATCACATATTTGTATTTACAAGTTGTGTTCATTTGCAAAAGGTTACGATAACAGTAAGTGAAATATCAAAATATTGAAAAACGGACTCCATGTCCCTTATGGGCCACCGTAAATAACACATGAAATACACCCAAAATGAAAAGTAATTTCGAAAGAAATGAAAGAGCTGCATCCAATAGCAAAATTCAGTTATTGATCAATCTGTCATATAACAGTAATATGAATGAAATCAATGAAATTTCGCTGTCAATTACGACATGTTTTGCGGTCTGTTAATCCGGACATACTTCCGCGACAGCACTGACCGAGAGAGAAAAGGTGTTTTCTTCTTAAAATGCGACAGCTGATATGTCCAATTTACAACCGATTCCGACACAAAACCATTTCAAGTCACTTGTAAGAGCTTTTATGCAACTTTTAGAAGACTTGATACATTTTCTAAATTAACAAGCATGAAATACTTATATCCCCTGCTAATAGGATGTCCGGTTGTGTGCAAGGCAAGAAAATTCGTACGGTTTTCAAGATGTGCTCCGGAAACAAGTCAAAGTCGTTGCCATGGAAACTCGAATTTTCAACACTAGACCTATCTATGTGACAAGTTTGGTTTAGGTAACTGTTTTTTTAGTTCTGCTCCGGAAACGAAACGTGACGGACGGACAGAAGGACGGGCGGGACAGCACTCATTCCTATATTCCCCTTCCACTTCGAGGCGGAGGATAATAAATTATACTCATACATGGGCAGCTGCCTATTGAAATACAAATATTTCAAGTAGGTCCTAGGGTCTGATGCTAGACCCCCAGATGAAACACAGAGAGCAAACCATTAACGTCTGTTCCAAAGCGTCGCGGACTGCACGAATGTATAGTTTTGTCTGTACCTATGTGTAGCGATGCTCATGATATCAACCACAGGATTGTCTGGTCCAGACTCGATTATTTACAGACCTCCGTCATATAGGTGGATTATTGCTGAGTGCGGCAAAAAACCCCAAATAAAATGTATCGGAAAAATAACAGGAAATATTATAACAGCCCCGTGATAGCAATCACTAAAGCCGACCTTTCTTTCAGTTGCTTCATGTTTTGATTCAATTTGTTTGTTTCTTGTTTAACGCCGCACTCATCATAGCTATATCATGGCGGTGTGTAAATTCTCGAGGCTGGACCAGATAATCCTGAGTTTGATATGACGAGCATCGATCCACGCAAATGGGATATGATGAAATGCATCAACCAACTCAGCGAGCCTGACCACCCGATCCCGTTAGTCTCCTCTTACGACACACACAGTCGTCTTTTACGGCAAGCATGGGTTGCTGGAGACCTATTCTAACCCGAATCTTCACGGGTCGTACAATGTATGAAGCCCATACTTGGTACCCCCAGACGTAATATGACTTGAATATTGATAAATAATCTATCAGCTAATCATTTAATATATTTCGTCAATGCAAGAGAATATCAAGTTTTGATTATCCGCCAAAACAGATCCGATGTGGCGCGAAGGGCGAAATAGAGTTGAAAATTAAATGAATGGACAACTGAAAACCAGTGATAGACGGGGCCACTGAAGATCAGTGATGACACCGGCTGAGACATGCATCTCCACGGATAGAACAGACAATTATGTTTGTTGTTTAAAGCTGCACTGTGATATTTCAGCTAAGTGACGGAGGCCTGTAAATAATCGAGTGTGGACCAGACTATCCAGTGTTCAACACTGTGAACAACGAGCCACGCCGTCCGAGTACGAGGACACGCAACCAAGTCCTCGAGTCTGACCACCCGATCCATTAAGTCGCCCCGTATAACCAGCATAGGCTGTGGACACCTCTTCTAACCTGGAGGAGCGGTCGGGTAGCCTGGTGGTTACAGCGTTCGCTCGCCACGCCGAAGACCCGGGTTCGATTCCCTACATTGGTACAATGTGTGAAGCCCATTTCTGGTGTCCCGAGCCGTGATATTGCTGGAATATTGCTAAAAGCGGCGTAAAATCAAACTCACTCACTCACTCTAACCTGGAATCCCCATGTTGGTAGAATAGATAAGATGTCAGTATCATTGCTAAAACTATTTATTGCCAGGGTATCTGTTGTAAAGAATTTCATTGGCCAACGAATACATGAACTGGAAGTCGATTGGCATATTTTGATGAAAATGAGATCCAGTGAAATATTAAAACAGAACAGTAATACAGGTTTGTTCTTTGATACACAGCACATTACAAACAGCGAAGCCTTTGGATGTCACATATTATGCACGAAATACCATCACAATTGTTGCATAATAAGATTTTGTTGTTGTTTTGTTAATCTGTCAATTTGTCTGTTCGTTGTTTAACGCCGCACACGGCAATATTCTAGCTATGTGACGACAGTCTGTAAATAATCGAATGTGGACCAGACAATCCAGTGATTGACATCATAAACAACCGTCCACACAACTGGAATACGATGACATGCATCAACAAAGTCAGCGATTCCGTAAGTCGTCTCCTTCAACAAGCATAGGTTGCTGAAGACCAATTCTAACCCAGATCTTCACGAGCATACTGCCATTATGCTAATAATTTTACACCAAACCTAAGGGTGCATTACTTCTGCATATAATCTACATTGCTATACTGATATAACCGTTAAACCCCATATTCACTATTGCAACCTAGCAATTTAGATAACAAACGGTTCAACAAATGAAATTGGTAGAAAAAATTCAAGCCAAAAAATATATAATCTCGTTTTTCAAACATATACTGAAACAACAAAGGTAGTGATCATGAATGTTTGGGGATATTTTTATGGAATTGAGGACAGTCTTCACGACAAAAAAACCCTAAACTTTCTTTATGTCATTGAGCATATGTTATTATGTAACCTATCGATAACTGTCGTGTGTTTATCGGTCAAAAGACAACATGTCTAAATAAACATACAACATTTTTGCTTTTTTTCTATCTGCCCCCTAGTGACACAAGCAGAGTGTTGAGGTAGTGGTGAGAGACGTCACTCCTTGTAGATGAGGGTGGGGATGTGGCAGTGATGGAGGACGCCGTCGCTCACGCTGCCGAGAATGGTACGCTTGATGGTGCCCATCCCACGGGTGCCCATCACGATGATGTGAGCATTGATCTTCTTGGCGTGGACGCAGATTTCGTGCCACACTTCCTTGCCTTTCAACTCCTCGAACTGATGCTCGATCTGGAAAAAGTTAACAAAGCGAAACTGAAAACGGGTCTGCAACAACATGGCGGCCACTCCCATTTACGATAGAGTGTGCGAGAATTTCAACAATGAAAAACTAATTGACGCGCAAAAGAAAGCCCCCCCCCCCCCCCCCCCCCCCCAATATTCTTCATATCCATCTCCCTTACTCACATCCCTGTTTAATGTTAATGTTTGTTTTTTGTTTAACGCCGCACTCAGCAATATTCAAGCTATATGACGGCCGTATACAATAATCGTAAAGTGGCGACTGATGGGATCGGGTGATCAGGTTCGCTGAGTTGGTTGATGCATGTCATCGTGTCCCAATTGCGTGCACCGATACTCATGATGGCAATCACTGGACTGTCTGGTCCAGACTCGACTATTTACAGACCGCCGTCATGTCGCTGGAATATTGCCGAGTAAACAAACAAAAAACAAACACACTTACCCCAAATTCCTTACAAATGGCATCGTATTTTAATTTCATCTGCTTCGTAGAGGCACTGGTCTTGTCAACAAGTTCCTGGCGCCGTGCAGGGCCTGTGACAAAGAACAAGAAGTAAGTTACAGGGTATATCGGGGTGAACAGGGTGGTCTTATCATGCCTTACGCTTAAATATCGTACAGGGCTGCATTCCTGGGTATTGAAATGTAATGAGGGTAGTATCACCTCGTCACTGGGGGAGTATTCACTTGTCACTGGGGTAGTATAAATAGAGAATACTACACTCATTCTCGTTAGATACCATTTTTACGAAACGAGTGGACTTTCGCTCGGTCAGATACCATGGAAAGTTCATGAGTTTCGTAAAAATGGTATCTAACGAGAATGAGCGTGGTATTTTATTAATAACCCACGTTAAATATGCATGTAAGTGTAAATACATAACAACTTTTGTTCGTTGACAGACCAAACTGAAACCGGTTGCAAACTCTGGTTGCGCATGAATATAGATATATGCCCAAATATGAGCATTGTTGACATTTCTATGCATACGCATTAACAACATGCGCCTGCAGTTGTGTTTGCAAACATAACAGCGCCGACGCCTAAGATCCTTTTGGAAGAATTTCTTCAGCTTATGAGAATTCAAGCGCCATGTTGTTAGTACGCAGGACACCTATAAGAAAATCTGAAAAGTCACATTAGCGCCGCGCTTTGAATATCGGACCAACAGTCAGTCACTCGCACTGCCGGGGTCCCGTCTGTGCATTCGAAAAAATTCGGTTTCCTTGATCTATCAGCTGAATTTATATCATGTCCGTGCCATTTTGGAAGAGTGAAATCAGAGTTTTCGCCAAAGACATTCATGTTTACTGTACCACCCTTTACTGAAGACGTGAAAATCAACACGCTCAAGTCTGCTTGCATGTCAGTGACAGCTTCGAACGAAGGGCAAGGTCACCACCGGAATAAGAAAAGACAACCGTGATCTACTCAGCGTTTTACGTTAGAGATAGGGAATGTTATTGTTCACCTTTGGGATATTTTGGGCCACATAATCAGAAATCAGCCACACTTCTACAGAGTTTTCGAATGATTTGTATCGGAAATGTTCATTTTGAGTGATCTGGTTGTGAACAAACAACTCCCGAAACAGTGCCACAAAATACGCCTCGAAGAGGACACTGATGGCACAACCGGATCATCCCAAGTAAGTCTAGATATCTGTCCAGATAGTTTAAACTGACTACATTTCACCACGCTTATCCTTTTACATTAAATCAAAAAGGAAGTTGCGAAAGTAGTCGGGTGCGTCACGCTCGTTGGGACCCCCGATCTATTGAACGGTAGTCGTACATTGAAAAAGGATATAGCTCGATTATATAATGTCTGTGGAAGCTCAATGCATAACTTATATAGGATGCAAACCGAATTTGATGCGTGTGACTATCTTGTTTAGTTCAATAAAGTGTTTGTTAATATCTCTCGCTCACATGAGATTGCTTCAGCTCTGCCTTGTAGTTGCAAAATTAATGACGTCTCGCGATTTTTTTATGAATAAAAAAAGGAGTCCCGGTGTGACAGAGTTTGCGGTTATCCAATCAAAACGAATAAAACAAGGTCACCCTTGTACGACACACGTGTGACGTACGGATTTAGTATCTTACCACCTGTATCTCCACCACGTGGGTAAGAATCACTCGTCACTGGGGAAGTGTTCACTCATCACGAGGGTAGTATTGCCTCAGCACGAGGGTAGTATTCAAAGGATGATCATCTGACTCAGACGTTCGAGAATATTCGATAGACGTGACAACCAATGAATATTTTTTTTTTTAAATCCTGTAGAAAAAACACATACCCTAACGTTTCTTCCCAAAGACTACTCGGACACTCTCAAAAGTGAGGGGGGCGGGGTTAACGTTGAGCTGAGGAAGGTAAGTCCGACACAATTTTGGAACGACATCAGGAATATATATATTGCCTGGGATCGTCTTGAGCATGAAGTTTAGGAGAAACCCCCATACCCAACAAGTACTCTGTGACTGGTGGGGGTGGTAGTACTCACTCATCATACGATCGTCGTCCCCCCAGTATTCCGGCACGTGACAGATTTTCACCTTGTGGAGTGGCTGATTGAATCTGGCGAGGTACCCTGTTATCACATAAAAATGTGCACATGAACAAGGTTCTTGTTTGTTTGTTTGATGTTTAACGCCGCACTCAGCAATATCCCAGCTATTCGACGGCGATCTGTAAATAATCGAGTCTGGACCAGACAATCCAGTGATTGATTTCATGAGCATCGATCCACGCAATTGGGATCAATGACCTTGTCACTAGTCGATTGTTTACAGACCGCCGTCATATAGCTGGAATATTGCTTAGTGCAGCGTTAAACAACAAACCAAACCAAGAAAACATTACAGTCAATCAAGTTTATATACATACACAACATAGAATGACACATGCACATCGTAGAATGGAACGAATGCAAGATCACTCACTCACTCTCTTTAAAATAAGATATTTTACTCCGATACGATGCCACCTCAATGGAGGTCGCGTCAGGTGAGCTTTCAAATCGGCCAATCGGCGTCATGCTTCTAAATTCTCGATACGAATGAGGGTTTGTTGGTTGGTTTGTTGTTTAACGCCCTGTACTCAGCAATATTCCAGCTATATGACGGCGGTCTGTAAATAATCGAGTCTGGACCAGACAGTCCAGTGATAGATATCATGAGCATCGATCCACGCAATTGGGATAGATGACATGCATCAACGAAGTCAGCGAGCCTGACCACCCGATCCCGTTAGTCGTCTTTTACAACAAGCATAGTCGCCTTTTACGTCAAGTATGGGTTGCTGAAGACCTATTCTACCCCGGATCTTCACGGGTCATACGAGAGAGGGAAGCATTCAGACAAGCATATCTGATTTCTGTATCTTTGATAAAAGTTATATTTTGTTCAATACTACTGAGATGATATCTCTAGTATTCTTTTGTTAATTATGCAATGATCCATTCTCTTTCACAGAAATTAAATTTTAACTTCAAAGAGATTCGTTTATTGTAGATGGTCCGGTTTTCGATCACTCAAAAACACCCTTGACACTAGGTTGGTTTGTTTTCTATGTGGTTTAACGCCGCACTCAGTAATATTTTAGTGATTGACATCATGAGCATCGATCCACCCAATTGTGATAGATGACATGCATCAACCAAGCCTGACCACCTGATCCCGTTAGTCGCCTCTAACAACAAGCATAGTCGCCTTTTACGGCAAGCATGGGTTTCTAAAGAGCTATTCTTCTCCGGATCTTCACGGGTCGACACCCAGTTGTCTCAAAGAAGCGCTGTCATGGACGTTTGTAACAGTTATGTGAACAACGGGTGTAGTTAAGGTATTTTCAAACCAAGCACCAGGGATCAACAAACAAACAAACAAACAAACAAACAAACATTAGGAACGTGTAATCGCAGGGTATGAAACTCCCAAAATTTTCAGCCAGACCACAGGACTGGCTAGCTGAAATACTTGCCAGCCCTGACCAAAACCTGCCCGCCCACTATAATCATATGTTTCTCAGGATAATTAAATTAAAACTTTAAATCGAATTCATTGAACATGAAGTAATGCAAGAAATGAAATAGCAAACACTTTTTAGGTCAGATTTGTATTTAATATCCTAGAATACATCATGTAAATAATGCTTATCATATGGAAATATTTAGACTATTTTTACATATGAAATATAACCCGACCGTCGGGCAGGGGGATTTGAAAATCTGGCAGCCCGAGTTGAAATCAACCCGTCTCGGACGGTCGGGCAGGCAGGTATTTCGAACAGTGGTAATCGACAGTTACCATACATGTCTCTATAACCACACACCTGTTTCTATACGACGTACATCGACATACATGGGCGACAGTCTTCAACACAAAGTAACAATATGGCATATTTTACAGGGCCTGAATATACATTGTTACCTGTACACGGATCTGAAGGCGACCTACAGAGAGTCGTTATGTACACGACAGAAGTTACCGACACCACATTCTCTGGAGCAGGTAGGAGCGAAACTGGTGCGAGCGTTTCAAATCTGAACAAGCGTCTTTGAATATCATGACAAAGGAAATGTGTAAATATGAAACACTATTACAGAATATAGTGCCCCGGTACAGCCTTTTAAGGTGGTTTGAATATCGCTGACTGTGGAAGTCCTATGACGAGTAGAAAACACAGCAAGCATTTAGAAACAAATTTAAACATGCTACGAACAGGTTTAAATTTGTCAACGAAATGACTGAAATAAATATTTTTTTTCGGTTCGTATTCTCTCCACAATAACCACAGTAATTCGCGGACATTTTAACTCATATTTCCTAAAAGGTGATACACTTGTTTCAAAGAGTTTTGTTTATTTGTTTGTTTGTTTGTTGTTTAACGCCGCATTCAGCACTATTCCAGCTACACGACGGCGGTCTGTAAATAATCGAGTCTGAACCAAACAATCCAGTGATTGACATAAACATCGATCCATGCATCAACCAAGTCAGTGGGCCTGACCACCCGATCCCGTTAGTCGCCTCTTGCGACAAGCATGGGTTAAACCCCATTTCACCTCACCTCGTAGTATGTCACCTTATATTTGTTTGTTAGATATCATGTGTTGGTGGAACAAACATTCATACAAATGTGACCCTTATGGCTGTTTGTTTGTTTGTTTGTTGTTTAACGCCGCACTCAGCAATATTCCAGCTATATATGACTGTGGTCTGTAAATAATCGAGCCTGGACCAGACAATCCAGTGATTGATATGAGCATCCATCTACGCAAATGGCATACGATGACATCAACCTAGTCGCCTTTTACGACAAGCATGAGTTGCTGAAGACCTATTATAGCCCGGATCTTCTCGGGCCACTTATATATCATTGCACTTACATAGCGATGACAATGCACGTGGGTTTGTGACTGCTTGTTCTGGTCCGGATTGTGATACCATGCCGCAGTTTAACATGAATATCACACCCAGACACAGCATACTGACTCCCAGCCGAGAAGTCCTTGTTAATTTAACCCCTTCGTGCCCGTGCGAGCACCAGGCACGGTAACAAAAAGTATTTTGGTATGAAGCGGCCGCGGATCCTTAGTTCATTATTAATTAATAACAACCAATGATAATGATGAATGAAACAGCATGCATTATTTACAGGGAGGTGTTTTGATACTGACATACGAAAAGTGCTTCTCACTAATTACTTATGCACCACGGGTGCAACTGTAGCAATGTTGCATACTTACATCTGAAAGCGCGTTCGCTCAAGTCACTGGGATCAACGGCAACCAGGACTTTAGTTTCTCCGCCTGCCATTGTAGATTATTGAGCGTGCTGTCAAGAATGTCCCTTCGTTGCTGTTCAACACCTGACTGTCGCGGGAGTCAGTTTAAGTGATGAGGTCAGAAGGGGTTATTGTAGCCAACTGCGCATGCTCACACTCGGGTTAAGACGTGGGCACCTCTTTGTAAATATTGCAGTTGCATTTATGAAGTGTAACATGAAAAAATCACTGCAATTCTGATTTTATTTTAATTTCATAATTATAACAACAGTCTAACGTATTTAATATATGTTGTCTTATACAACTACAAGACGCATGTGACAGCGCATGTCTCCAAACGAAGGTATTCTATGGCTTCGTTTCTTTGTCTAGTTTAGTACGTACTTGTGTACATGTATGCATTTCTTCATGTTGAATGGTTAGTAGGACATTGGCAAGGAGTTATGTAAAGTAAGCATGGCCACGAGTCTATGGTTCACTTGTTAAGCTGGTGTCACGCTTGACGGAGCATTGCGCAGTGCTGGCCAACTGCAAAGCAGGTTTTTTATCTTATCTCTTGGGCCAAAACAACAGGTATTTTTTAACATGAGCTGGTCTGTCTCACAGTCCCTGAACCGTATTTTTTTCTCTTTCGCCCAGCCTTACTGTTATGGTATAGCCCTAAATGAAGCAAGTCTAGATTTTAGGGCTCAGGAATCTCCCATCTCACTGGGGCTCCTTTTCAATTTAAATGGAGTTGTTTGTATCTATTGTCACCGAGTCGTAAAACGTGTCGGTCTAGTGACCGCACCGCTTACCCGCTTTAATGGTTCTGTTTCCGAAGCCGAGCGGAGGGGGCACGGGTGGCTCAGTCGTCTGAGGCGCCGCGATTCGCTGTGCAGAGTTGCGTCCCTTGGGCACGCCAGAAACCTATGATTGTGGGTTCGCCTCGATTATGTTTCCAGGTTTGTCAGCACCATACCTGTGCTCGTGGGTTTCACCAAAGTGGTAAACGTCTGACACCTCCATCACTTCGGGCTTTCCTCCGAAATTAAGCTGACACGCCGTGATATAACTGGAATACTGTCAAAAGCGGCGTTTAACCCAACTCACTCACTCACTCGGTTGTCGTTGTACAGTGTCATTGCATTCTAAGTTAGAGAATTAGTGACGCTCATATTTTGCGATCTTGTGATTTAATGGCATACTCTTACCATGTATTGACTTGATTTTTGTTTTCTCCTATATGTTCGCTACCTTATTCATGTGTTGAAATATTTTGTGACTTGTTTTTCAAACATTAAGGGAACTTATATACACTCAGATTTATACTGTATCTATGGTCATATTTGCGTCCTCAATAATTGTCCATAGCTTTTTGTAAATCTTTAATGACACCGTTGGATAGCTTATGTTCAGCGCTTTATTTTGATACTTACAGCCAATTTCTGGTGTTTCTGGTGTTCCTCGCAGTGATACTGCTAGAATATTGCTAAAAGCGCGTAAAACCATACTCACTCACTCACTGACACTTACATCTTCCGTCTGGACATTGTAGTTTGTTTGCTATACGTGTTTTCCCCATGGTAGGAAACAAGCTTTGGCTAAGCGCCCCAGACTATTCTATTCTCCGGCTGACCTGCGAGATTCTCTTCCTACTGTTTCTCTGCTATATATATTTGGGTGTGTTTTGGTAATTGTCAGTTTATGGATGTTTAATTCGTTATTTGGAAGTCTTTGCAAGAAACCTTAGAAATGCTCTTTGACAATATATAAATTTGAGAATGTCAGTCTTTGACAGCATTTTTGTGCTTACACTTTAATTTCGCTTAGTTACGCCAGGACTCCCCACGTCGTTAGAACAGATGAGAAGTCAGAATCATTGCTAAAACTATTTAATGTCAGGATATCTGTTGTATTGGATTTCATTTGTCGCCAACGATGAGATGAACTGGAAGTCCATTTTTGACGTTTTCTTTCGATTGGCATCTTTGATGACTGACATGATATCACATTTTCATGAAAACGAAATCCAATCAAATATTGAAATTGAACAGTAATACAGATTTAATTTGTTCTTGAATACACCGCACATAAAAAAGGATGTGCAATATTTCTTAAAGATTTGAAATGAAAGGTGTTGCACTTGTTTATTTAAAAAAGAAGAAGTTTTCTTATTAGTGTTGTTATCTTGTCAATGACTGAAAAGCAACAATAACGAAATATTTTTTATTACTTAAATGCACATTCTCCGATCAATCGGCTGGGTTTATGCAAGTTTGACGTGTGTGATATAGTGATGTTTGTTAATCTTCTACTGTGGCGTGTTGGTTAACAGTACGATGGATACAGAGGCAGACACACTGACCACAGTATTGGACTGTTTCAGCACACCATACAGCCATATGTTAACGAATAGACTGAACTAGGAGTTCACGTCATCACGACACACTCACGCAGGGGCGTCGCCATGGCTACCTTTGTGCGACGTCACGGCTAGCAATACGTGGGCCAGGATCGCGATGTGGTCTGACGTTATATCACATTGAGCAAAACATTTGGAAGTCACATGTTGATATTATGCACGAAATACCACCACAATGGCAGTATAATAAGATTTTGTTCTTGTTTTGTTGTTTAACACAACACTCAGCAATATTCCGACTGTATGACAGCGGTCTGTAAATAATCAAGTCTGGACCAGACAATCCAGTGATTGACATAAACATTGGTCAACATGCATCAACCAAGTCATCAAGTCACCAGACGATCACGTTAGTCGCCTCTCACGACAAGCACAGGTTGCTGAAGACCAGTTACACCCCGTATCTTCACGAGTATGATAAAAGGTTTACAAAAACATATGTGTACAAATCTGCGGTAAATAGTCTACAAACTGCCATTACGCTAATAATTCCAGAATTACACCAAACCTAAGGGTGCATTACTTCTGCATATAATCTACACTTCTATATTGCCGTTAACCCCGCATTCACTATTGCGACCTAGTAACTTAGATAACAAACGGTTCAACAAACAAACTGGTAAAAAATCTCAAGCCTACAAAAATATATATTAAATCTCGTATCAAACATATCCTGAAAAAAACAAAGTAAGGGATGATAAGTGTTTGGGTATATTTTTTGTGAAATCGAGGGCAGTCATGACGACAAAAAGTATCCCTAACCTTCTTTGTTCAGTATATGTCATTGAGTATATGTTATTATGTAAACTATCTAGAACTGTCGTGTGTTTATCGGTCAGAACACAACCTCTCTACATGAACATACAACGTTTCTGCTTAATACATCGTATCTGTCCTCTAGTGACACAAGAGTGTTGAGGTAGTGGTGAGAGACGTCACTCCTTGTAGATGAGGACGGGGATGTGGCAGTGATGGAGGACGCCGTCGCTCACGCTGCCGAGAATGGTACGCTTGATGGCCCCCATCCCGCGGGTGCCAATCACGATGACGTCAGCATGGATCTTCTTGGAGTAGGCGCAGATCTCATGCCACACTTCCTGGCCCTTTAACGCCTCAAACTGACTCTCGATCTGAAAATTGACAAAGCAAAACCTGAAAACGGGTCTTACTGAAACTTTGTAACAATGAAAAGTGTTTTCGTGTGAAGAACTCGTTATCATCAGTGGGGCTTGGGTGGCCCTGTCGTCAGTTGCGTGCCAGAATTATTTTTTCGTGGGTTCGAATCCCGGTTCGCCCTGCTTATATTTCTAGGTTTGTCAGCACCGTATCATGCTTGTGGGTTTCACCAAAGTGGTAAACGTTCAAGTCCTGCATCACTTCATACTCATATCAACAGTGTGTGTAGTCCTCCTCTATATCTCAAGAGCTCGAATCCCGGTAAACCTACCAACCTCTAGATTCATTCCCGTGGTTCTCGCGATCTCAAATTACCCGCCCTTGATTTTCTTTTCCCAGTTTTATTTGTTACGCTACTCAATCTTAACGGACCAATCAGAATGCGAGTTACAAACCAACCTCAATGTGGGTTGGCGATATCAACAACATGGCAGCCACTGCCATTTACGATAGAGTTTGCGAGAAATTCAACATTGACAAAAAAGGTGACACGCAAAATGCCCCTAAAAATATTCATTTATGGGAAGGGTGTCTTCATATCCACCTCCCTTACCCACAACCCCTTTTCCTTATCTTACATTTGATTGGTCGGTAAAATGTTAAGGAAAATCAAGGGCGGGTAATTTAAGATCGCAAGAATCGTGGGAATGGATACAAGGGTTAGTGCTGGTTTACCCATCTTCTTGAGAAAAGAGAGCTAACTAACTATAGCTATTATGTCCAGTAATACCTTGCCGAACTAAGCTGTAATTATGTTATATTTTGGCTGGACTAATGAGTCTATGCACAATCCAATCAAAATGGCGTATGGACACCCGGTTTGTAAACTCCCGTTCGGTCGATTGCAGGATTTGCAAAGCATGTGTACCGCCAACAGATATTCCTTTTTTCAATATTTTAAACAATGTGCTCTCCTGATCTGACCCGTTTTATTAGAATGTAGATCTTGATTATTGATCAGATCGTCTTCACTGGGCGCCGCCATTTTGTTTGAAGCAAATGCAAGTGATATGAGAGGTGGAATCTGATTGGTCAATAGGAGGGACATAGAGGGACATGATTCGTAATAGTCATTGGTGGCGCTACGATCGAGCGACGAAATTGAAGCCTTGTTGGGCAAGGGTGGAAACTGAACTTTTACAGTCAGTTTGCTCCCTTGCTGCGGGAAGATTGGGTTTACCGAAATGCTAGTCCTGAAGGTGAGGTGGTGAGGTGAAATGGGGTTTCACGTCGGGTCCAAGATTATTGCACTTATATAGCGACGTACATGCACGTGTGTGTGTGTGGCTGCTGACCAGTCCTTGTTTTAGCCCTTTTATGCCGGGCGCCAGACAGGGTAACAACAAGTTCCATCTTTTAACGTCTTTTGGCATGACGCGGCCGGGAATCGAACCCAGAACCCTCCTCTCTCCGGGCGGACGCTCTACCACTAGACCACGGAGGCGGTCTCCTAGTCCCGAAGGAATCAGGCATGGAATAATAATGGTTTCCGACTTCGTTTATGTTCTTTCAGTGCCAAGTCAATCATGTCTACAGTTTGTAAATGCCACTTAAAGATATTCACGAAAAAGCACCACAACGTGAATATAAAAGTGACACATTTCTGTGATCATTAGAAATTCATTGCACGATTCTGAATATTCCTAATCTATCATAAGCATGGATCAGTATCAAAGAGTGATGGTACCAGGTGTTCGCGAAAAGGTGAGTGTATTCTGACCGAGCGGTGGCTCCTGTCACAAACACATGCAAGGGCAAGTCAACTACAAGCGAATGCTTTATCCACTAGACTACCCCGTCGGCCCATCTGTTTCATTTCTGACTTATTCCAATGTGCGATATTTTCACGAAACTGTTTTTCTACCTTACCCCAAATTCCTTACAAATAGCGTCGTACTTTAATTCTGTCTGCTTCGTTGTGGCATTGGTCGCTTCAACAACTTCTTGCAACCGTGCAGGGCCTGTGACAAAAAACAAATAGTACTCGCTCAACAGGCAGGAAGGTAGGGTAAGGGGGTGGGGGTGGTAGTACTCGCTCATCAGGAGGGAAGGTAGGGTATTGGATTGGGGTGGGGTGGTAGTACTCACTCATTAGGCAGGAAGGTAGGGTATTGGATTGGGGTGGGGTGGTAGTACTCGCTCATCAGGAGGGAAGGTAGGGTATTGGATTGGGGTGGGGTGGTAGTACTCACTCATCAGGCAGGAAGGTAGGGTATTGGATGGGGGTGGGGTGGTAGTACTCACTCATCAGGCAGGAAGGTAGGGTATTGGATTGGGGTGGGGTGGTAGTACTCGCTCATCAGGAGGGAAGGTAGGGTAATGGATGGGGGTGGGGTGGTAGTACTTCTCATCAGGCAGGAAGGTAGGGTATTGGATTGGGGTGGGGTGGTAGTACTCACTCATCAGGCAGTAAGGTAGGGTATTGGATGGGGGTGGGGTGGTTGTACTCACTCATCAGGCAGGAAGGTAGGGTATTGGATGGGGGTGGGGTGGTAGTACTCACTCATCAGGCAGGAAGGTAGGGTATGGGGTTGGGGTGGGGTGGTAGTACTCACTCATCAGGCAGTAAGGTAGGGTATTGGATGGGGCCAGGGTGGTAGTACTCACTCATCAGACAGGAAGGTAGGATATTGGGGTGGGGGTGGGGTGGTTGTACTCACTCATCAGGCAGGAAGGTAGGGTATTGGGTGGGGGTGGGGTGGTAGTACTCACTCATCAGGCAGGAAGGTAGGGTATGGGGTGGGGGTGGGGGTGGGGTGGTAGTACTCACTCATCAGACAGGAAAGAAGGGTATGGGGGTGGGGGTGGGGGTGGGGGTGGGGTCGTAGTACTCACTCATCAGCCAGGAAGGTAGGGTATTGGATGGGGCCGGGGTGGGGTGGTAGTACTCACTCATCAGGCAGGAAAGTAGGGTATGGGGGTGGGGGTGGGGGTGGGGGTGGGGTAGTAGTACTCACTCATCAGGCAGGAAGGTAGGGTATTGGATTGGGGTGGGGTGGTAGTACTTACTCATCAGGCAGGAAGGTAGGGTATTGGATTGGGGTGGTAGTACTCACTCATCAGGAGGGAAGGTAGGGTATTGGATGGGGGTGGGGTGGTAGTACTTCTCATCAGGCAGGAAGGTAGGGTATTGGATTGGGGTGGGGTGGTAGTACTCACTCATCAGGCAGGAAGGTAGGGTATGGGGGTGGGGTGGTAGTACTCACTCATCAGGCAGGAAGGTAGAGTATTGGATGGGGGTTGGGTGGTAGTACTCACTCATCAGGCAGGAAGGTAGGGGTGGGGGTGAGGGTGGGGGTGAGGGTGGGGTGGTAGTACTCACTCATCAGGCAAGAAGGTGGGGTATTGGATGGGGGTGGGGTGGTAGTACTCACTCATCAGGCAGGAAGGTAGGGTATGGGGGTGGGGTGGTAGTACTCACTCACCAGGCAGGAATATAGGGTATTGGATGGGGGTTTGGGTGGTAGTACTCACTCATCAGGCAGGAATATAGGGTATTGGATGGGGGTGGGGTGGTAGTACTCACTCATCAGGCAGGAAGGTGGGGGTAGGGGTGGGGGTGGGGTGGTAGTACTCACTCATCAGGCAGGAAGGTAGGGTATTGGATGGGGGTGGGGTAGTATTACTCACTCATCAGGCAGGAAGGTAGGGGTGGGGGTGAGGGTGGGGTGGTAGTACTCACTCATCAGGCAGGAAGGTAGGGGTGGGGGGTGGGGGTGGTAGTACTCACTCATCAGGCAGGAAGGTAGGGGTGGGGGTGAGGGTTGGGTGGTAGTACTCACTCATCAGGCAGGAAGGAAGGGTATTGGATGGGGGCGGGGTGGTATTACTCACTAATCAGGCAGGAAGGTAGGGGTGGGGGTGAGGGTAGGGGTGGTAGTACTCACTCATCAGGCAGGACGGTAGGGTATGGGGATGGGAGTGGGGTGGTAGTACTCACTCATCAGGCAAGAAGGTGGGGGTAGGAATTGGGGTGGGGTGGTAGTACTCACTCATCAGGCAGGAAGGTGGGGGTAGGGGTGGGGGTGGGGTTGTAGTACTCACTCATCAGGCAGGGAGGTAGGGTATTGGATGGGTGTGAGGTGATAGTACTCACTCATCAGGCAGGAAGGTGGGGTATTGGATGGGGGTGGGGTGGTAGTACTCACTCATCAGGCAGGAAGGTAGGGTATGGGGGTGGGGGTAGGGGTTGGAGCGGAGGCTAGGTGGTAGTACTCACTCATCATCCGCTGGACGTTTGCCCAGTATTCCGGCACGTGACAGATGTTCACCTTGTGTTGTGGCTGGTTGAACTTTGAGAGGTACCCTGTCATCACATGAACATGTACAGATCAACATAAGTGAGTGAGTGACTGAGCTGTGTTTAATGCCGCTTTGATTAGTATGTCAGTTATATCACAGCTTGTCAGATTATTGTCCAAAGTGATGCAGGTCTCAAACGTTTACCACTTTGGTGAAACCCACGAGCACGGGTACGGTGCTGACAAACCTAGAAACATGATCTGGGCGAACCGGGATTCGAAACCACAATCATAGGTTTCTGGCGCGCCTAAGGGACGCAACTCTGCACAGTTAATATCTGTAATCAATTTTGTTTAAATACATCTTCCCGTTAAAAGATCAAATAATAATTTCTCCCTTCTCGATATGTCATTCCAACACCAATCTGATATTCCTAATCATAAAAACCGCGGTCTGTCTCCATCGTCAAATACAATCCATTACGAGTTATCAATACCCTCCCAGTGCCCCCCTTTGTCCGAGAGTCAATATCACCATGTTTCCCTCAACCGCGAGTCGATACATACAGGGGTGCTGACATGGAATATTTCTGACAGTGATCAAAGCAAAAGTCAGATCTTATTCCTGCAGCTGGATGCCTTGACAAATGACATTTTTCTTCAAGAATTTCAATAAAATGACTATTTGGTAATAACCGGGAGATTTCCGATATGGAGCTGGCGTTAACTCCTTGTTAGCTTCGTCTGAATATCTTGCGCATTCAACCGAAAATTAGAATAACCTCCTTTAGATACTTCTGATATTAATAACTACGCTAAAACAAAGAAACGATGATTAAAATTTAGCCGTTACCGTAACGTTACAGTTACGGTGATGCCACGATAGTCTGTAACTACTCGAGTTATCTCGTGTTCGAGATAAGAGTGAGTGAGTGAGTTGGGTTTAACGCCGCTTTTAACAGTATTCCAGTTATATTGCGGCGTGTCAGCTTAACGTTGGGGGAAAGACCGAAGTGATGCAGGTCTCAGACGTTTACCACTTCGATGAAACCCACGAGTACGGGTATGGTGCTGACAAACCTAGAAACATAATCGGGGCAAACCGGGAATCGAACCCACAATCATAGGTTTCTGGCGTGCCCAAGGGACGCAACTCTGCACAGCGAATCGCGGCGCCTTAGACGACTGGGCCACCCGTGCCCCCTCGAGATAAGATAAGTACTGATATTATCCGTCGTGACAATAAGGATTCTACTGGATCCATAAAGTTACATAGTCTAAAACGATATTTCAGGTCAAAACAGTTTTAATTAACGTGGCTTAATTGAACTAAGGTTGCAAGGTGTGTGTGTGAGTTTGAAAGGAATGAATGAGTATTCGTTAACGCCATCTCGAACCGTGTTTCAGTTATATGACGGCGTGTCAGCTTGAAGTCGAGGAAAGCTCGAACTGGTGCAGGTCTTTTGACGTTTATCACTTTGGTGAAACCCGCGATCCAGATTATGGTGCTGACAAACCTAGAAAATAACAGAGCACATTTGGGACTCTGGGACCACAATCATCGGTTTCTGGCACGTGTAAGGGACGCAACTCTACCTTGCGAATTGTGTCGGCTTAGGCAACTAGGTCATCCGTCCACCCGGATGAACAAGAACCGTCGCTGAAAGCGTTCTACTGCCTGGTCTGGCCGTTACATATATATATATATATATATATATATACAGCTATAGATGTTTGACCATGCATTGCCACGGGCCAGCGGTCATCACTGACCTTTTCAACCTTCTATGCCTGCTTTCAGCAAGACAAAGATTGAGCAGGGCGTACAAATATCCCCGACTTCGTCTCTAACTTATTTCTAACTTCTAAACATGAAAATAGACATATTTTCTCAGAAAATCCATTTGCCAAAATCAAATTTTGCACTGCCCCTCTCCTTTTGGTATAGAAACTGGACCGCCAATTGAAAAAGAACCAATGAAGTAGTTTTAGGCCAGGGGTATAAAAGTACACTTATATATTGTTCCACTCCATTGAAAAAGGGGAAGCGGGGTCGGGTGGATGAGCTGAAAGCCGCTTTGAACAATGTCGATATCCCAGTATCAGGCTACAGGCGATTTTACTCACCATAATGTCAATCGCTAGCTTGCTTGCTTGTTTTTTAACACCGCACTCAGCAATATTCCAGCTATATGACGGCGGTCTGTAAATAATCGAGTCTGGACCAGATAATCCAGTGATTGACATAAACATCGATCCACGCAATTGGGATCGATGACATGAATCAACCAAGTCAGCGAGCCTGACCATCCGATCCCGTTTGTCGCCTCTTACGACAAGCATGGGTTGTTGAAGACCTATTCTACCCCGGACCTATGTGATAAACCACTGAAAGACTTGTAGTTATATATTTGATACAATTATGATTATTCGTTTGATAGGCAATACTTAGAAGTTGACGGATGACAAAGTAGAGATTTTCTCTACTTTGACCAAGGAACAACAAACAAACAAACAACCAAAACATAAAGAACAAGTTATGTGTTGTTGCCATGCATGTCTTTATCCTAACGCCTGTGTCTACACGTTCTACTACACCAAATCAGAATCAGTCGTTCAACAAGCAGTTTTCGCAGACTGAATCAGCTGGCAGCTGTGATCAGATGATTTTGCGTACGATTTTAAAGGTACATCCGTCCAGTAATTAAAACTGAGTCAGACCATGTTTCTCTATATTTAGTGCTCTCTTTTTTAACATGACTTATGCTGAATGGGACCACAGCTATTTTAAAGTGACATTTGCTGCGGAAGTGAGGGTGGTCTGTTTCGCTTCCTGTACTCGTAAAAAGGCGGACTAATCTAGTCATTTTTTAGTTTTTATTACTGCTTTAAGGTCAGGTTATGCACACATGCTTAGTTATTTAAAAAATATATATAACGTTACTATAGAAGTCTATGGGAAAACATTTGGTTGTGTGTAACACATACGACAGATATCGACAGGTATAGGCGACAATGTTCAACACAAAATAACAAGTAGCAGATTTATGTTACATGTCCTGTACTTGCACCGATACCTTACCTAGATCTGAAGGCGACTTTTAGCGACTCGTTACATCCCAAAACACTATTCAAAAAGACCAAATATGTTACAGCTCCAGCAATTATTTAACTCCCTTAACATATCTGTCCTAAAAAAAGATATGTAAATTTGTTTACTTTGTATTGAAAACTGTAAAAACTCCCGGTTAACCTTTTTTCGACGCCATTTAAATTACAGTTTGTACCTCATATTCCGATGCACTCGGGCTGAGTGAGTGAGTGAGTGAGTTTGGTTGTACGCCGCTTTTAGCAATTTTCCAGAAATATCACGGCTGGGGACACCAGAAATGGGCTTCACACATTGTACCCATGTCGGGAATCGAAACCTGGTCCTCGGCGTGACGAGCGAACGCTTTAACCACTAGGCTACCTGACCGCCACTCGGGCTGAGAGAAATACAGTGCTGTTCTTTCATGTCACCGACACCACATTCACTGAAGCGGGTGTTGGCGTAAACTGGTGCGCGCGTATCAAATCTGCACGAGTGTGTCTATGCGATGACAAAAGATACGTGTGAATATTTACACACTTTTTACAGAACGTAGTGTAAACAATGCCTTTAACCTCCATAGAACCATATAAGGTGGGTTTGCTATATCGCTGACAGTGGAAATCTAGTGACGAGGAGAAAAAACAGCAAGCATATTAAACAAATTTAGACATGTTGCAAACATGTTGAATTCTATAATAATTGAATACTCGTTTTTTGTTCGTCTTCTCTCCTAAATAGGAAGAGAGTAATTCGCAGACAGTTTAACTCGTGTTTCCTGTATGCTACACCGCATCCGTTGTGTAGTGGATAGAGCGTCTACCGAAAGCGGAAGATAGTGGGTTCGATGCCCGGCCGCGTCATACCATAATACGTTTAAAGATGGTGATCGTTGTCATCCTTCCTGGCGGTCGGCATTAAAGGGCTAAAACAAGGACTGGTTGGCTTGAAGTCAGTATACTGTGTCTGAGTGAGGTATTTACGTTAAACTGCGGCTTGGTATCTCATGTTATAGTGTGAGTGAGTGAGTTGTATTTAACGCGACTTTTAACAGTATTCAAGGTATATCACGGCATGTGGGAGGAAAGCCCGAAGAGATGCAGTGTCTCTGGGGCGGTGGGGGTAGCCTAGAGGTTAAAGCGTTCGCTCGTCTCGCCGGAGACCCGGGTTCGATTCCCCACATGGGTACAATGTGTGAAGCCCATTTCTGGTGTCCTCCGCCGTCATATTGCTGTAATATTGCTTAAAGAGGCGTAAAACCATACTCACTCACTCACTCATCCTAACCCAGTGGTTGATAGCATGACCACCCTGCCATCCGTCTGGGTACGATGAAACATCATCGGACAAGTGATACATTTTAGGTCTTTTTATTTTCCAATACAGAACAGTCATGGCTGTCAACGTATTTCCAATTGTTTACCACACTATATAAATATTATATCAATTTATACCCAATTTGCTTGAACATAAATAACGCTACATATCAAATTATATTTAATTGCTTTGTTTGTTGTTTAACGCCGCACTCCGCAATATACCAGGCGGTCTGTAAATAATCGAGTCTGGACCAGACAATCCGGTGTTTGACATCATGAGCATCGATCTACACAATTGGGATACAACGACATGTATTAACCAGGTCAGTGAGCCTAAGCACCCGATCCCGTTAGTCGCATCTTACGATCAGTATCGGTTGCTGAAGACCAATTTTAACTCGGAACTTAACGGTTACATTGAATTAACCCACATAACAAGTTACTTGAACCGGCTTTATACATTTGATTTCCCATTCCATTTAAAAAGCGATGGGTATGCCATAGATTTAAGCATTCGGTTGTCAGATCGAAGATCAAGGTTCAATTCCACTATGGTTAAAACGTGTGAAGCCCCGGTGTAACCATTCATCATAGTGCTAAAACGGCGTAAAACTATACTCACTCAGTTCTATATAAGACATGGCTGACAATATTATAAGAGGCATGAAATTAGTTTCAACCGAACAACAGTGAGGTGAGGTGAGGTGAGGTGAGGTGAGGTGAGGTGTGGTGAAATGGGGTTTAAAGTCGCGTCCAAGATTATTTCACTCATTTTCGACATGTAGTTGTACAATGCCGATTTTAAAGTGCTAGGCCAACGAGATACCATGCCGCAGTTTAACATGAATACCCCACTCAGACACAGTATACCGACTCGAGCCGACCAGTCCTTGTTTTAGCCCCGTTGTGCCGAGCGCCAGGCAGGGTAACAACAAGTACCATATTTTAACGTCTTTTGGTATGACGCAGCCGGGATCGAGCCCCGGACCTTCCGCTCCCCGGGCGGACGCTCTACCACTAGACCACGGAGGCGGTCCCGGACAACAGTTGAGTGTGTGTACTCTATCAGCTGACAGACCCCGCACACGTGGTTGTAAGCACTGACAGTAAACATTATAATGGATACAGTACCTCTGTACCGCTACCTTGTATTTAATCCCATTAGTGCTTGTGTAGGATCGATAATGAGTCGTGTACTATCAACTATATTAATGTCTCGATGCACCAACGTTGAGAAAACAGATCGATGATGGCGACGCACTCCCAGCGTTCAAACCATATGCTTGCAGTAGGTATACAGTCCACGGGAGGCGACATATTGCCGAGACATGGACCCACGCATGCACGCATGCACGCATGCACGCACTCACCTCTCCCCCCCCACCCCCCACCCCAGCTTTGCCTATTACTCCTATAACAAAGCCATATATCGGTGTCAGGACTGTATCACTGACAATGTATATGTTAAACCAAGCAGTGTTCGTGAGTATGCATAGAGGCCTATACATCTATGCTTACTCGGTGGGTCACAGCCACAGGGTTATGCATTACTAAGTTAAATATATCTCTATAACAGCCAATGATACAGATGCACGAATAGCATGCGTTTTATACAATGTGTGTGTTTTGATAGTGACCTACGAAAAGTGCATCTCACATATTAATCCCTGCACCACGGGTGCAACTGCTGCAATGTTGCATACTTACATCTGAAGGCACGCTCGCTCAGGTCACTTGGATCAACGGCAACCAGGACTTTAGCTTCTCCGCCTGCCATTGTAGATTGTTGAGCGTACTGTCAAGATTGTCCCTCCGTTGCTGTTCAACACCTGACTGACGCGGTAACAGGTTATTGAAGTGGTGAGGTCGAAAGGTCAGGGTTGCGGTTATTGTAGCCAACTGCGCATGCTCACACTCGGGTTTAGACATGGCCTGCTGTTCGTAAATATTGCAGCTGCGTTTATGAAGTGTAACACGAGGAAATTCACGGACAAACACAACAGGTCGTTTTGTATATAATCTTAAAACATAAGTTGTCAACAGATCTCGACGGGTGTATGGTGTGATTTACCCTGTGTGTGAGTCTATGTACCCCGAGCCGTCAGGCTCACACACAGGGTACATCACACCATACGTCCCGGGCGATGGGTTGACAACGGGCGTATGTTACCGACATTTATACAGCAAAACCTTTTACAAAAAAAACTCACAACGGATAATGAACCAGGAAGCCATTTTGACAGCTAGCAGACGACACAAACGAACCGAGTTACTTCCCGTTACCAAATGCATGGGATAAACACCGGCTTAACGATCCTTATTCAAGATAAGTAAGTTACATCATGTGTGTTCCGATTGATTTCTAAGAGGGTCACATGAGTGGGCGACATAGAAAATAATGGCCCGCTCCTTAAACTATCAGAATTGTTTCACGCCGCGTTCAGCAATATTCCAGCTATATGACGGCGGTCTGTAAATAATCGAGTCTGGACCAGATAATCCAGTGACATCGTGAGTATCGATCCACGTAATTGGGATTACGATCTTACGACAAGCATATAATCGCCTCTTGCGGCACGCATGGGTTGCCGAAGATCTATTCTACCCCGGATCTTCACGGGTCGGATGTGTATGTATGTTAGGGCATCCCCACCCTCCTCCCTCCCTAACAGGGGCGGTGGGGTAGCCTAGTGGTTAAAGCGTTCGCACGTCAGGCCGAAGACCCGGGTTCGATTCCCGAGATGGCTACTGAGATTGCCCCAAGTAAGATAGGATTTTAATAAGATTGGGACTGTGTGAGTGAGTGTGTTTGTATTGATATTGGGTTTTATTTTTAGTATTTCCTCTTTTTCTGTACATGTTTTAAACTTCTTAATAACTTAAGTGTCTAATAGGTAGAGTCGCGCGGTATTACATGTAAACCACGATTTGGTATACTGGTGAATGCGTATTACAATATAAATGTGGAAAGTACCGGGCCATATTGGCCGGCCATTGCACATATCCACGCCATATATCTAGTATTGTATATGCTGTACAGGGCGTTGCATTGTTTTTCTTCTGCTTCTGCTTCTTTTATGATGTTAATACTTCATTTATTGATATCAGAAAATATTATTTCGATTTTATTATAATTAATTATTAATATATAAAATAGTTTTTGATATCACAAGTAACAGGTGCTGTTTGACTATATACATGTATGCCCTATTTTGTATCAATAATTCATTCATTGATATCAAAAATGAATTATTGATCACAAATCTGATTTTATGTCCTGAAATAATTATTGATTAATATAAATATGTATTAATATTTACGTATAGGACGAAAGTCAAGAGTGATGCCTGACGTTTGTCACTTTGTTTAAACAGATGAGCACTGGTAAGTATAGATCAATATCGAGTCAAAACTGACCTTATCAAGTACCGCCAGATCCGGACAGCTAAAAGGGACGTATCTCTGCGGCGCCGAAGATCAGATCAATGAATCCACCCACAGTTTGGAAAGGTGAGAGCATAATTGTGTGTCGCTTTTGCAATATTACAGCAACATCACGACGAGGGACACCAGTAAGAGTTTCACATATTGATTGTATGCATGTGGGAATCGAACCCGGGTCATCGGCGTGACGAGTGAACACTTTAACCACTGGGCTACCCCTCCGCCCCCAGTTTGGAAGATGATTCTGGAGAAATGTTAATATCTCCAAATCTGCTTCCATGGCCTGTCATCGATAACTCGGGGACAATAATGACTCCCATCCTATTTAATCCTTAAGCTGGTCAATATCACAGATCCCCTGATGGTATAATATTGTGAGAGAGGAAAGAAAATGTACATTGTGTAAAAAATTTATATGTGATGAAATGCACTTTTTATTAGAATGTCCAAAACTCTCAGAAATTAGAAACAAGTTTTTGCCTCAATACTACTGTATGTATCCTTCTGCCGTAAAATTCTCTCATTTGATGTCCATTACTTATAAGCCAACTCTATTAAAACTGGCAAGTTATATAAGATCATGTATGGAAATGTTCCACTGACATGTTTTCTTCATTGTATCTTATTCCTGTGTCCAATTACATCTCTGTATCACTGCCGTGATTTACGAGAATAAACATCATTCAGAAGCGTAAATCAATAGTGTTTAGCCGTCACAGTAGCACTAATTGTAAAAGGACGAATAAATTAAGATATATTCCTGCGAAACAAACGAGTTAACAAGCTAACCTATGTTTTTCTCCTTATTTCTATTGATTTGGGGACGCGTTCACTTGTACTGACAGTTTCCAAGGCAACCAGAAGACCCAAAGGCCATGATATATGTTATGACCATTTATAGATCATCATGGCTGTCGCAGGTATTGACTCTCTGATGAAGAGTAAGTTGTGTTTAACGGTACTGTGAACAATATTTCACAACACGTCAGCTTAATATGGCAAGTGAGTGAATGCTGTGTAGAGCCGCAACCAGCCAAATCAGACACACCAGTGGTTTGCAAATATGATTTTACATTCCGAGCAATGTCCCGCGCCGTAGCAGTACGATAAGATTTAACAAAGAGCATTGTAATCTGTGATTCGAACCCACGCCTGTAGGATCCTGGAACGGCTGATGGACGAGGCTCTGCAATCAAAGCGAATTCTGCCCCAGTATTGACAAGTGCATCTTTAAAAGAGTAGTTCAACCCGTGGGGTTTCGGGGTGATAATATAGGCCCCGTGCAATCTATGCTTGTTGTATGAGGTGACGGAATGGATCGGGTGCTTAGACTCGCTGACTTGGTTGATGCATGTTATCGTATCCCAATTGTGTCGAATGATGATCACTGGATTGTCTAGTCCAGACTCTGTTATTTACAGACAGTCATGTAGCTGGGATGTTGCTGAGTGCGGCCTTAAAGAAAGAAAGAATGAAAGAGAAAACAAAACAAACAAACTCGCAAAATAACTTTTAACAATTGTTCTGAAGCTATGTTGTTTTATTACATTTGGCTGACTAGGTTTAAAGTATTTTAATTCATATAATTTTGTCTGCCTTTTATTACAAACACACGTCTTTCGTGGAACAAAGAAATATCTTAGAGTTGCGAGACGTGGCCTTAGAATAATTATTTTAAAAATAACTTTGTCATTGATAATATTTGAGTTAAGAATGTAATCACTTTCGAGTTAGTTTCTTAAATGACAAACGTTAACTTTGTTGACAAAGAAATTCATGTGTCAGTTATTTAAGATATGACCATTCAATATTGTTGTTTGTTTGGTTTTTATATTGTTTAACGCCGCATTCAGCAATAGTCCATCTATATGACGGCGGTCTGTAAATATTCGATCTAGTGGTTGACATCATGAGCTTCGATCCACGCAATTGGGATACGATGACATGCATCAAACAAGTAAGCTGGCCTGACCACCCTATCCCGTTAGTCACCTCCTACGACAATCATAGTCGCCTCTTACCGTTAAATATTGAACATTCCAACTCACAAATTAACATTGCATTACAAACAGTTGATTCTTCCATGCCGTGACACATCGTAAGACTTGCCTAGTTACAACCGTAAGCTTATAATAATCAAGCAAGCGCGCATGGACTGGTAAACCAGTCTGTGTGGGTAATAAACTAGCAGACACTTATCCTAAATTGGTGTTACACCAATGTTCAATTGCTCAGAAAATTTTAAAGTGTGTTCAAATGCTTGTGAAGATTTCATCATCGGAGAATAAAATGCAAGTATTCGTTTCGTTATTCTTGCTTCTTATTTACAGGAAACCAAAATGACGTTGACAATACAATTCAATTAAACGCAAGAAGAAGAATAAAATCATTGCACCACTGATTTCGTTTCCTACATGACCCATTGATTGAGGTGAACTTGGGTCACATTCGTAATAGATTTTACGGCTGCATCTACAAATAAACATACTTCCAAACGTGGACGTGTTGAAGATGCACAGACACTCGTCAGACAGGCGCTACGACGCATGCTGTGGCGATCCCAATATGTTAACAGGTATATAGTTTGTCTTTGCACGTTGGCCACAACATACACTCCTGTCAGCCACATGACAAAGATAATGTTACAAGCGACAGCATCACTCTCGCGCGAGAACTGCTCATATGTACATAATCTTGAGCTACTACGATCTCATTATACGAACAAATAAAATATATTACTCTCCGTGAAGATCTGACGTATGAGGATTTGTTTGTTTAACGCCGCACTCAGCAATATTTCAGCTATATGACGGCGGCATCCCCATAGGAAGACCAATCAGGTAAACTTTTATATCAGCCAGTCAGCGTCTCGGCTTGTAATATTTCGAAAACGAATATAATCGGGGAGTTCCGAATGCAAAAGCATAAAGCCGCATGTTGTCTAAAATGTGCATATTTTATACATCCTGTTGTTTCTGAGCGTCATGGCATTTACAACCAAAATGGTTGTACTGTCGAGGGTATATTTGTGTTCTCTATCGGTTTTCTTTTGCTGAGGTCGAAATTTCCGAATCGAGATGGTAAAGAAATCGTTTCTGAAAGCTGACATCTGACTGTTTCAAGAACCAAAGCATCCTTCACTATCTCCAGGGTTCGCTTTTCGGTAAACTTACACTAACTTCTGGATTCATTCCCCTGGTTCGCACGATCTTAAACTACACGCCCTTGACATATGCGGAGTTAAGCCTCCCCTGTTTGAAAAAGTACATAAGGTCTCATAGCTCTCATATTTACAAATTGCACGAGGACAATCTCGATCTGTAGTCATGTTCAATATTAACCTGGGGATGTACTGTTGGATTGAACCCACTGGCACACCCACTGCTAACGGAAAACACCCTTTGGTATGGCCCTCACCTCCGTTTTAAGCCTCAGACAACGAAACGAGAGCAACTGTTTATTTCTGTGACCAATGATTGTGTAGCGTGAGTGAGTTGGGTTTAACGCCGCTTTTAACAGTATTACAGTTATATCAGGGCGTGTCAGCTTAATGTGGGAGGAAAGCCCGAAGTGATGCAGGTGAAACCCACGAGTACGAATATGGTGCTGACAAACCTAGAAACATAATCGGGAGTCGAACCCTCAATCAGAGGTTTCTGGCGTGCCCAAGGGACACAGCTCTGCACAGCAAATCGCGGCGCCTTAGACGACTTGGCCACCCGTGCCGCCCGATTGTGTATCCCCCACACAGTGGTTAGTGTGTGTGTGTGTGTGTGTGTGTGTGTGTGCGTGTGCGTGCGTGTGTGTGTGATTGTGTGTGATTGTGTGTTCTAAATTGAACAACATACAAACAAACCACTTGGAACGATATATTAAACGGATTACCATCAGCCAAGTCACTTAACCTGACTTCTGATCTAATTCTGTTGCTCCTTACAAGCAATAGAGTGCTGGGGACCTGTTTTACCCTGTGTCCTCACGGGGCTCCAATATCACAGACTTGATTAAAAAAACCCAACTCTTCAATACTAAACATTTATTCTATATTGTTATGTTTAATTTCTTCAAAAGTACTCCATCAAGAAGCTACAAACATCTGATTCGTCAATGAGCATACATGTCTTGGGCAAAAATATTAATATGTGTTTTCCATTTCAGTCCATCCTAAAATAGGGCAGGTTGGTCGTTTTTTTATTTTGTTTTTAATTTTTCTTTCTTTGAAAAACAATAATATGCAGTCGTTCAGTAAAAAAAGCTGTTTTCAAATGAACATTAAGTGGTGTAATATTAAAGTTAATGACTGGTATATCTATAGTGAAGCTCAACAAATGAACGCTGTGGCATAAAATACGAAAACCCTATGGTACTAGCGAGAAAACGGGAAAAAAGATTAAACTTTAGTGTCGGTGAGGAAGAAAAAGGTTCAGGGTCGGGGCTCCAAATCAGGGTCAGTCGTGAAACTAGAAACACAAATGTTATTAGTTTGTAGGTGAGACAAATCTGAACTCTATCCATGGTAACATGAATTTCAACATCTGATACACAAGGTTGTCTCCGGATTGTAGAACCGCTTCAATAAGGAAATGGATGATTGTACAACTGCTGGTAGACCACGTCGAACCTTTCACTCTGCGCAACAGTAAACCAGTTCTTCCAGTCACCCGTTTCTCCTGAAGACAGAACTCGGTCTATAGTGTGCATCAGGATCTACTTGCATTAAGCGACCTTAGTTTTAAGACGATCGTAACTCCCATACTCTAACATAGACTTACGATTGTCGCAGCGCTAAAATGAAGGTGCCAATTCCCAACTCTAGGTATCCGGCATACCACTTAAATAATTTTTCTTTGCATCCAATTTAAGAACTCTTGAGTCATATTAGAGTAAATAACTAGTACAAGTGGTTTTATATATATATATATATATAATGCATGACCATTCGAGCTCATAAACTTAGGGTTAATTATATGGAGTTCTCACTCTTTGCTTGAAAAAAGACGAAAACCAAATTACAACATTGAAATATTCTCTAAGATCGCATCCAGCGTACCAAAAGGATGCTGAACCCTCTAAGATCGCATCCAGCGTAACAAAAGGATGCTGAACCCTCTAAGATGGCTTTGTGCAAGTTAGGCCAGGTTTAAAATAATTACAATAATGTAGAATATATTGCTTAGCGAAATACTAAAATGTGTAACGGTTTTGCGTAGACACAAACGAGAATAGAGAATGATAGGTTATCTCCAAATAAATGAAAATGTGATTTTTTTAAAACACACTGGTTGGTGAATTATAAAGTAAATGCTGAATGCCTCATTTCAGACCGTGGGTAGGCAGGTGAAAAAAACGCTTTGTGCTTAATGATTAACAGAATTCTTTACAAGCATGTGTCGCAAATCTGGATGCCGAAAAACATGGAAAAGAGGCACTGAAATGTGTAATAAAAGTATTACATTTTAACTTTGTCACAGCGCCAGTGAGCAACTGTCGATGGATATTAGGCGCTTTACAAATCAATTATTATTATTATTATTATGCTGACCAAGTTATTCCGTACCTTTTCTGAAGTAGCCGGATGACCCTTCCCTCCATCGGTTGTGGAACGTTTGGTCTTTGATGTTTTCAGAGGCGTATTTTAGCTTAGAAAAACTACATGCATCAGCTATTTGTTCATACACATCACCAGAGAGAGGGCGATTGATGAATTCTGCCAGGCGCTGGACCTCCCTCACAGCGTCCTAAAAACAAGGAAGAATACATAAAGGACAGGGAAATAAATAAATATAAATCATTGCAACACAAAGGGTCATTTCATACACTGAAAAGAGAAAAAAAAAGAAGAGATTAACTGTAAAAAAATAGATTAGATTAAATTCCGATAAACATAAAACGCCAATGCCAGAGAATAACAAGTCTCGATTATTGGATCTAAAAGGAAAATAGCGGTGAACTTATTTGAATGGATGACTGAAAATAAGTGATGACACCAGGTGTTCCAAACACCTGTCTAAACAACACCCGAGGTATCGGAGCTTCACAGAACAACACATTGTTCTACAATTTGTTTGTTTGTTGGTTAACGATGGCAGGCAAGTACGAGGTCTTGTATATTGTCCATGGTACCCGATCCAAGTTAACGGCATCCATGACATACATATGAATGCGAGTGACCTATTCTAACCCGGAAATATTTTGTTTGTTGTTTGTTTAACACCTGTGATGTTGCTGATGGCCAGATCAACGTCTCCAGCTGTACGGGGACGATGACACAACATACCAAATAAACTGCTGGGCAAAAGAAAGTATACACACATGTTTTGATGATGACTACAAATGAAACAAACAAGAAATAGTTTTTCGATGGTGATGTATTTGATATTATACGGGTATCATGGTTTTCGACCTTGAGCTTGCAGTGTTTAGGCGACTATATTCAGCCTTTTAGCGTTTTTATAACGTTTGTATATAGTTTTTGTTAAAAATAATTTTCAAGTACCGTATTCGACGTAATAAGCGCCCCGCTCTTATAAGCGCCCACGGCGATATTTGCTAATATATTGGCTAGTGAACAATCCCAATGCAATTAGCACCCCTTCCGATTGATTAATGTACACAAGACTTATTTATTCGTGTATAATACGTGTGTTATATGCATCTTTAATTATGGGAAATTAAATTCTGGAAAAATATGTCTGTTGTATATAAACATTTCAGGCTGTCAGCATAAGCCACGAAATTAACGATCTTTCAGCTCTGTTGTTTTTCATCAAACTTATATTCTAATAAGAGGCCCCTATTTCTTATTTTCTTATTATGTCGAATATGGTATATACTTTCTTTTGCAGGGCATTTTAGTTTGTGTATGTACCAAGTGAGGATGCACCCGATCCCCCTTATAGTTAGCTCTGAGAACAATCTTCCCAACCCTAAACTCCCTCAGGGGTGATGCGTGTTTTGCTTGACTTTGCTTATAGGGATCCGTATTAAAGTGCAGCAAAGATTATTTTACCAATGGAAGTATGACTTGACAATTTGTCAAAGAAGTTGGCCTGTGTAATAAAATGTAAATATGTATATAAATAACATGGTATTTTTGTCTTTCTAATTGTCGTCAGGTATGTTTTACATGTATCTATTAGGGTTATTTTGTATATGTATTTAATCAGTGATACTCAGCTATTTGAATAGACAATGCCTTGTGGAAAGGATTCAACTGTAACATATGTTATATTTGGGATTACACTTTCTTTGTTAAGTACAAATTCTGGCACATTTTTGGTGGAGTCCAATCCGGGATTAGAACCCACACTCTCAGACACCTAAGTCACCAATTTTTATGATTTGTTGTCGCTGTGTAGCTGTGATGTGGTTATGTCCCATTAGTTAGACGTCCCATTAGTTAGACGTCCCAATTGTTAGACATTTGTATTTAGGCAAAGAGGGAATTCAATATACCTACAGGTGTAATGGATCAGTCCTAATTAGATTAAAGTACTGCGTAGGGATAGGGGACTCACAGTTTAGGGAGTATATATGTTACAATTTCGTTTAATTAACCCAAATCACCTTACTCTCAGTACAGGTTCAATAGGCATGAGATTAACTATATAAACTATGGAGTAGCTTAATAGTCTTACTGTATGATCAGTTGAAGGAGTTGAGTTTAGATTATATTACTCATCAAACAAATAAATATGATAATGGGGTACGTATCATTATCAGTATCGATATGGCTGGTTTAAAGAAAGTAGAGTACATCACCTCTCGGCGTGGAAGTAAGCAGTTGATATTAGATGGATAAATTTACAACAGAAACCGCGAGAGGCAAACCTGCACACCTTGGAGATGTGTCGTCAAGACGTGCAATGAGAAATGTACGACAGTCGGTGATAAATAAACTGCAACAGTTATTAAATGTAAAGTGTACATTACCAAAAACTGTCACAAAGTGTTGTTACAAACTGTATAAAATTTATCAAATGGAAAGTGTCATTAAATGTTAAGTATAATATTAAAGTATCTATTTAAAGCTGCGTTGCTTTGTTTGTCAGATCTTATCTGGACTATTCCATTTTAAAGTCTGAGATAACAAGCATAAGGATTAGTGTGCACTCAACCGTTTAAAGTGTTGTTATAAGCTGTCTAACTATTGGGACGTCTAACTAATGGGAGGACACCTGTGATGTTGTCAATGCGACGTTAACAGACTGTGTGGCAATGTACTTACCTTCTTGAGATCTTCAAACTGTACTTGTAGGAATGGAACATCTGGGTGTTCTTGTGGAAATCTGTTCCAGCGAAGACTGTGTTCCATGACAGAATCAAATGGCACTGAAATTGTCAGCATCGATACACAAGAGATGTCAGCATTGATAAACCATGTGACACTAACACTGACATACATAATGTGATGTCTGCTTTGATATACACCACTTGATGTCAGCATTGCTATAAACCACTTGAAGCCAGCATTGACACAAAGCACTTGTGACGTCAGCATGGTTATAAACCACTTAATGCCAGAATTGCTATAAACCACTTGAAGCCAGCATTGACACAAAGCACTTGTGACGTCAGCATGGTTATAAACCACTTAATGCCAGAATTGCTATAAACCACTTGATGCCAGCATTGACACAAAGCACTTGTGACGTCAGCATGGTTATAAACCACTTAATGCCAGAATTGCTATAAACCACTTGAAGCCAGCATTGACACAAAGCACTTGTGACGTCAGCATGGTTATAAACCACTTAATGCCAGAATTGCTATAAACCACTTGAAGCCAGCATTGACACAAAGCACTTGTGACGTCAGCATGGTTATAAACCACTTAATGCCAGAATTGCTATAAACCACTTGAAGCCAGCATTGACACAAAGCACTTGTGACGTCAGCATGGTTATAAACCACTTAATGCCGGGATTGCTATAAACCACTTGAAGCCAGCATTGACACAAAGCACTTGTGACGTCAGCATGGTTATAAACCACTTAATGCCAGAATTGCTATAAACCACTTGAAGCCAGCATTGACACAAAGCACTTGTGACGTCAGCATGGATATAAACCACTTAATGCCAGAATTGCTATAAACCAATTGAAGCCAGCATTGACACAAAGCACTTGTGACGTCAGCATGGTTATAAACCACTTAATGCCAGAATTGCTATAAACCAATTGAAGCCAGCATTGACACAAAGCACTTGTGACGTCAGCATGGTTATAAACCACTTAATGCCAGAATTGCTATAAACCACTTGATGCCAGCATTGACACAAAGCACTTGTGACGTCAGCATTGATATAAACCACTTAATGCCAGAATTGCTATAAACCACTTGAAGCCAGCATTGACACAAAGCACTTGTGACGTCAGCATGGTTATAAACCACTTAATGCCAGAATTGCTATAAACCAATTGAAGCCAGCATTGACACAAAGCACTTGTGACGTCAGCATGGTTATAAACCACTTAATGCCAGAATTGCTATAAACCACTTGATGCCAGCATTGACACAAAGCACTTGTGACGTCAGCATTGATATAAACCACTTAATGCCAGAATTGCTATAAACCACTTGAAGCCAGCATTGACACAAAGCACTTGTGACGTCAGCATGGTTATAAACCACTTAATGCCAGAATTGCTATAAACCACTTGATGCCAGCATTGACACAAAGCACTTGTGACGTCATAAACCACTCAATGTTAACATGGATGCTGATTAAGTTATGGCAGCATTGATAAACACCACGTATGATAGCAGCATGCATTTAAACCACGTGGTGTTAGAATTGATATACTCGTCAGAGAAATTAAATTGCTGTCAGAAGTAATTCTTTGCATGTCCATACTGTTCGCTAGCACCCGATGCCATCACTGATTTTCAATGCTCCATGCAAGAGGAGCAGTTATTTTTATATTTAACTGAATGAGTGTGTATGGTTTTACGCCGCTGTTAGCAATATTCCAGCAATATCACACAGAAATGGGCTTCACACATTGTACCCAAGTGGCGAATCGAACCCGGGTCCTCGGCGTGACGAGCGAACGCGTTAACCACTAGGCTACCCCACCGCCACCTTTATATTTAAGAATGGATTTGTTTTAAACATACTTTTAGCTTGAACTAGAGCCACATACAATATTATTAATATGGATTGTCATTCTGATTCATAATACATCCGAGATGAATGACATAAGTATAAGTGACGAGTGAACGCGTTAACCACTGGGCTACCCCACTAACTCCTGTATATTTAAGAATGGATTTCTTTGAAACATAATTGAACTTGAAATCACATATAGTCTGGAAGGTAATTTAAGGTACAGATGTTTACTACAATATCTGAAAAACTATCGGACCTACTCCAGTCAAAGTTGTTATGAGATTTTTAAACAGTCATACATAACTGGATATTACTCAATATTACTTGATATAACTCATCTCGAAAGGGTGCACGGGAATCACGCACGCACGAATACGGTTGAGTTGATTGGTTCAACTGTGTCATGTGACCCTTTGACGCAGGGGTAGCATTATGCAGCTGGCTGTTTCAATGAATGCTTGTTCCACCCATGACGAACATGTCAGGTTGTTGATGAAATATAGTGATAGCTAAATAGACAGATTTTTTATTCATGCACCGATTGTCTTTAAATGTAATATCCAGTTATGTTTAATAATCTCATACCAACTTTGACTGGGGTAGGTCCGATAGTTTTTCAGATATTGTAGTAAACGTCGGTACCTTAAATTACCTTCCAGACTATACATGTATTTGATCACAACTATAAGAAGCACTGTAAAATTACAATATTATTATGATGGATTTTCATTCTGATTCATAATACATCCGATGCGAAATGAACCATTGTTATATCCAGGAACATATCCCGTGTTAGACAGTACCGTTTCCCTTGATGTGGGCGTCGACATAATTATCCCAGGAACCAACGAAGGCCGGATCACGTGACTTGTCCACCCAGTTCTGATTGGTGTGTTGAACAAAGAAGGACACCACGGCATCTTTCGGATTTCTCTGGACGTTGACAACACGACACTTCCGGTTCCATATATCTTGTGGTAGTAAGCTTTCAATGAAATCATGAGTGAGTGAGTGAGTGAGTAAGTGGGTGGGTGGGTGTGTAGGTGTGTATGTATGAATGATTTTTAAATCAGCGAGTGAGTTGTGAGTGAGCAAGGGAGTGAGTGAGCGAGTGAGTTTTTATAATAACAATTATATATTTATTCATTATTTAGTGATTTATGATAACAGTTCAGTAAATCTATGTTTACCGATATCCTCTAATCCATAGTTTTGGTACAGTGAAACCTCGTTAATCCGGACAATCAATTTTCCGGACGATTACTATTGGGAGCGTCTATATAAAGAGGGGCAGTACTCATTTGCCATGACTCGAAATATTTGATTTCAATTTCAGTTGGAATTGCATATCAAACGGATTAGCGGTTGAACTTTACAAGGTTCCGTGAAGTGTTCCCGTGACAAATATTTATAAACTGTCGGGCAAAAGCAGTATACACCCATTTTTGATGGTGGTTAATCAAATGAAAAAATAAAACAAACAAAAAATCATTATAGAGGTATCACAGTTGTGTTTTTGGAGTTTGCAGCGTTTCGGCGACTGTTTTCGGTCTCTTATTTGCATAATATTATGTTTTTGTGGTTAAATCCTTTGGTTTGTTGTTTTACGCCGCACTCAGCAATATTTCAGCTACATGACGTCGGTCTGTAAAATAATCGAGTCTGGACCAGACAATCCAGTGATTGATATCATGAGCATCGATCCACGCAATTGGGATCGATGACCTGCATCAACCAAGTCAGCGAGCCTGACCAACCGATCCCGTTAGTCGCCTTTTGCGACAAGCATGGTCGCCTTTTATTGGTAAATCCAATTTTCAAGTGTATGCTTTCTTTTGCCGACAGTTTATATTGAAATAAACTGTCATGAAACTATATTTTGTTTTGATGACAAACACGAATAGCAGGGTGGTCATGTTGTGCCGGCCACTGGTCAACTGTCTGGTCAACTCACTCTGGGGTAAGATGGGTGAAGATGATCCTGGGGGAAGGGAGGGTGTCAAGTTCGTCCTCCGTCCGGGACTCATAGAAGGAGCAATTCTGCCAGTGTTTGGCATACTCCGGTTCTCCTGCCACGGCCATGTTCAGCATTTCCCACACCCAGTGCGTGCCTGTACGGAGAGATGTGCGGTGAGTGACTGAATTGATGTACGTGTCAGTCAGCACTATTCCAGCAAAATCACGGCTGTCTGTAAAAGAGTGTGTTTCGGTGTGCTGGCGATTAGGTGTCTCACTCTGGCAGTGTGGGTTCGTATCCCGGACAGGACTCAACCCAAAAAAGTACGAGAATCTGTACTTTACTCAGAAAGTGTTATCCCAAATATAACATTTGTTACTTTTGACCGCTTTCTAAATGGCATCGTGTGTTCATACCAAATCAAGACGACGCTCAGTTCCATTTTCTGCATGAACACGGATCTCACCTGACTTGGGATACGTGCACACAAATATGTCATCATCTCGTACTCTCCGCTCCTTCATGGACGTGATGTGGTGGAGGATGCCGGCAGGCATGACGAGGCCTCCCGTCATCACCAGCTGGAGACTGAAGCCAGCTGCCATACCTTCATCAGCCCGTGTACTCATGTTTCTACGGAGAAAGACAATCTAATAAAAATAAATGAAGTGAGAGTTGATTATTTTACGCCGCAGTCGATGACAGAAATATTCACGGCGACCGGAACCCCTAAGGCGCCGCGATTCGCTGTGGAGAGTTGCCTCCCTTGGGCACGCAAGAAACCTATGATTGTGAGTTCGAATCCCGGTTCGCCCCGATTATGTTTCTAGGTTTGTCAGCGCCATACCCGTGTTCGTGGGTTTTACCGAAGTGGTAAACGTCTGAGACCTGCACCACTTCGGGCTTTCCTCCCGCATTAAGCTGACACGCCGCGATATAACTGTAATACTGTTAAAGCGGCGTTAAACCCAACTCACTCACTCACTCTGAACCCAATTGGGAACGGATGAGACCCAAGATACCTCCACGTATGCATGTCCTATAGCTAGCATTCTACTGATTGATCGGGTGGCCAGGCTAGATGACTTGGTTGATAACGTGTCATCGTTCCCCGACGTCGTGGATAGTTACTCATAATATCAACCGCTGGTTTGTCTGGTCCAGACTCGATAATTAACAGGCCGCCATGATATAGCTTGAATATTGTTGAGTGCGGCGTAAAACAACATACAAACACGGCAACCTGTAAATAACTGAAAAACATGTGGGTGAAGGCATGAGCACATATCCACGTCATCGGGGTCTGACTATCCGGTCAATGTGAGTGACCTCACACGACAAGCATAAGTTACTTGGGAACCAGTTCTACCCCAGAATTCCATAAGGAAAGACACAAACAGGTTTGAGGATAAAGCGATGATCTTTTAATGTCAGTCATAATTTCTGCTTGACGTTATGGTAGTAAAAGGGTTAGAACAATGTTTGCCCTCCACGTAATAATAATATGAACGTTCTTCTGTACCTCCCCCCGGGACCCTCACTGTTAACTGGGTCAAATTGTTCACCACGACACAGCGTCCAGCTTAGTGACATATAGGCACACTGTTGACAGGGGCTGGACGTGTTTCATTCATACAATGAAGGCTCGTCTGGTGTTCCAAATTACGTCTAAGTTACACCTGTCTCTGATTACATCCGATCTACAGTAGAACTCAAATACCTCTAATATGTTAGCGAGGTAGTCCATATCCAATATGCTATCCATACGCCGGAGCATAAATAACCATTTGGATATACCTAGCTGTCTGAAGCACTCTACTTAATAAAGTCATAACGCATTACGTGCCAAAGTCATAATTAGAGCATTACTTAACGTGGTCATAAATCACTACTTAACGCGGTCATAAAGCACTACTTAACGCGGTCCTAAAGTACTACTTAACGCGGTCCTAAAGTACTACTTAACGCGGCTAAAAGTACTACATATTGCAGTCCTAAAGCACTACTTAACGCAGTCATAACGCACAACTTAACGCAGTCATAAGCACTACCTAACACAGTCACAACGTACAACTTAACGCAGTCACAACGCATAAATTAACTTACCGTAGTCAAAATGCACTACTTAACGCGGTCATAAGCACTACTTAAAGCCGTCATAACGTACTACTTAAACGCAGTCATAAAGCACTACTTAACGTAATATTTGCAGTCTATTTAACACAATATTTGCGCTCTAAGTAACGCAATGAATGCTCTACTTAACTAATCATAGCGCTCTACTTCATGCAAGTACCAACTCTTCTTAACGCAAGGAAAACTCAATTTTAACGCAATCATAACAAACAACCAAACGAACTTAGCATCCCTTAAGGGGACGTCCATTGTTAACATGTCCTCAGGAAGATCAAAAAACACGAATTGAATTCACTCGACATGCTAAATGTTCGGAAAATAGTGTATATTGACACATAAAACGCATGCTTCCTCCTTTAAGAGGTAAAATTGCATTTCGTGAAGCGGCGACTGAAAAAGAAGAAGTTACCTGTCCCCCAAACTCCTACCCCAACACCGTTCCCGGATCCGCCACCTCCCACTGACTGATCTGGAGCAGTAAACTTGGTCTCAGCATACCCTGGCTGCAAGGTGCCCCTCTCGATTAGTTAACCTCAATATCCAAAGATGTATCCACGTCTTGACCCAGAATACCTGGACATATATACTTACATTCCGTTTTAGTACCCCAGCTTCACTTTTCACTTTTTCTACTTCAACACACTTTAGAGAGAGAGAGCTTTACTGACAAGGAAATTGGCAATATGGCAGAGCACGATGACACGCAGTCCAGATTACAGGGGCCCTCAAGGGGTCAGTATCAGAACGCTACACATATTTTGTTGATTTTTGTAAAACATAGCTAGAGCGTACTTCTTTTTTGTGTATTCTGAAGTTCAAGTAAAAATAAAAATAAACTATTGGGCAAAAAAATATACACTTGAAAACTGGATTTTCCGATGTTAATAAATGTGCGAATATTGATTCATCACAATTCCAGCCATATCACACCATAAAATAAAAAACATGAATTAAACTACTCCGATTAAACAAGTAAGGTAAGATTATTTGATTAATTTCGGTATTTTTAAATTAAAAAAAAAAAGTTGATAAAAGTCGGAATTGATCCAGGATATCGATCCGATCACTTAGTACACTGGTTCTCTTTGAAAATAAGAGTGAAACAGAAAATGGGAGAAAAAGGATAATTATTCAAATATTCTCTTTTATGTGATAAGAAATACGTAGAATTGATCAGATGTACAATAGAAGAAACTATTAGCCCATGCAAAGGTGACACAGATGGATTTATAACAACCTTGTTCTCAAAGATGTACTTGGCAAGCCTTCAATCAGCGTTCAATGTTTTACAGAGTATATTATTGAGATAAGGGGCACGTCCATTAAGTATTCACAAAGAAAGAAAATGGATCGGACAGAAAGAACTTTATCACGACGCAGGACGACATGTAGAAACAAAACTAATTGACACTATTGATCTGACAAATAACTTGTCAACTCTAAGGATAAAATGGGGTTCACTCTCTTTCTCAAGAAAACTGTACATTTACGTTTCAGGAATGTGAACAAAGCTGTGATTACGCATAAACTATTTTCTGTTATAAATTCATGCAAATTATGGGTAACACTATTGACAAATGTAAAAGAAAAAAAATAATTCTTCTTGGGACATTTCATTTATCTTCAATGGAAGTTTGTTTGTTGGTTTATTTGTTGTTTAACGCCGTACTCAGCAATATTCCAGCACCATGACGGCGGTCTGGAAAAAATCGAGTCCTGACAAGATAACCCAGTAATTGACATCATGAGTGATCCACGATGACATGCATCAACCAAGTCAGCGAGCCTGACCACCCGATCCCGTTAGTCGCCTCTTACGACAAGCATATTCGCTATTTACGGCAAGCAAGGGTTGCTGAAGACCTATTCTACCCTCGATCTTCAAGGCATCTTGAAACATACATTAGCACATACAACCTAGGTTTCATCTGTACTTACATAGTTATGAAGAGTGAAGTGAAGGAGTTTGTCCTCTCAAAGAATAATCCTATCATCTGTGATTTCAAAACATCTACACGATCATCAAATGTCAGGACTTAAATATAATGAAGGAAAAGTTAATTTTTGCCTGTTCAAATACACAGACGTTTTTTTTTCTGTTGCCACGCAGAAATTGTACGATCACAAGGAATATTAGGACAGAATCGCTGAATGACTTCAGGGCCCACTTGCACAAAACTATCTTAGCGCTAAGACCATTGTAAGCCTATGTTAAAGTATGGGAGTTAAGATCATCTTAGCACTAAGATCGCTTTGTGCAAGTGGGCCCTGGAGGTAGTTGTGTAACATATGTTGTTTCAAAGCACGCCAATCATTTTTGAAAAAATAAGTACATTGGTCATCGTCCTTCGGTTAAAAATGAACGTCTCAGTACCCTAATGGTTTCCATTCATGGCGATAGTATTCCTTATTTAAGTGTGGTGAAGTCCCGAAAGTTTCCTTATAATCGAAAATAAGCAACAGCATACATTAACCGGACCGCCTCCATGGTCTTATGGACCCGTGAAGATCCGGGGTAGAAAAGGTCTTTAACAACCCATGCTTGCTGTAAAAGGCGACCCCGTAGTCGCAAAACTTGTAGAAGAAAACAAACTGTGGTTGCATGAGTGCAACGGTCTTGGACGCGACGTTAAACCCCATTTCACCTGCCTGGGATGTAACCACCGACCTTCTGCTCTCAAGGGCGGACGCTCCTTGGAATTGGACGCACATCGAATGTGTCCAGTACACTGTACCCTTCCTTTAAAGAAAACTGAGCTAGACAGACCCTTGGAGAAACCGAACGTTCGTGAATGTCAGGTGGATGATGAAGCGTCTCGATGTCGACTCAATCTGTGACCGAGGGGGAAATCAAATGCGAGATTGTTTTGGCTCTGCGGTAAAAGCGCAGAAAAGATGCATAGATAATCTCCCACGAGTACCTTTTGATATCTTACGCATCAATACGAGTCGACAAAAGTTTAAAACTCTGAGCCTTGCCGAGCAGTTTAAACTTTTATCGACAGGTGTTGATACATTTTATATCAAAAGACACGGGGGTATGATTATATTTGTCATCCACAATCCTTTTTCTACCATGTTCAGTTTGTAATCAGACGCGCTGTCCACGGACACCTCCCTCTAAGGATTGCCAAAACATGCCTTGAAGAACTAACAAGACAGTATTAACGACCCAGATCACCGGGTCATGTCACGGTGACACACAATCTGCCAAGTCAACAAGTGACTGCCTGACCTAGCAGTGAAACAATACCTATGTACCGCCCAACTTTTACTATCCCACAGCCACTGGTCGGTAAAACATAGAGCGCTAATACATAGATAGGGTTCACGCCTTCATGAGGTTTTACTAAAGGTAGGGACGGTCGGGTAGCCTAGTGGTTAAAGCGTTTGCTTGTCACGCCGAAGCCCGGGTTCGATTCCCTACATGGGTACAAAGTGTGAAGCCCATTTCTGGTGTCCCCCGCCGTGATATTGCTGGAATATTGCTAAAAGCGGCGTACTTACTTACTCACTCACTCACTCACTCTACTAAAGTTCAATGCTCATTTTGCAATGTTGGATATAGATGTTGGTGACTAAATTAAGCGTAATTTTTTTTTTAATCTGCACATAGCTTTTGCCCGATCACTTAGACGTTCTTAAAATAATGATTTTCATTTCAATTTTTAAGATTAAAAAAAGTTAATGTTGGCTTACGAGTATCGGTGCCCCACACCTTCAATGCCTCATATGGGAGTACAGTATTATGATGTGAAAAACACTGATTGAATGTACGCAGCGCGCTATTTTGATTTTAGGCAGTTAACGGTATTTCATTAATTCAAATCAGCAACCTACTAAACACATTAGACTCAACCCATACCGCCTTATATTCGCTAACACCAAGGAATTCGAGTTTATTTTTGTCTTTGCACCCGTGAAGATCCGGGGTAGAATGGTCTTCAGTAACCCATGCTTGCCATAAAAGGCGACTAATGGGATCGGGTGGTCAGGCTCACTGTTTTGTTGATGCATGTCATAGTATCCATATTGCGGGGATCGCTCATGATGTCAATCGCTGGATTGTCTGGTCCACATTCGATTATTTACAGACCGCTGCCATATTGCTGGAATATTGCTGAGTGCGGCGTTAAACAACAAATTATTTTTTTCAGATTAGCACGGAGATTGGTCTGTCTCCCAGGCCCAAGAGAATAGATAATAATATGAATGCGACTCAAGTCTAGAATGATTTGGCTCCCGGTAAGCATTGCTCCTTTTCAATTTACTTCATATGTTGTAGATATATATTTTTATATTAATGAACTTTATTTCTGGGAGTAAATGTTGGTTTACACGGAGATAAATACATAAACATAAACATGTCGATTAAGAGGTGTTTATCCCAACATCTGAAATTTACTTTGCCGTTAGATCCACAGGCAACATGACTCTACATTGAAAATACAGTATGTTTATTTCCCAAACAAACAAACAAACAAACAAGACCTGTGCCGTTCAAAAAACCTTAATGGCCTGGTTCTAGTTGACAACGATCGTACATCTGCTGTCCACCGCTGTGTTTAATCCTTTTGTGTCACAATTGCAGGTACAGAACATGTTTTAGGCATTTAGTAACATTTTTTTTACAAAATTACTTCCATCATCAGTTTCCAGTTCCAAACAGTGGATCGTACATTTCCGAGGCTACACTAACTCATCCATCTGTTGTTCAACAAAATAACAACAACTATTTTCCTTTGCAATCTTTATTTTGCTTTAGGCTGAAAAAGAAGGAAATGTGTCTTGGGCATCGGCGCGTCGGTCACTTTAAAAGCCAATGAAATATATAATTTTCAATTTTTTTAAGCAGGCCCTGTTATCCACGATTGACAACTAACATGGCACAAATAAGCCGAATAAGTAATCCTTCCTCATCACTTATGTTTACAAACAGATAAAAAGGGTCATACCTCCCGCCTAACTTAAAAAAGGATGTGCCCGAGAAAACTTTTTTTTTTATATGCAGCCTTAGGCTGTTTCCTGGGTTCATTTCTCTTTCCAACTAATGTGAGGGAAGGGTATCCTTGATTTTTTGTCTCAACTTGAATCTAATAAATTAACAGTTAAGAACTTTCATCATTTTTAAACTTTTCAATAGCTTTGGTCGCAAAAACACAAAACATTTTTCTGTGGTAGACAAGACAAGACAAGACAAGTGCTTGAAGCCCATAGGCTCTTTAATTTCTTTCTGGTAACTGGTGAATCAGTTTAATGAAATAATGTTCGTAAACGGATGACCGAATGATGAAAATGAAACATAAATTGTTATAATTAAGAATTGACTTAATAAATATTCTTGCGTTTAAGAAGGTATAAATTTAAAAACGGTGTTCTTACTGTGTACATCCGCGGACACAACTGTAGGCAATAATGCACCACAAGCCCCGCCCATTCTATTATCGGCTAATCAGGAAACAGTGGGCGTGCCCGTAGTCTTTTCGGTTTATAGAAACATAAACGTAAGAAACTGCTTGGGTTGCCAATAAAATGCCACGAAATCACTTGCATTTTTTCCACAAAGAAATAGATAAGGCCCGATTTTGAGCTTATAAAGTGACGCACCGATGCCCGAGAAAAAAATTTCAACCGTAAATCAATGTTTTTACAGGACGAACTTCTAGAGGCAGTTACTTGTCGAAGCACGTTAAAATACACCATAACGTAAACACGACGTCCAGGTTAAAATGGAATTGTCAGTTGTCACTGAGATTTATTTGTGTTTTAATATAACAGTAAGTGGTTACGAGTGCTACATTTTACACATAAAAGATGTGGGATGGGTCACATTGATCGTGGATGGTTTGAAATGAAGATGATCTTGCATATTATGTACAGCAAAAACGCCACCTTAACGTACAGGCCTGTCGTCTTGCACGTGCATTGATAATCGAAATCAATAACAGGGGTGTCCCAAACAAAAACAAATGAAGCGCACATACAATCAACAAATGTACCGTTATAACACTGCTGAACAATGTGACCGTGTAATGTGTAAACGGTATACCGATTCCTTAATGTATAGCTATAGACATATACTACGTGTAGGGGTATATGGGTGTGGGTTTACACTGCAGTGGGGTACAGTGAAAATACATTAATTCGGACTGAACCGTTCAAAGTGAAATCGTCCTGATTAACAAATGTCCGGATTAACGAATCATGGGGACATAACTCACTCTGATCATGTTTTGATGTTCCTTACAGTTGTACGTTGTCCGGAAAGTGATGTTTCCAGTATCAAGGGGTTCAGACTAATTAGGTAGAGTCGTTCTTTCATTGAGCATATTCGTTCCTGTATTAATGGCTAGTATTTATGCTTTATTTACAATAATTATGTTTTACATGTGTGACCAACCATGAGATAAGGGGCATTATGGGTGAAAAATCATATTATGACTTCTCATATTTTAAAACAACAGTATCTTAAAGAACACGAAAATACAACTCACAAGCTTCAATTCATATTTATTACAGAGATACACGGCATCCAACATTTGGACTCATTATCTGCAAAGTCCCATTTTCAGGCGTAAAACTGTAAGCATTGCAGTTTCTAGATATTATGTCTGATCAATGGAAAGTAGATATGTATGCTGAAATGTTTTGAAATAATAATAATAATAATAATAATAATAATAATAATAATAATATTAATAATACATAAGTACGAACTCAAGAGAAAAATGCGATATTTTGTACATTCCGCACACATGGCGATTTTTACGTAATTAAGTTGACGTTAAACGTCTTTCTTTGTGACGTCACAGCACAATTGTATCCTAGCATCCATAAGGTCCCTATTCTCCTGGTGGGTCTCATATGGTAGAAGCCCTTTTTGAAGAAATTTCTTTTCAGGTACATGATAAAACAGTCTGTCAAGTGAAGCATCGTTATGTAAGTTAAATGTCAATGAATTGAGTTATTTGATCTAAAGCTGACATTTTCAGGGCTCAAGTGAAACATGAAGACATTTTCAGGTTAATCTTAGGAACGTCACTTATCCTCATATGGAGATTGTGTAGGGCCTGTAAGTGTGACACAGTGGTGTCTGGCTGGACCTTCTTGTAAGCGCAAGAGCCCAGTCAGTTCACAATTTCATTAAAATCAGTGCTCGCTACAGCTCCACAAAGATCTGAGGATATCCCAGGAACAAGGAACGACCGACTATTTAAACAGAACGTCGCTAGACGAGATCGCGATAGCGAAAGTCCCGATGTGTTTTTAATCACGCAACCTCGAGAAGGTTAATATGGGGTATTCCGAACGACAGTTACGGCGTACGACTGATTCCGAATGGTAGACATAATCTACCACTCGCATCTTAGGATATAACTTGAAACGGAAGGTACTTTCCATAGTCCGTGGTACGTACTGCCTTACAGTGTCCAGAATTGTTCACTTTTCAAACTGAATCGAGAAATTTGTCAAAGGATTTATCAAAAAGGAGTCCGTCACGGAAGTCGCCATTTGGTGCCGTAAAGCTCGAGAAAGATAATTTCTGATTGGCTAATGTCGACTTCATGTTAGTCATTTCATTGGTCGGTCAAAGTTCGCGAAATATCGTTCCGACGTGACCTACAACGGGATGTCCTTAGATCGTTGGTGTAGCGGTAGCGTGGTCTAAGGTGAGAATTCTTATGAAATTGGTCAGTTCATTGCAAACAAAAGCCTGACATATTATGAAATCCATGTTTTGGTTGTTTGTCTGATGTTGAACACGTCAATATTCCAGAACTTCCAGTGATTGATATTGTGAGCAACGAGTCACGCCGTCGGGGTACGTTAACTCGACATCAACCAAGTCACTGATTCTGACCACCCGATCCTTTTAGTCAACTCCTACAACAAGCTTAGGTTGCTTGGGGCCAATTCAACCCGAATGTATCCGTGTTTTGTATGTTTCATGGTTAAAGTAGGTTAAAGATCTAGAGTGGATGAGGCGGGGTGAGTGAGAAGTAACAATAACATCATCAACATCATCAACATCATCAACAGCATCAGTGCAGCGGAAGTAGTGCCGCCACATACAGTATCCCCGCCCTCAACAAGTTCATGCAGTCACCGTCCACCACTGACGGCGGACTACATCGCCTAGTGACTAGGCCTGGGTTTGTCACCGCCCTTGTGCCTACACACCAACACCGGCGCTTGCGAATGATGGAGGATGTAGTCGCTGACGCTGCCGAGAATGGTACGTCGGATTTTACCATGACCTCTCGTGCCGGTCACCACGTACGTAGCGTCCATCTTCTTAACCAGATTGCAGATGGCGTGGCCTGGCTTGTTGTCATCGAGAACCATCACCTCGCCTGTCACCTGTGGAGATTTAAACCGGGTCAACATTATATAGAAGGGTGATTATTTGTTTATAAATAAATTGCAACCGAATCCGTCGAATTTGATTGGTTAACCAAGCAATATGTTTCGCATTTATGTTTCCAAAAAGCGGAAACAACATTAGGCCCGCCCATTAACAAACTACAGCTTCCTGATTGGCTGATATAAGAAGAGGCGTGTGTTGCAGTATTGCGAACGATGTCACTGCTTTCGTACTGTTGTCAACAGTTGCCTGTGTGTTAATCATTAAATAAACAGTCTGTGAAGTTATTATTGTTGACGTATTTATTCAGAAGAATGCACTTTAATGTATGTTTGCGTTTTTAGAGTAATAAAAGTAAAAACCGGTGTCAACACCTGCTTGGACACCGGGTGTTTATAACTCCATACACTCCATAAACGCAAAAAAACCCATTGAAGTACGTTCATAAGTATTTGTCAGCAATAGAACACCTATATCATGTTAATGGTGAGGTGAGGTTAAATGGGGTTTTACATCGGTTTCAAGATTATTGCACTTATATAGCGATGTGCATGCATGCACGTGTGTGTGTGTGTGTGTGTGTGTGAGAGTGTGAGTGTGAGTGAGTGAGTGTTTGTTTGTGTGTGTGTGTGCGTGCGCGCGCGCGCTTGTACTTGTAAGGTCCGAGTTTTTAGTGCTAGCCCACTGAGATACCATGCCGCAGATTAACATGAGTACCCTCTTCAGACAGATTATACCGACTCCGAGCCGACCAGTCCTTCGTGTTGCCCCTTAATGCCGAGCGCAAGGCAGGGTAACAACAAGTACCATCGTTTAACGTCTTTTGGTAAGACGTGGCCGGGGATCGAACTCCGGGCGGACGCTCTGCCACTAGACCACGCAGGCGGTCTCATAATACACACCAGGATACCCATCCAAACATACAACAAGCATGATGTTTGGGGAACCCTTTCTGACCCTGAATCCAAGAAGGGCGTGGAGGTCTTGCAGTGTCAAGGCGTGCCATTACTGGTCTGCACTAACCTTCGGGGTTCGAACTTTAAATGACGAGTGGTGAATTTCTTCCTGACAACCACGATGATCAAAATGAGTGACTTAATATTTTATGCCGTATCAGCAATATTTCAGCTACATATATTAATGAGTGATAGGGGTTTTGCGCCGCTTTGTATTCTTGGTGTAGTGCGGCGTGTCAGCTTGAAGTCAGAGGATCCTGGCGGGGTTAAGGGACGCAACTTTACACAGCGAATTCCGGCGCCTCAAGCGAACATCCATGCAGTCTATCAGCTGTATAATCCCTGACGAACGATCATACTACGGACATTAGGGACCAAATGGCTGGCCTAGTCATAGCCTATATGGCTTTATAACGGTCGCCTCTAAATATGGAGTCTTTGGCCAGACAAACTAGTGGTTGATAGCATGAACACCGATCGGCGCCGGCGAGGTCCAGTGACAGCACACAAGAACCATTCGATCCATGATTTCGTCCACGCTTTGGACAAGCACGGGGTACTGGGTACATACTGCCCGCTTTATCCTCGTGGGATAACAACCCACAATAAAACTAAATATATACAGGATAGTGTTTTCGGAGTTTTCTTAAAATATTCAACAAAGGCCACTTCCGTGACTTTGACAAATTTAGACCCCTGAAGATCTGAGTTAAGTGTTCAGCAACCCATGCTTGCCGTAAGTGGCGACTAACGGCGTCGGGTGGTCAGGCTCGCTGACTTGGTTGATGCATGTCATCGATATCCTATCCCAATTGTGTGGATCGATGTTCATGATATCAATCACTGGATTGTCTGGTCCAGGCTCGACTATTTCGAGACCGCCGTCATATAGATGGGGTATTGTTGAGTGCGGCGTCAAACAACAAACATACAAAAACATATCTATTATGTGTCATAGCGCAATAATGCAACACAATCCCCACTCACAATGGAACTGCTATGGGCTGTTTGTTATGATTGAAATTCGTTCAGATGGCAAGAAAAATGTACCAGAATAATAGCACCCCGGGCTTGTAAATAAAAGCGACAAAGCAATTTCTATGATCATAAACAATCTCAAACAACAAAAATACATCTACTTTGAGGGCATTTAGACGTTAGTGTGGAGATTAAGGACAAGTTATTTATACAATCGACTTCTTTATTACAATGGAGGCAACGCTTAGGTGTAGATTCTGACACTTTCATCAAGCAAGTGATATTTGTTCATACACCGTGTATAAACATCAATCAGTCTTTGAAACTCAACCTTATCTTCTGTATCAATACCAACCATCCCTAAATACATAACCCCCATACTTCATCTTGTTCTTCATCACTTGCTTGATAAAGGTGTTAGAATCTACACCGAAACGTCGCGTCAATTGTAATGAAGTAGTTGTTTATCTGTAAGAATTTGTCTGTGTTAAAACAAATACATCACAAGAAACAGAATGGAATGAGCCTTGCTGATGAGAAAAATGATTATTATGAAGGCAGCATTATGAAACACAGTGTTATTCGTAGATAATCTATCTAAGTTGTATAATCTGCCGGTCAAAATAAAGTATACACCCATGTTTGATGGCGGCTAATCATGAAAAGAACAAGAAATGGTTATTCGATGGTGATGTATTTGATACGAATATAATACAGTAATAACGGTTATAACGAACACGCTTATAACGAACTGACCGATATAACGAACTTATTTTTTAGTTCCGTCCATTTGTGGTATATATGCTGTATATATGCTTATAACGAACTACGGTTATAGCGAACTAAAATTAGTGGTCCCTTTGAGTTCGTTATAACCGTAGTTTAGTGTAGTTGCGTTTTGGAGCTTCAGTTTGCAGTGTTTAGGCGACTGTTATTACCCTGGTAACGGCAGGGGACACCAAAAATGGGCTTCACACGTGACGAGCCAATGCTGTAACCCTTAGGCTAACGTCGGAGTCGAACTCCGTTCACTCACTCACTCGACAGACAGGTGCCTACCCGACTCACCCCATACTTGTTCATCTCTTCCAGGTATTTGGCCTTCAGCTGCTCGGTCTTGCCGTTCACCTCCAGGATCATCTCCTCGATCCGGGCCGGGGCTGAAACAGGAGGGCCATGCATATGGATAATTATACATTAATATGATTTACCTATACAGCAGTGGAATAGGTCCCCTTTACCCCAGGCTTGTAAACGCTGAGGTGAGGTGAGGTGAGGTGAGATGAGGTGAGATGAGGTGAGGTGAGGTGAGTTCTGGATTCCGATTCCGATTAATTTATTGCATCTTTATAAATATTCCAACTATAGTAGCTGGGTGAGTGCATGCGTGAATTCTTGCATGTTTGCTTGCGTGCGTGTGTGTTTTGAGAACAACCTTTTTAAAGTTGTATGTGCAACAAACTATTTTTATTTTTATACAGCGCCATCAAACAGTTTATTCGGTTTCACTATTATCACAAAGAGTTTGACGATTGGGTATTTTCCACAAAACAAACTGTTCAGGTTTCTCACCACTGCCTACAAACTATTCATATTTAGCATATTTCTAAAGAAACTCTACATGTATAATATCTACCCACTCACACCCCAAATCAAATGGATGCTCCCGTAGCGCTTTCATCAGTAGTTAAGGTAGTTTAACTGTTGCGTAGGCATACATTTCTTTTGGGTTAAAGCCAGCGCCGCTAGAAATGTCGAAGTTGGTTTGGAATAAAATCTGCAGACGTTTGCTCTAAATTTAATTATTGGTAAGAAAGAGAACAACCAACTCGGAAGGTTTCCAGTTTATCTTTCATCAGGGAATTAATGTGGTAGAGCGACGACATTAATTCCCCTGGGAAAGATACACCGCAATTCCTTGTTTCTCGTTAGTCTTCTAATAATGTGTCCCAAAGGAAATCACCGCTCACATTGCGCAAGTTCAGTCGAAGTGTGAAGGCGACGTCGTAGGTAGCTTCCAATTCGTGACAACTCGTGTTATTCCGGAAGAAGCCGAATGGTCATCTTACAGGCTACGAAAAGGGGCGAGTTGTGACGAATGGTATTTCCGATACCAGTACTTTTGGGAGAGATTCGTTTTGTGTTAACTGCACGCGTCTTGCACCAACCGTGAAAAACCCATGGGGGTAAATGGGAATCCATGTATGGAAAAAGATTCAAAGTAATTCTTTTACTTGTGGTTTTACGTGAAATGTGATGATTATGTAGCAGGGCGTGGAGTCATCCCACAGATGACATCCTTACCTTGTCAGCTTGCTGACGGGGTTAACCTCTTTGGTCATGTGGACAAGGCGTCCGACCTCGGATCAGAAGGTCCGTGGTTAGAATCCCATCACGGGGCTCGGAAATTTTATGGCCGCTACAATTACATGGGGGTCTATCTATTTATAAAAGCCTGAACACCCATTTTTTAGTAAACTACCGGGCAAAAGAAAGTATACCTCCATGTTTGATGGTGGCTATAAATGAAACAAACAAGAAATGGTTATTCGATGAGGATTTATATGATACGAGTATCATAGCTGTGGACCTCAAGTTTGCACAGTTTTTCGGCGACTGTCAGCCCAGGGATGTTTTGATGACGTTTGTAATTGTTTGGTCACGTCAAATTTTCAAGTGTATATTTTTTTTGCCCAGTAGTTTATTTTCGTGGGTTAAGTGTTTGTGAAACGCACTTATTGAGACAGCGTGTATATGAGGATCTCGTGTTTTCCAGCGTTTAGATTCGCGGTGTAGATTGGAATCAAAATCGATTTTATTGAAAGAAACATTAATAAATGGTTATTTTTTTGAAGCTGTAAACTTTCTTGTAATATTTGTGAACATTACTTGTTTTTTCATGGTGAGTTAATTCTTTTTATACAGAAACTCATCAACAATGATAACTTTCACTGGAACCAACCTGTCTATATGGCTCCACCAGCTATGATTTGTTGCCTTAAAATAATCTGAAGAAAAATCAATTGCCATGGCATTTGGACATCATTTTAGCAAACTTTATTTCTCAAGTTTGTGTGGTAGCGTGGGTTAAGAAGGAATGTTTGAAATAGATAATCAAATTTAGTTTCATTACAAAAAAATGTTTCAGTTTGTTTTCACGAGATGACAAAGCTGAAAACATGCATTTGCTTGTCACTAAGCACATGGCAACACACGTGTAGGCCTCGAAAAGCGTGGAGTTATGGGTGTTGTGAGAATGAAGTAATATCTTCATGGTTTTGTAAATGCTGGCACCTACAAAATCCTACATATATACTGAACACAAAAAGTTAGGGATCATGAATATTTTGAGGATATTTTCCGGAAATGCAGTCATCACTTCCAAAATTAAAAAAATTGTTTAGTTTTCAAACATCAACCCCTATAAGACATAACATGAACACATTCGGGTTTTTTTGAAACGGGGGGATCCACTGTAAATCAGTGTCCATCCATCCATCCATCCATCTATCTATCTATCTGACCACACACACACACGTGCACACACACACACACACACACACACACACACACACACACACACACACACACACACACACACACACACACACACACACACACACACATATATATATATATATATTATACAGACTGATATTCTTTTGACTCTTGTATTTATCTCTCTCACTCTCTCTCTCTCTCTCTCTCTCTCTCTCTCTCTCTCTCTCTCTCTCTCTCTCTGCACTCTCTTATTAGATGACAATACGCCCTCGATAAGTACAGTGTTATGATCTAGGTCAACAGTATATCCATGACAAATATTTAAAAAATATAAACACCCCTTGGGTGCACAGTTATGAAGCCTGTCTACATGTGTTTTTAATTCGCCAAAATAGTGGAAAGTTTCTAGAGTTAAAAAAGGTTTATTAGCCTCTGAGATAGCTCATTAGTTTTAAGCAAGATTTATGGCCAAAAAACATACATAATTTCACACCGCCTTCCTGCCATCTAGGCTCCTTGCGTCACTGAGGAGCAAATAACGCCTGAGCATATAGCTTAAAGTCGAGAGCCGTCTTGCGCTCCTCTAATGTAAACTATATACAGCTGGTGGGATTTCATTACGTTGGTTATTCTACGCATGTTCGTGAGAGACATATATACATATCCAGTGAAAAAATACAAGCATGTAACTAGATAGGGGTTGGTTTGGAGTTACTGTGACCTGCAGACTCGCCTGTCTCATCATTTCGTTTCGACGGCCGAAATGAAAATCTGCTCAGTTTCCTCAGCTGAAGGGGGGCACGGGTGGCCCAGTCGTCTGTGGCGCCGCAATTCGCTGTGCAGAGTTGCGTCCCTTGGGTACGCCAGAAACCTATGATGGTGGGTTCGAATCCCGGTTCACCCCGATTATGTTTATAGGTTTGTCAGCACCATACCCGTGCTCGTGGGTGGTAAACCTCTGCGATCTGCATCACTTTGGGCTTTCCTCCCACATTAAGCTCCCACGCCGTGATATAACTTGAATACTGTTAAAAGCGGCGTTACTCTCAACTCACTCACTCACCTTTGCTAAAGGTTGGACTTATATCAATCTGTAGCAATATCCATATTCATTAATTGGAATAAAAAAAACCAACGTAATTATAATACCACTTGAACAAAATGTCGGAAGCATTTTGTGTTGTGCATTAATGAAACTTGGAGACAAAGAAAACACGTCATACCTTCACAGCCAGTGACAGTGAGTACAACTATCAGGGACACCTGCACGGAGCTATATTCCTAGCCTGGGAAATGAAAGAATTATTAGAATAATCTATACCAACGGCAGCAGCTCTGTTCAATGAAGATATACAGCCCTCTTATTAGACCTTCAGTCTGAGAGAGTGGCGCGTTCCCTGCAGGGAGACCAAGGGATCCATTTACCACTCTGTTGATCATGACGACAGCTGTTTTGGTCATCTTGATTAATGCCCGGGAATTGAAACTACCAGTTGCAGGTGCCATATGTGACTACTGTCATTTAGTATGCGACTACTTAGAGAATAACCGACGAGTTACGAGGAATTGCGGGTTATCTTTCGCGAGTGAATGAATGGAGTTAATCCCGAACCTTTTGCTGAAATTAAATTTCAACCTTACAGAGACGCATAACTAAAGTAAACGTTTTGATGATGTCATCAATGTGTGACGTCATGAATAATGGATGACGTCATATCGTATTGTCAACAATGAAGCAATGTGACGTTATATCGCTTCAAGTGACCAATCAGCTAAAACGCATCTATATCGGAAATGTATAACCTTCAATCTTTCAACCCTTAAAGTGTGTTTGTTTGTTTTGTGTGTTTGTTTTTTCGTTGTTTAACTCCGCACTCAGCAATATTCCACCATATGACGGCGGTATGTGAATAATCGATTCTGGACCAGACAATCCAGTGATTGATATCATGAACATCGATCTACGCAATTGAAGTGATGACATGCATCAACAATGACATGCATCAAGTCTGCGAGCCTGACCGCCTGGTCCCTTTAGTCGCCTCGTACGACAAGCATCGTCGCCTTTGGCGGATAGTATTGTCATGTTGAAACGGGTGTTCTCGTACCCTTCATTCAATGAATCCAGTTCTTAGATCGAGGTATCTGTGAGAAACATCGCTGGAGTACGATTATATATTGTGATCACTTTTCGATACTTCAGGGAGTGACTGAGTGAATATTGTGTAATGCCACAGTTACTCGCTCACTGATACCTTCCTGTGATAAGAAAACATAGTTGTGTTATCATGCCCAGTCAGAGATTGCTGCTCTGGTTTGTCTGCTCTAGACTCGATTAGTAACAGGCAGTTTACATATTACTGGGATATTGCCAAACACAACCCGCTCGCATACTGTACATGTCATGGCTCTGCTGAAACAGCTGTTTATTGGGAATGGAGACATTAAGAATTGAGGAGCTAAAGAGGCTGTAACTCACAGTTGATTTTATCATTTTGATTTTCAATTGATAATATCTCACGTTAGCGATATTATATCCCCAAAATGAACTGTACTGGCGCTTACCCAGCACTCTAAGAACACATCTATTAAATTTTTAAAATATAATTTGATTTAAAACTTTAAAAAATTAAACAAAATTGCATGAAACTCAATTGCT